AGACTCGGCTTTCTTCCCTTTTATATCAAACGAGCCCAATGATCACCAAGATCGTCGTACAAAAGTTTTGCACCGATGATGCAATGCATTCATGTGGTGGTACAGTATAGTATGTAACTTATGCGCTTGACGCCGGCGAAACGTAATCGTGGTTCGACATTTAGCAATATGGGTTTCCTAGCTTAGATCCTAGACTGCGTTTTAGAGTGCAGTCTGTAATACAAGAACGCGACAGCGATATCTAGAAAAGTCCGATCCAGCCCCAACGTGGTAGATATTTTAATAATCTAAACGTACTGTGTGCCCCAGGGTTGTGTTACAGAGTGTACTACGCGCGTCGTTGAACACACTTGAAGCACTTAAAAAGAGTCACTCGTAAAGGCACCGCGCATCGAAAAGGCGTCATAATTATGTTCCGTGGCGTCCGTTGCGCGTGTGGAAACGTGGCTTGAGATATCATAGACCGATGGCAGAAAGCAAGAAGTCAGCTCAAATGAATAAATGGGAGATACGAGGTGGATCTTGATCCTTTTGATACGAATACTGTACGTGGACTGATTCTAGAAACTGGGGCAAGCTAAGAACGAGGCGCACAGAACGTTATTCGAATCGAACGAAAATTTTGATAAGTCTTAATAATTTCAACGCGTTCAAGATCACGGGAGGTCGTGAATAATTGTAGAATAATAATTATTACGTTATGATAGATACTCTAAATGTAGACCATTATCATCGCTGCACTGTTGCAGGCCTTTGAACCGCCACGTCACGTGCACGTTTTATAATTTCTGGATTCATACCAGCACACGCTGCAACGATGCTCATATTCTAAGATGTTCGCCTTTCTTTGTGGACAATATTTTTAACACGTTCGTTAAAGTTGGAAAATCGTACGTCACAGACCACGCTATACAAATAAAGATTAACAGACCAATCGAATATTTTGAATACAGTATTTCACGCAATGTAACAGTGGCCAACAGTTTGATTTGATTTTTAGAAACAAAGTGCTTGACAAATATCAATCTTCTTCTGCGATTTTCTTTATTTATGTATAGCATTTTACGAAGCAGTCTACCATTGCAACCACTTTCTTTTAACGCTCAACGAACTGTATCCGGACGTAGAATCTTTCTAGTTTTATCAAACAATTCTGAAACATCGGATGATAATCGATAATTCATCGTATGGAGAAAATCTTTTCTTCCGATGGTTTTTTTCCCCACATTTATTCATTCATTTAGCCATTCTTGCTTATCTGTTAACCTGTTGGAAAATGTTCGAATTACAGTGTCCTTTTAAGAATTACTTGTAAGGACGTTGGGAGGTCGATAAGCCGCAAAGGCAACGACTCCGTTGCGAAAGCAAAACTCGTGCGTAATAGAAGACGAAATCGGTAAATGTGAACATTGGTAAATGTAAAATAAATTTCTTCGCGCTACTAATTAAATTGACTCTTTTTTTTATCTTTTATTCGCTGTGCCGGTTAAACAGGTCAAGGAGTATCGCGAGCAGTGGTTTCACTACAAAAGTTTTGTTATGATACATTTTAATATTCTTTATGTACTCACAGATCAGAATGTGAACGGATTAAAATGTTTAACGTTTACTACTATAGAAATAGAAAATAACATGAATCTCGTATTATTATACATTAATGGTATGTTCATAACACTAGATTTACGAGCATTGATCGCACGTATATTTATTGATACCTTTCATGTTGACGATTACCTTAAAACACGATTTTTTTTTTAATTAGAATATGTATTCGTGCCATTGCATCAAACAAATTCAATATAAGTTGTTAAAAAATAATATTTACGCGTTCTGCAATTTTAAATATGGAACCTGACATCCGTCAAATTGACGGCTTCGTATGAAATGTTGAATAGCATACGAAAATACATTTTGGTAGCGTCAAGTGCCATCTTCTTGCGTCCAATCCTGTTACAATTCGTTTCTTTTTCGAACATTTTGGTCCGTAGGAAATCTATTAAAGCGTCCAATTAGCACGAAGAAACAGAGTGTCGTGAAATTAACGAGCACAATTGGTAAATAGAGCCGGATGGGTAGCAGATGCTCATGACTAGTGGACGCACATGCGCATTTACACCGTAAGTGTAACGCATCCAACGTTACACGTAAAACTAACGGTTTTATGTTAACACCTTTTCCACAAATATCTTAACACGAGTTTCGATAACAATCCAACGATTTTGCTTTAATTAATTCATCGGTGATCGTCAAAAAATTTCTATGTATAGTACGGGCCACGATATAGCGAGGTCGTAAACTCGAGCAGGTGTCAAAGTTTACACGTTTCAGCTCCCGAAACAAGTGAATTGATAGAAATACGAGCAGCCAAGGGCCTTACCGACGAGGCAGTCACAGTGAAATCCACCGTAGTCAGTGGATCAAAGTATTAGGTCGTCCCATAAGTCCCTGCCGTTCGATATTCTGAAATTGACGAGGATAAAATTTGTAATTTAATAGAAAACAAAGAAAATTTGTCAGTCGAGGGGACTTCTGAAATTTCAAATATAGTAACATCAACAATTCATAGAAATTTGATACAAATAGATATTGTGTCGATGTTCGAAGTTTGGAATGAAATGTTTGTTTCTATGGTTCCTGGTACCTTTCTGCAGTTGGTAAAATGAAAAAAGAAAAATGGATGCCGCAAGAATTAAGTGCCATAAAATCGTTGTGAAAGTAGGAAACGCGTGAAAAAACAAAAATTATGTTCAAAGTGGTAGGTATGTGAAACAGACTATTACTGTTTTACGACGAAATCTTAAAGATCATAAAATTACGAAACGTAATATTATATTTACATTTGATTAAAATTGAATATTCCTTACTAACGAAAGTGTACTAATGCGTGTTAGCAAACACACGAAACGTGCAATTATTAAAAGGAAAAGTTTATTTTTTTAATTAAGTGTTTCCAAGAACGAATAAAGTTACTTTAACTGGCTTAATATTCTTATTTTAGATTTAATAAAAATTGCATTCATGAAATAAAATTCTGTTATAAATACTTTTAATTGAATTAAAAACTGTGGAAGTGAAACAAAATAATTCTATTACTTTGAAGAATTAAATTAAATTGGCTACTGTATAATGGTCGCAAGCGAAAGCGATCGTTATCCACTAAAAACGGTATATATTGTTGCATTATTTTCTAATTCCATTTACGCAGTCTTAAGACCCATCTCTTGTTATGCGTATTATATTATATCGAATGCTTCAGTTTAATGATTTCATTAGACGAATATTATAAACACTCTCGTGTATAAATGTACTTCGTAATTAAATATTTGTTTCCTTTTATTATTTGCTGATCTGCTGCAGAAAGAGTATACTTATTGTTTGAAGTTAACTCCTGTTTACGCGAAGTGAAACATCACAGTTTTATTAATTAAATAGGATATACAATAACAAAACAATATGTTAAAAGTGGAGCTGCTTATTACAGCGAACCCTTCAAATATGTTATATCGGAATAAAATTAATCTCACCAACTCAAGGCCATTGAAAGATCAACCCCCCACTATATCCGTTCAGTTACTCTGTCATTTCTTCGTACTAACTTGCTGTCTATCTTTCAAACATGAAGGCATCTAGCGGTATCGGTAGAGAGAACATAGTTTGTGACGTCATTCTCAGTTGTAGACAGTCGAGGATGCGACTTAAAGCGGTCACTTGAATTTGTGCATATAACAATGTTAAAATTTAATTAAATATTTCAGTCCCTTTCAGTGTATAGCAGTGTATATCATTCTTGACAATGAGCTCGACTTATGACGAAGTATATACATGTATCTACATAAAGTTTTAAAACTTTATTTGTGTACTATTATAACGGAGAGAAACTAGCGGAATTGCTCTGCTCTCAAGAACTGCTGTGAATAGAACTGATGTATAATTTGAGACAGTGCTATCACAGTTTTGTTGACCTGGAAACATATCTACTTTAAGGAGAGGCGACAGGCGTTTTACTTAACCTCGATAATTAATAATTAAAAAGAAAAACAGATCACGTGAAACGTATGCGTTTAAATGAAATCAAATAAATTTCGCATGTAATGTCTTGCATTTGTTTCGTATAAAAAAGCCTTAATGTAAGTAATAAAGCTACATAAATGGTACTATTTGGTCGACATACATAAGAGACATAAGTAACTGTATATTTATGCTTCAATTGGCATTAAATAATAATTGTAATACCTATAGCAACTTTGTATGTTTAGATATGTTTACAAATATATTGAATAAATATAGTTTATAATCAAATTGTTTTTAAAAATTGTACATTGGATATATGTACTGCATATTATTAATGCAACTTCTATGTAATAATATTTCAGATTTATAAAGATTATCCCTGAATAATGTTCATTATGTAAGAACAATTTCTCTGTTTATCCATGAAATACATTTTTGTGATAGCAATGTTATTACCGATAATAAAATAACCTTTTTCAAACATCCTGACCACTGAATATGAATTCCATCTAGAGACAATGTCTCCTAATCCTCAATATACATTAAATCTTGTTTAACACAAGGATACTTTTAGAATTAAAGAAAGGATAATAATTTAAAATTAATAATAAGGACTAAATTGTATAAGAAAGTAAAAAAGTATGTATTTAAATGAAAAGTACAGAAGAAAATGTTTGTGCAAGAAAAATTATGAAACATTTAATAAAAAGAAAGTTTTAACTAGAAGTAGTTGTAATAGAATAGTTAAATGGTTAAGAAGAATAGATAAAAAAAGAAAAAGAAGGTAAATATACAGTTAGTACAATAATTATAAATCTGTTAAGAGCTTTTGAAACTGTGTAAAGACAATTAAGATATGTACATAAGAGGAATATTAAAGTACATATGTTCTCAGAATAGTAATTTATAGAATTCTATTATAGTCTTAGCAAGTATATGTTTTTTTAATTATTCTGTGCAGAAAAAAGTAAAACGTACATTTTTTATAGTTGTAGAATGTATCGAAGGGCAAGGAGGATGCAAGAGATGCAGAGATGGTACATGTGCTAGATGTGCAGTACTTTTACATCAGGGAACTTGTGTCGATACTTGTCCACCAGGTCACATTGCAGATTGGTCGACTAGAGATGAATATATGGGCAGAATTTGCAAAGAAACTGGATATATGTTTGGATTCACTGGTAGTCAGGTAGCCATTTTGGTAGGAGTTGTTTCTGGAGCAACAATATGTATCCTCATTATATTATGCGGAGCTATAATTGTGCATAGAAAAAAGAAAAAAACTGCTAAATTTATTCAGCAATTTGAAGACAGGTATATTTTTAATATATTACAATTATAATTTATAAAACTGACAATATTAGTTATAAAGAAAGAGTGTGTTTTCACTTGTGTTTTAGTGCAGAGAGAAGAGAATTTTTAAAACACCTTGCAACACTTAGGGGAGAGGGTAATACATTTCTATCTATGCTCAACGATACTAGAAGACAAGTTAGAGAATTATATTATTCAGGAAACAATGGGGATGGTGCTGTTGGAATACAAGCATATAGGTATAATTATTTATATATGTACTTAATACAATATTTTAATTAATAAATTTTTTAAATACATATATACAATTTACAGACCAGTTTTACGTGATTTGGCAAGGATACTAGTTCTTATTAACAGAAGAGATGATGAAATACCAGTTCCTCCAGATGATTGGCAAAGACTCTTTTCATGGGCAGAAAGACTCTTGAGGCGTTATAAGAGGCACAGTTCTCCTGAAGTAAGTTAAATATTTATTTAAACATCGATTTAGAAAGAATTGATTTCAAACAGCTTGATATTTTATATTTTAATTCTTTTTCATGCAAGTCTTTAAAACATTTTGGTGAGTGATACACGTTGAAAGCATAATTAATGTAGTTACTTTTCTGTGTATATAGATGAAAGAAGTTGAAATGTTGCATATACCAATAAAAAATACAACGTTTTATATGAATTTAAACAAAGAAAATATTATAGCGAATATTTGTTTTACTCTTTAAGGTGGCTCAGCTTGTGACATTCTTGCAACAATCAACAGTATCCGTTCAAATGAATTCACCGCAGCAAACAACAATCACACAATCACCTCAGCCATATGAGCTGAGAACCACTCCAACTAATCTGACTACATTCCAAGCAAATGTACCACTTACAACATTTCAAGCAAGTGATAAGTCAAGTATCAGTCCTGCAAGCTCCAGCCTTGGATATGTAAAGGACAGCCCTGTAAGTTCTAGCCTCGGGCAAAACAGTTCTGGAGCGTACAATGAGAAACTTAGCCCAAATGGATCTAGTATAGGACAGACAACTCCGCTAGTGTATGACAACCAAAAACAACTGAAACCTTCAAGTACACATTTTCAAGAGCTTGCCATTTCAACTTTCAATCATACTTATAATACCGGTGCAACTTTAACAGAACCAATTTGTGCAATAGATGAGTGTGAAGGAAATGGGCTTGATCATGAATTAAACCCACAATGGGAATTTCAAAGTACTACAGAGGCTGCTAACTATACTATTCTATCTGATTGGTCACGGGTTCGTGAATACCTCATTGATGACTTTACAATACTTGGTTTTCGACCACAAGATGAAATCACTACAGAATTGTAAATAACATGTTATAATATGTATAACATGAATATTTCTTTATAGTATTTACTTGTAAAAATACTTTTTCTATTTTACAGTTTGTATATATTTAATTCGTTGTCAATGTTTTTGTGGATTCTAAAGTCTGCACACAGAAGAACCTCCATTATTTGTTTTATCTGAATAATAAGTGATATGTGATCGTTTAGAAAATAAAATGCTCACTTTTCTAACGTTGAACATTCTATTTGTTTCTCTTTTGAATAATGTAAATACGAATAACAAATGGAACACATTCGTAATACGTATACGCGTACAAATTTGTTAAAATGTACGAATTCTATATTTTTGATTGTTAAATCGTCTAAATACTTTTACATTCTTTTTGCATTATGAACAATTGAAGTCTTTTATCCTCAAGGCACAAATGCATTGAAGATATTTATAGAGACATTTTTAATGCTAATAATCATATCTTCTCCAATGTCTTATATTGTTACTGCAACATGAGATAGTATATTTCTGTAGATATAATTTTAGGTTAAGGGTAGGATGTGAAGAAGCAACGTATTTCTGGCTAGCCAGGTACGAAGGGCAATAAAACCCTGTTGATAAGATCTGAAAAAATTCTAATTAGGTAGCGATACTTATCGAAAGTGCCATAAAAGGACCTTTTTTCTTGTCAAAAATTCAGTCGAGGTTTCGCAAGTTTACATCCAAGTTCATGAGATTCAGAGACTTTCTTTATTAAGCCCAAGTCCAAATTACGTGTAATTCAAGTCTACAGATTTTCGGGATACATAGTGTAAAATAAGCCAACATAAGATCGGAAACAAAGTTTCGGTAGAATTCGCTACTCTAGTCTAGAGTAGCTGATTTAGTCTTCAGAGATGAAGTTCACACGAAAAATTGGTATCTAAGATACGGCTGGAAAGAGAAGTTCACGTTATATAACTAGTTTTATAGTACTTACAACACATATTACAATGTTTTTAAAATTCTTGTTGTATTTCTGTAGTTAACGCTACACGTTGTTATTTTAATTAAAACATACGTTGCAAGTTTCATACTGTATTACGATCAAAGTTAATTTTTACCATAATAAAAGAATATTCTTAAAAAAAAGAGATATTATATGAGGATATGTTCCGTTCGGATAATAAAATATGTAAAGAATAGAATGTTTGAATAGAAATAGTAGAACATTCAGATAATGGAGATTCTATTGTATTGAAAATTAGTACCTACAAATTGAATGCACCTTTATATTATTATAATAACTTATTTGTATCTAATGTATTTTTATGAAATCACATTTTCAGTCATTTTCATAAAATTATAATTTTCAAAAAGACATGTATAATTTTAACGTTATTTTTTTTTAAATATTCAACAACGTATATATTATAAATATATATATATAAAAGGTGAGATACCTAAGACTGGAATTTTAAATATCTCTGTTGTTTTTAATAATACGGAAAAATATTGAAGATAGACGTATATTTGATTGAAAGGAGCATATAATATGGTAAAAATCATATTTAGTTAAGGTTCCAATTTTTTCGATTTCAAGATTACATAAGTTTTTTTTTTATAGAACCTATATTTCTTTAAAAGAAGTACAGTATAATGACACATGAACAAAGGATAGAATGTACAAACTACTTTCTTTCTTAAGTAGGGACAATACGTTGATAAGTATTCCAACATGAAACACTGTCCAACAATCGATCATATTATATTTTACAAACAAAAAAAATATAGGATCCAAAAAAAAAAACCTTAAGTTTCTTGTGCATATCTATAGTAGATATATTTATAATGATACCAAATAATTGTAAACGTTTATATGTTGATATTTTTTTATTTAATTTCTATCGTATGTATAATTAATAATTACTATTGTATAATTTACTATACTAGTCAATATTTCCTATTATCTAAGAATATGATTTATAAAATCATATCTTCATATCATAAATATCTGAAACGAATTTATAAAAACAATTTTAAACATTTCATGAAAGTACTCTTCATTGGTGTACCAACATACCACTACCAAAACAAAATATTTCAAAACACTTTGCACGAAAAATACATGTATACAAATATATTTGTATGTTATTATATGAGACGATTTTTATAAATTAATCAATGGGATTGTATTCAAAGTTTGAGGACACGTGCAAATTGTACAATTTAATTATGTTATATATTTTATCTTTCAATAAAATCAAAAACTGATGTGGCTGACAATTTTTCATGGTACTTTTTCATGTATATACATTAAAAGATAATATAGCTTCCATTTTTAAATACTTAAATATTTTCAACATTTACACATGAAAAATAATTGTTTGATTATTACGATATCTGTTTATTAATTAAAGATTTTCTACATGGATAATTTTTAAAATATGACCTCGAATTTTAAAAGTAATCACATAAATCACTTTATATGTCTCATCCTATGTATAAAGACCAAAATGGTCAGTTGTATGTACAAATTGATGTAAATATTGACAATTTATTAGTAAATCTAAGAAAATGTTAAATATAATATATGTCTATGTAAAAATTAAAAATTAATTTTTGTTGTAACCCTTTTCCTTTATAGTACATTTTCCTTAAATATGAACTTGTAATAAAGGATTTCTTGCCTCCGACAAATAACATTATAAATATATGTATTTACATATTTATTTTTACTACACAAAACTAATCTATTATCAGATATCATTTGATTAAATTTTCATTTCAACTAAAGTACGTAGTAGTGATAATTATAAAAAACAAAACAATTTATAATTTATAAATTCTGACTATAACTATCGAAATCCTCGAATATATTTCAACCAATCATAAACGAAATTAGTAGACTAAAAATGTAAGTACATTGATATCAATATGTTTTCAAATTGGCGGGATTTGATACAGGAAGTGATCGAATGGCGCACGCAGCCGGATGTTGCGCGCGCATACCGAATGAAATAACAAAGAGCACTTGACATATTTCATTTTCTCGTATTATAAATCGGACGGTTTATTTTCATAAAATTTCGGCAGGAAATCATTTTTCATTGTGGCAAGTTTATTCGTTAAGTGATTTCTGCATAGGAGGTGATCAGAAGGTGGCCGACTAAATGATACTGCTAGCGCGTAAGTTCCTGCGGGGTGGGCGAGGGACGCCATGACAGTCGTCGTATTTTCTGTTAACCGCGAGCACGTAGGCTCTTGCCAGCGTTTTCGTGAAATTCTTGCGCCGTTTAGCATCCATCTGAGTAAAAATTGGCAGCCCCGTTTCCTAAGCTTCGCGGACTTTGCTTCAAATATATTGTGGAGGTGGAGGGCGAGGGCGCGTGGCCATTATCAGGGATTTGCTTGTGGGTACCCATGGCGAGGTGAGACGTCGAGAGGCGGCGAAAGGCGTCCCCCCCTGCATCGGGACGCGTGTCGCCCTGTGTACAAGACGGCCTAGGGCCGACGAAGCGAGATGCCAGAACCGCCGATGGCACCGTACACCACGTGAGTCCACCCTCCGAACTCTTTCGATTATCGCTTTGGCTCTCTCGTTCGGTTTCTATAAACCCCTTACCCCGAATCCCGAGGAACCTCCATTTTGTGACCTCTTGTCCTCGTTCTACGAGTCACGATAATTGACGCGTCATATGCCTAAGACACCAGAAGATGGTGCCCGTGAATCCTCTCGTAAGTGCGGGGGGATCTGCGGCAAGTCCTGGCAAATATGGGAACACAGCTGCGTACTTGTACAAACCGTTGGTACGCTACCATTTTAGTGTTTCACTATTTGTCTTTATCATCTTTGAACGATTGTATCAGATGACTCACCTTTTCCCGCTCACTCGACAAAAAACTCTTAAATATTTGCGAGGTTAAAATAACTACTTTCTTATTTTTATAGTATGTCGATTATTTCTTTTTGCGATATCAACCTACCGTATCAACATTATATAATAATAAATTTATGCCTATCGAATTCGTTTGAATTCGTTATATTCGAAGTATCGTTTCTTCTATCGATGTTAAACTAATTGATTTCGAGGTTAAATTGTAGGATTTATTTTGCCAGCCTGTTCCCACAGGTCAAAGGGCAACGTAGCTATTCTGTTAATCATATGTAATGTTATTTTTTTTTTTTTAAAGAACATATAGTTTATTAATAATCGTTAGTATTTTATGAGTAACATAAGATTTACATAAATATGATATGGAATATTGTATTTTGTATAAGAAAATAAATTATTATTAATTAGTAATTGTTGAATTAATTTTTGTTTTGCAGGGTGAGAAACGAAATATATCAGGAACATTTAGTTAGTATTCTCCAGTGAACAAAGATGAATAGTGAGCAGCATGCATTGCCAGCGGCTACGCAGGCACAACAAGAGGTAAGAATATTTTCATTTGAAGCAGGCTATTTACCAAGCCACAAATGCGTAACTGATATATTATATTAAAATTAGAATCCTGAAATATCATAGGGTAGGTTAACATTATTATTATAATCGTTAGTAATTTATGAAATTTGGTACATTAATTTGTATCAGTTATTTTTTCAAATTTAGTTTTATTCATTTAACATTATTTTAATATTTTACTTAATCACATTTTGCAGTATAAAACAAAATTTTATATAAATGATGAAACTCGTGTTTAAATTATGGTACTTTCTAAGTAAATTTAATTGCTTGTGGCTTTTTCAAATAAACTAGTTTACGTTTGAATATTTTATATTTACTTGTACTTCTCATAATATGAAATATTTACAGAAGCACATATTTTTGTATATTAAGAATAATGGATTCCAAATATGCATAATATATTTATAAAATTCAAGTGAGTTGTATAAAAATAGTTAGTACAAATAATATATAATTTTTGAGCATTAAAATATATTTTCAATAGCTTTGCAAATGGGGTCAAAGGTTTATTTTGCTGGCACACGTTTCTTGTACATAATGAATCTTGATATTGGTACTGGTTATGCAAATTTATTGGAAAACTGGAAAGTAGCGCATTTGTAAATTGGGATTGAGCCTGGTGCATGCTGCTGCATGCCCTATCAATGTTGTACAAATGTTTGAATGTATATTGGTAGGATGTAAACGCGGGTCAAAGTGGTCGTCCTTCATACCCAGGTGGTCTGGCTACTACAACTAGTCTTGGCAATGTAGGGAGTACCCCCCATTCATCCGCGGACCTGCGTGTAGGTACAGCCGTAGCGTTAGCCTCCTCGGTAGCTAAATATTGGGTCCTGACCAATCTGTTTCCTGGACCGCTACCTCAGGTCTCAGTCTATCACCATTCCCACCACAACTCCTCACATAGGAGTAGTGGAGGTGGAGAGGCATCTTCCAAAGAATCAGCCTCTTCATTGAATCAAGAAATGGCGTTGACTTCCAGTTCGCACCATCAGTCAACACCTACACATCATCATCATCAACCTTCAGTTAGCAGTAGCAGTCATCATAGTTCTTTACAACCAAATCCACAGGTTTGTTTATTTAGAGGTATGCAAGTCTAGTTATTGAGTATAGCTTATAGAGGATCCAGATTAGAATCTTCTTTTCAGGGATTGTGGTAACATACTAAGTTGTATGTAAGTTAATGTAAGTGTGAGTAGGTAGAAAAGTATGTATTGTACTAAATATGTAGGACGTATTTGCAATGTTACGTTTATAATTTGAAATATGGCTTCTTTAATTAAAGTTTGTTTATTATTTTATATTCTCTTTTCATTGCATATTATTGTATGTTAGTTGCTGTAATTTATATAAAATATGTAGTGTACATTTTATTACTGACACAATATTTTTACTATTATTATGTTTGTAATCCAGTTTACGGTATGTTAGTGAACAAACAAAAATATATATATATATATATATAATGCAAAATGCGTTTGATTAAAATTCTTAATGTTTTTAGTCATTTGATTTTTGAAATTATAATTCATTATTTGAAAAAAAGTATTTTGTAATATTTTTTTTTTTTATATTTTATTTAGCAGATTCCAGTTTCTCTGCCAGGCCTTAATTTAGATGGACCACATTTACCTGCCAGCGTCAGTCATTTACAGGCAGCACATGCACAAATGCAACAACAAATGCAGGCACAACAGCAACAGCTGCATCAGCAGCAACAACAGCCACAGCAGCAGCAGCAGCAACCTCAACAACAACAACAACAGCAATCTCACCATCAAATGCAAAATCATCAAAATGCTCAGAATAATGGACCAACTACACATAATCAAAACGCACAGAGAGATGATAACAAAGTAAAAGATGAAGGTGGTAGTTGCACAACTGAACGTTGTAGCGACAATCAAGTTCACTGTCAAGTACAATGTGATCTTCAGTTACAAACGTCTCAAGATCTGCAACAAAGTCTTATGCAACAACAACAGCAACAACAACAAATTGGCGTAAATATAAGTGGGAATTCTTCGACCGAAGGTGGAAGTCAGAGCAATTCGGAAAAACCAGAAAAAGAAAAGGAGCTGCGTCAACTAAATATGACACAGTACGTTTATATGGTTTATTTCTATATTGAATATAATAATTTTTTATAACGTAACAAACGATATTACAATGTTTGTATAGATTTCAAGTGCCAGATTTAAAACCAGGAGGTCATATGATGGATGTAAGGACAGCCGATGGTTCAGTTGTAAAAATCAGTGCTGGAAACGAGCAAGACTTAGCAAAGACTCTTGGTGTTGAAATGGTGCAAAATATGTATAAGGTAAACAACATTATAACACGTTATAGAGCAGTATTTTAACAGTCTTTCGTATCTCTAATCGTTTTAAAAATATATTTATAAAAATACCTTTTCCCATTTGCGTGAGACACCCTGTGGCGCATCTTATATAATAGAAACTCCAATTCATTTTCAATTTTCTATTAATTTTTTCGTGACACGCTCACAATAACGTACAATGTTTAATTGTAAAATCTGTATTGTATTTTTCAGGTGAATGTTGAGGACATCAATCAGCTTTTGGCATATCACGAAGTATTTGGAAAGTTACAAAGTGAAATAGCAGCTGGTACAACCTTAGTCGGAAGTACTGTTCCTACTCAAACAGTTACCACTATACAGAATGGAACGCCAATCGTACAACAAGTTCAATTAAATAAATTCGATATTAAATCGAGCGACGGCGAAGCTACGCCCGGACCAAGTGCGTCACCCGTATCAGTTGGCAGCCATGCTTGTGAAATATGTGGAAAAATCTTTCAATTTCGCTATCAGCTTATCGTACATCGTCGATATCATACAGAAAGAAAACCGTTTACTTGTCAGGTACGTAAGAAATCGTAGTTTTCGTATAATTTTTTGTATATTCGATTTTCGTTTACTACATGTGGAATACATTGAACTGTGCAGGTATGCGGCAAAGCATTTTTGAACGCGAACGATTTAACACGCCATGGTAAATGTCACTTGGGTGGATCCATGTTTACATGTACAGTGTGTTTTCATGTATTTGCAAATGCGCCTTCATTAGAGCGTCATATGAAACGACACGCTACCGACAAACCATACAATTGTACAGTATGTGGAAAGAGCTTTGCGAGGAAAGAACATTTGGATAATCATACTCGTTGTCACACGGGAGAAACACCGTATAGGTAAATGCATCTATTTTGTTTCATGTAGGATAATTAGGATAATATTCTTCGGTTAAGTAGATCAACGAAAATTGACTCTTTGTACTAATAATAAGAATACCTATTAAATTCACGAAACAGCTATAGGAATTTTAATATTTTTACAATTTTAATGTTTTGATTCTTTTATTGTGTCTTAGGTGTCAATACTGTTCAAAGACATTTACCAGAAAAGAACATATGGTAAATCATGTTCGGAAACACACGGGTGAAACACCGCATCGATGTGATATTTGCAAAAAGAGTTTTACCCGCAAAGAACACTTTATGAACCATGTTATGTGGCACACAGGAGAAACTCCTCATCATTGTCAAGCCTGCGGCAAGAAGTACACACGTAAAGAACATCTTGCAAACCATATGCGTTCACATACCAATGATACACCATTTCGTTGTGAAATATGCGGTAAGTAGTCCATTTTTTTCATTAGCGTGAAGTATTATGTTTATGACACGCTGTTTCTACATATTTGCATAATATGACATATAATATACTTAATGAATACATTTTCTCATAAAAATAATATCTGCACTATACAGATTTAGACAAAATCTTCGTTCACCTGAGATGTTTCTGTCCTTTTTAGACATAGAAAAAAATGTTGTTTACAAAGGTTGTACAGTATAAAAAGAAACGTATTATGACAGTTTAAAATTTTGTTTTCCTGTAGATGAAGAGATCTCAAGGTTAACTTCATTGTATATATATATATTTTAATTACAATATTTATAGTGTATTGTTCTTAATGTGGTTTTGTATGCAATGAATTCATCAGGTTTCATTTAATTTTTTCTAAGATTTATTCTAAACATTTAAAAAAAAATTTATTAATAACGAATATATATATAGCAAAAAACTACACAAGGTATCCTTCTAATCCATTATCCATGGATTAATTTTGCTAAAATTCCAATCAGATCTCGAGTTAAGTACATAGAACTTAAATATAAAGTTTCATTGGAATCCATTGAGCCGTTTAGATACAATTGTGTTAACAAATATATATATGTATATGTATACATATATACATATATATTATTTATGTGCAATCCTAGGGATAGAGGTAAAAATAGGGATGAAAGTTATTAAGCGATTGTAGAACGAAATTAAAATAATGCTTTTTATTTTATATATATCCATTGACCAAATTTCATACATGCATAGATCTTATGCATTCCATAATTATATACAAATTATATTTATATCTTGAAATATATTTTAAACAAATATCTAATACCACGTTTATAGAAACAAAAGAAATATACATAAAGATTTTATTTTGAATTCAAACTGCCACACATAATACATTTAAATAAGCACGTTGTATAACTGAATTTACGACTTAGCTTGTCATACTGCTTCAAAGAAAACAGTGCAAAGTATTAAATTTAAAAGTCCAAGTATTTGTTGGATTCGCTAAAAATCATTAGTCGTAATTCCCAAAGCATTTATCTAACTGTATAATTGTTACATACATAGATTTTGAAATTTGATAATGTAACAAAAGAAATCAAAACATTTGATCTGATCTAAAAATCTGTAGCCACAAAGAAAACTGCATTTATGTATACCTATGAAAGGATATATAATAATTTAAACATAAAACATGATGGGACGATTCCAGAATATCATAAAATCATTAGTGGTTATACAAAATTAAAATTAGTAATGAAATTAAGATTTATGTTCCATGTTGGCTATGACTTATTCTTAATTTCGTTAGTAAATTTTTTTTTTTACGTATCTCTACGTATTAAATTTAAAAAAAAAATGTGTTCTGTTTCAACATACGCATACTTTAATTTACTGCGCTCGAAACCTTATATTTTTCAAATCAGAGTCGAATATTTCATTCTTTTTCCTGTTATTTCCTATCTCAATAATACAAAAATAAATGGGACGACAGTTTAATTCTAAAGAATACAACCTATTGCTAACAGTTTATTGACCAGTGGTAAATAAACCATACTATTTCAATTACGGAATGTTTAATTTTTATTTAAACGATTTTTACAAATTTGAAATCGTAATGGCGTAAAATGATCGAGCTTAATGTACAAGTTGTTATCGTCAGGCGAAAAATAGAGTTTGTTTATTGCGTTTTGCGCCTCGAAGTTACTGCAAATGTACTTTAAGCACGCCGGTTTGTAGGTTTATGGAACTGAAATAAAATTCGTGAGAATTGATCGCGCATCGTAACTAGCCTACCCCCTGTCGCAGGTCGCGCGCATTCCTTTATAAAAGCGCCTCTCTAACCTTAGAATTGCCAGAGTCTTTGGCCGGCGTGTATTATTTCTTTCTTGGTTATTGTTGTGACGGGAAGTTTGTTGCTGTTTCGTACACCTTCGGGATACTGCATCTGCTCTCCACCACAAACTTTGATGACATGACTTACTATTTCGTAAATATAAGCGGTTGGTACATATTGCTATACGTTTTATTTTCATGTAAACAAGATATGGTTTTACTTTCGAAATTTACACCAACAATCAGTATTAGTTTGACACTGTTATATCATTGTCGCGATAATTTAAACTTTAAATAGTATATTATTCTATTCGCTCCATATTTTTTTTAAAATGCAAAATATACGATTTGGAGTAAAATAGGGTTATACATGCACATTGGATTCAAATACTTAATATTTATTCGAAAACGTTTGTTACGCCATTTAGCTATTTTGTTATATTGATATTGACATATTATATTGAAATTATAGCTCTTTGCTTTTAATAGTTTGTATTTAATTGAATGTTCTTTAGTGAGTACAGGCGTACCTTGTTTCACGTCGTCCCGCACTTACGACACTTTTCAAACATAGGTATTCTGTGGTCTTGTGACACGTGATCTATACTTACAACATTCTGTCAACCAAAAATCAACCGAACCGCGGTTATGCTAGGTCATTCCACAAGTAATGTCGTTTTTTGGCATTGATTTTCACCATTAACATTTACAAATAGTAATCAATCGTAGAATTAACATTCACGTTCAACTAATACAAATCACGGAAGATTTTTCATTTGTTTCATTTTTCCTTCTATAAAATCACATTTAGCTCTCTAATAAATTCCGAAAAAAACATCTCTCGTTTTTCGAAACATGATAAGACATAAGTTGAAATTAGCATCGTGTTATTTAACAACTCTCGTCAGCTTAAATCGCGTGTTAATAGTTTTTATTCGGTAATTAAATTTACATACGCCGTGTAGACTGTTACAACTTACATAATAAATTATACATTATTTGTCATATTTAAGATAAACACTTTGTTCCCTTAGATTTACGTTTTCAGATTCACTTTTCCAATACCAATTCAGATTACAAATGAAGTTCTATTTCGTATATGTTAACAAAATCGCTATAAAAAAAAAAAACGAACAAAGTCGTTGTATTATAAAATAAATATCAAGAAGAAGACTTCATACCTAAAGATACGTAAGCAGAATTTTCCTACCGTTAATCGTAAAAATGCATACACAAAATAAAGTAATTGTTATTCTCGCGTTAACTGCTATCGCCCGCGACATATGAAAATGTAGGGTCCGCGCAAATTACGTCAATCAAAGAATTACTTTCTGAATTTTACATTGCAATTATTTTATAGAAAAGAGCAAAACTGAACACATACACAATATTTGAGCATAGAACGCAAAAATATAAAATACGTAGCATTATACATAACACTTTGGTTTCGTACGAAAAATATTAAATTCGTATTGATACAAATTTTTTTTATAAAAATCAGTTTTGGACCACGACTGATTTTCAATAAACTCTTGAGTTTTTGTAAACTTAATATTTGATCCACCAGTCTTTGGCTTTAATAACGACTCGAATATACATCGACATACTGGTTACCAAATTTTCACAGTATTTTCACGAAATACTATATTACTATTCCTGAATCCTTGAAACCACATGTCAATCAATAACGATGGAGAAGCATTATACCGTTTCAAATCTTAGATTCGAGCAGGTCATTCTAAGATTTTAAATGTTTTAACGCGTAAAAAATTATTCGTCATTGGTAAAAAGGGGATAAAAGAAGATAATATAATTTTTGACTATAGGTAAATTGATTAAGGAAAAGATCATTTTTAAAAAGATTTCTTATTGGCGAATTAATCGTCTTGGAATCGTCCCATACATGTACTCAAACGACAGTTTTATATTTTTCATTCGTATTACAGTATAATGAAGTATTGGTGTTTTTCGTTCTGTTTAACGCTGCTAATGCAGGTAAGTCTTTTACGAGAAAGGAGCACTTCACGAACCACATAATGTGGCACACGGGTGAGACGCCGCACCGCTGTGATTTCTGCTCGAAGACATTCACGCGAAAGGAGCATCTTTTGAACCACGTTCGCCAGCACACGGGTGAGTCTCCACACCGATGCGGCTTCTGCTCCAAATCGTTCACCAGAAAGGAACACCTTGTTAACCACATCCGCCAACACACAGGTGAGAGCGGTTGGCAGATGTCCACTTCACGGACAACCGATTGTAATATTTGTCTCTAAGAGTAGTTATACCATGGCTAGAAGATTATTTAGTTAAGGAACACGTTAGGGAGATGAGTCACCTTTCATAATGTCATGTAACACACACCAAAACGCTCGTGTTCGTCCAAGAATCAATCACGTTCAATTGTGCTTTCGGGCGGGGACTGAAAACTGTTACAACAAAGGTTTCGGTTCTCCAAACAGCTATAAATGATATTATACCTGTTACGAGTGAAAAAGATTCCAAGTAAATATCGATTGTGGTTACAGTTTTACAGAAATATCGGTTCCCTTGTCTGTTATGCGAGTATCATTTTTACGTACCGATACTGTGGAAAAACAATCGTGAACCAAACCTAATGCTCATTTCGTTCAACTGTTTACAAACAATGTTATCATGTAGCCAATATAGAACCTTTCCCGACAGACAGAACTGTTTCAGAACCAATATGATATTATTGTAGAACCGTGATCGGTAATTTATTGAAACTGTTTTTCCCTCGTAACGGTTAAAGTATTATTTCTGGTTTTCCATAACTATTTTGGTCGAAGCCTTTATATAACAGTTAATAACAGGTTATTTCTAGAAAGATTTCGGTCCCTGCTTTCGGGACGCAATCCTCGATTTTGCTTCTAACGGATGTTTAACTCTGAGTTGCAATACTTGCATGCGAAACGTATACATGCGATCATGTATACATACATGTCAGGAAGTTCATTTACAATGATACCGGGAATAATCCGTTTATTGTGCGTGTATAACAAAGTCACATTGTGTCTACGTAACAATTAGTTATCTAATCATTATTATCCCATTTCATTAAATCCCTAGAGACATTTACTGTTCTGCCTCATACACCGCTCTCATACATGCTTTTTATTAACTGTTTCAGAATCCTATCGCTATAAACATTCACAATACGTTTACATTCCAAAGACGTTCAGTGAACTTCTTATCATTTTTAAAACTTGTATATAGTTCCATTCTCATTTTCATTCAATCTCATAGGTGGCGTACCATTATATTATTTAGTTTGACCGTGAGAAAGTTTATGATATAATCTCGTTTTAAAAATGCAATGTTACAAAAACTAAAAATTTCATTTAAATATTGATCTATATCTTCGGTAAATTTGTTGCTGTACAATCCAATTTTCCTCCCGTGCAATGTACGAAGATGGCAATATCGAATTAGTTCCTTATATTCCCACTTTATATTTGATGAAACGGACGTTGTAAAAATCTGTATTTTTATTTTTATTTTTGCTTTTGATAAAAATTCTGTTATAACTTTAAGATCATCTCTTAGACCAGTGGTTCTTAACTCTTTTTTCCGTGGACCCCTCTTAACACTCATTATTTAAATAAATGTTTTTGAGTGTCAACATAAAACTCTTTTATTACCAAATTTTTATTAATACAAATTTTAGTAACGTGCTAATGAAACTATTCCGATTAAAATGAAACCAAACACGACACGATTTAAAGCATACACTTATCGACAAAAGTTAATAATTGTTTGAAAATTTCTATACGCTCATACGCAAAAGTATTCGAACGGCTTACATTTATAATATTCAATTAATGAAATATACATTAACAGATTTATCGCTATAGCTGTAGCTATTTTGAAGCACCGAAAGGATTATATTAATATTTTAAAATGTAATGTACGTAACAAAAATATTTCGTAATTCTTAATAAACGTTCGTGGATCTTCACAAATCCATCTATGGCCTCCTCTTAGGGTCCGTTGGCCACAAATTAAGAACCACTGTCTTATGCCATAGCCTATAAACAAAATTTACTTCATAATGGATGGTTCGATATATGCCTTATTTAAGCATTGCAATAAAAACCTTGTGCAAGATAATTCGTTGTGTAAATAATCAGTAAATATCGGAATTCGTTGTAAACTGTACAGGAGAGACGCCCTTCCGTTGTCAGTACTGTCCAAAAGCATTTACGCGGAAGGATCACCTGGTGAACCACGTCAGACAACACACGGGTGAGTCACCGCACAAGTGCCAGTATTGCACCAAATCCTTCACGAGGAAGGAACATTTGACAAATCACGTGCGTCAACATACAGGCGAATCGCCACATCGATGCCACTTCTGCTCCAAGTCATTTACTCGTAAGGAGCATTTGACGAATCATGTCCGAATCCATACCGGCGAATCACCCCACCGGTGTGAATTCTGTCAGAGGACGTTCACTAGGAAAGAACACCTCAATAATCATCTCCGACAACATACCGGAGATTCCTCGCACTGTTGTAACGTGTGTTCTAAGCCATTTACAAGAAAGGTACGTTGGTTTTAAAAATTTATATCATTGCCACATTATAAGATTTTTAGTTAGTTCTAATATAACAGTAATTCTTTTGACTACTAACTTTTCTATTAGAAAATACTTCTAAAATCATATATCCGCTGAAATTTTTATTCCATTCGTTTTTACATGAAGAGAAAATTAGAAGTTAGTCTAAAGACAGGCTCTATATTCTAAAGAACCTGAGGATTTGTCACTTTAATTCTAAATGACTCCTATTATCGTTGCCTTTAACACTTTGACTGCCACGTCATCCATATATGGGTGACAGAACTTTTAACAGTGGAACAGAAACAATTAATTCTCAAGTTGAAATGTTAAAGAAAATAAATTTTAATAGGCTTCTACTTGGTACTATGATAAGTTTTAAGTTATGTAGTTTACAATTGTCTAAAATCAAAGTTCTGGTCTCGTAAACAATTTTGTCGTTCTAAGTTGGCAGTCAACGTGTTAATTCAATGATATCAGTACAAAGACTCTGGTTCTGGATCAGAAAGCATCACAGTCGAAGAGTTAATTGCAATAACAAAATCTTGGAATTAATCAAATTAAAAAAAAATAACATTGATGCGATAAAACGATTTTCAAGATTTTTTTTTTGTTTCATTTTGTTACAGGAACATCTTGTAAATCATATGCGATGCCATACTGGTGAACGTCCGTTCGTATGTACAGAATGTGGTAAAAGCTTCCCGCTAAAGGGCAATCTACTTTTTCACATGCGTTCGCATAATAAAGGAAGCAATGCCGAGAGGCCATTCCGTTGTGATCTTTGTCCGAAAGACTTCATGTGCAAAGGGCACTTGGTGTCCCACAGGCGATCGCATTCGGACGAGCGACCGCACAGCTGTCCGGACTGTGGGAAAACTTTTGTCGAGAAGGGCAATATGTTGAGACATTTGAGAAAGCATGCAGCCGAAGGACCACCGACACAAGTTAGCACACCGTCGGCCATTCCTCAGTCTGGCGTTCTGCCGATCCCGGCGGCGGCAGTTTTGGTCGGGCATCCATTGGCGCCGCCAGCGCCGCCTCCAGTAGTACCACAACACACGGTCGTTGTGCCTACTCCACCCGGTGTATTGACCTCCTACTAAACCAAATCAAGAGAAAGGATGTGAAAGCATTTGATGAAAGAAAAAGTGAGTGTATACATAATGAACGTTTGTATTGTTGATTATAAAAGTGCGTCATTCAGTTTTTAAAGACCTGTGGTTTCTATGGCCATGAAAGTTGATTAAAAAAAAAAAGAAGTGTTATCGCATCGCAGTAGTATCATCGTGAATGTTGTAACTACAAACATTGTCTTCGTTTCAAAACGTTTGCCGCAATATTCGCCTGTAGCTATGTGCAAAGAAGTTCATATGAACTTAACATTGAACAGTAACCGCTGTTATAATAGCAGTGTATCATCCAAAGTTTGAATTTCTTTGTTTCTTTTTTTTTTTTTTTTTTGTATAATACCTTTAGTAGATTGTTTATGGAAGGAAGCATATTCGACGTTTTCACGTTCCACTTACTATGCAAACTCAGGACTTATGCGATTCAGTGATAGGCACACAGAAAATTTCGCTGTTAATTAAACTACAATTAGACGCTAATTGTAGTAGCAATATGTCGCTGTATTACTTTTATACAATAATTTCGTTATAAAACAAAATAAGCGTATCTACCCAGTGGGAAAAGGCAGAATTTGGCGTAATATATAACGTGCGATATATTCCGGATAGTATGATCGTAATTTGAAGAATTTATCAAAATGTTTGCTTGAAGTACAAAATGTATTTTTAATTCAAATTATACAATGAACGCATCGTTTTATAAAACATCGTTTATTTCTTCGAGTTTCACGAAAGTTGTTCCTTTCAAATTAGTTGTAACGTTAAACGCAGAAGCAATTATTTACAACCGCCGTAGTTCAGTGGTTAATTTTGCATTAAATTACATTTTGTGCTGTCGCTTTTATAATATTAGGTGATCTCGTTAGATTCAGAGTGGTATTTCTAATTTTATAGTCGGAATATGTTGATAGGCGTACACGTTTACTAAGTGTGTCTAATTGATATGTTCTGAAATATCTTTTGCGAAAGATATTATACGCGTGGGATCGGATTCTCCAATTCAAGAAAAGGAGCTCTAAAGACCAGGATATCGAAGGATCATCGACGACACAGTGATAAAGCGGCCGGTTAACAATCACAATCGAAGGTTTTTAGTTTAAATTTCATCGTCCGTGCCCTTTTTTCTAGGCTCCTACACACGAATTCACTTATTCTATAGAGTGTGATTCTAAAAACTGGTAACTCTCGTCCAAGTAAATATACACAAAATTGATATAATGTAATCTTTCATTTTAGTGCAACGATACAAGTACTGTATGCACATGCACTTATTTGTACACTTTTGTTACATGTTTCATGTTACAATAGTCCCTATTGAAAGATATTAAACTTTTCCCTGTATAACTTTTTGTATTTATGTTTACAAAAAAAACTATAATTTGTTCCAGATTTTAGAATCATTCTATACATTTACTTTAAAAATACAGTGTTTCTCGCTTGTATGCAACTGAATTTCCACTCGTTTCCGTACATCTGAAAAAGGCAATTCTTTTTTTCCCCCAAAGGTCGGTATTTCTTTCATCCCTAGCCGAGGCCTAGCCTCGCATATACATACAGTCAATAGTACAAATATGGTGATTTTATGAAAACTGTGGTGTACCAAGAATTCAGCCTTAGCTATTAAAAACAAAAATGTAGGCATATATCTAATTTCACTGGAATAAAACTCTCACTTGTTTCGATTTTAATCTAAATTTATTTGTTTTATTTTATTTTTCTGCTAGTCTCGTTTATCGGTAAATTTGTAACGTTTTATCATAATTTTTAGTCTCGCGTTCAATTCGAACGAGATAGTCGCAATCATTTGTTTCTTGTTAAAGCATTTAAATAGTCGTATATAATTCTATGTAAATAGTTGTATATAATTTTATTCGAATGAATAAAAATAGATTTATATAACGATGATAGTGATGACGAATTATTTGCGAATAATTTGTGAGAAATTCTTATTGAAAATGACTCGAATACAGATAAATACATTAATTGCGTCTTTAAATAAAAGAGTACAGTATGCCATCGTTCGTTGTTAGCGTCCATCTCAGATTTTATAATGATATGAAAACAGGATTTTGTAATGTACAGTAGAATTTTAATTATTGCATTATTTAATTCACGAATGAGCAGTAACTGTCCGTGTTGATGAACATTGAAGGTTTCATTTACAATAAAGAAAAAAATTTATTACAGCTAAAAATAAATCAAAATAAACGTAACTTTATTGATTTTATAAATGCTATATACTTTGGTCAAATCTAGCGCAAATTTTCAGACTATAAACAATATTAATTATTGTCGATAAATAATAACTTGACATTAAACTTTTATTTTAAAATGATTTAGTACTTTGTAAGTATCAATGAGCCTTGATAATTGCTTTACATCTGTCGAACGTTAAATATACCAGTCTTTTAAAAAAAATGTTCCATCAATCAACTATAGGAGAAATATTTTGTTATCTTTTGTACCAAGTTCATGCCAAATTTGAAGACTATTTGCCTTCATGGTTGTATATAATTTCAAGGAAGTTAGTTACCTTACAATGTTTTAAGAATTAAACAACTTTCTGTAATTCTCAGGAATTCGATATTTCAGTGGTGTTTAGACGCATTAATAAAATTGGTTAATTGTACGACGGTCGCGCTAGTCATCGAGTTGCTTACTCTGAATAAACAAAAACATTAACGGAATCAATATCGTTGCCTTTAAGCGGGTGAAAAATTATCGTATACAAGCGAGGACTATTGTAAATAAGAAATTTCGTTTTTCAGTACACACAAATCGGACACGATAAAAATTAAAATGTTTTATTATTTTCATAAAAAAAAAATCTATGTAAATAGGACTGAGAAAGCTACTATATATTTAATAACACATAATTTTCAGATTACTTAAATATTTACTTTTATGTTTTACCCAATTGGCGTGCAGTTTAGTTTAATGTGAAAATTATGTTTAACTTTAAAAAAAAGATTTATATTTTATGCGTATACCAATTCTGCATCAATTGCCCGTTTTTAGCAATAATTATTGTTTTTCATTTAATCATAATTATTATAATTGAGTGCAATATAACTATGCTGATTTCGCTTAAGAGACGTCTGCATTGAATACCACTATTACACCGGATTTTAAATAGGAAGAAAAAATTGACAAACGATAGGAATTCAGTGCGTTTATCTGTACTCGAATTATTGTTTCGAATTTTTTTGGTTTTTAAAGTTAATTTTAAAATAATTAACAGTGCTTGTCTATTGTCTATATCAAAAGAAAAAATGTTACGACTCTAGCAGTCTTGTAAGGCCATGTATTTCGTATTTACATTTAAGACAAGATAAAATCGTAAGCTTGGTTCTGCGACGTCGTTGTCGTGCTAAGTTACCTAAATATACTACGTATTTAAAAGAGCACTTGACATCAAAACGTACGTTCAATTCCTCTACAAAAATTCGCAACTGCGTCTTACCGGTTGCCGCATTACCAAGCTTATATTGATTATGTATGATATTCATAATTATTGAATAGACAAGAACAAGACGATGAGAAACTTATAAACGCGGGTGCATGTGACAAATGGACTTTCGTGTGCGATAATGTTCGTCACTCCGTAGGAGTCTAGATTAATATATTACGACAAATATTATTAAGTATATTCAAACAATTAGATATCATATACTATTTAAAGTAACGAGGGGGAAAAAAACTAATTATACTGCAGGGTCACTGTACGAGGTGACATAAATCTGTCACATACCGAACGTAAAATTTTCACTATATTCGTAAGAAAAAAAAAAAAAGAAACGCGAAGTTAGTGCAAAGATACGTCTATAAAGGAGGAAACTATATATGTATAATATATATATTGCTCGCGCTTATATACATTATGTATATATAAAAAAAAAACACGATTTGAAAAGATATGAAAAATGTGATGCAGTACCGAACATACTTGGAACATGTAAATGTGTCCAATGGCACGTGTAATGAATTCCTTTGCAATTTAATCGTGGCATCGCTCCTTGCAATTTGCTAAAAAAAACTTTAACAAGGAATAAATAGAAATAATGTTTATATGAATTATTATTATTAATAATATACGTTACAAAAATAAAATTAAGAGTTGGTTCATGCTTTTAAGAGATTTAGTTTCGTGCTTGTTTTAAAAAAACAGCAAGCAAATATCAGATCCAGCTGTTCTCTTTGAATCGAAGCGACTTAATGCAGTTATAGTAAGTACATACGCGAGCGGGATGATTGATACTATTATATTTACTTTTACGTTAACATACGTACCTATTGTTTTATGCAATTTTTCCTACATCCTGTCACGATCGCATCATTTCGATGATAATAAAAATCTTGAAAACGCTTTGATTCAAAGCGAAGTATGATGGTGAAAGAGAGCATTCAAAATATAATTTACTTTAGATAGAACAAAATATGTATAGAATTTTATTATGCACCATTGTAATATTATGTATCCCAGTTGTGACACAATATACACTGGTGTTATGTTAAATGTGAACGCTATGTGTCCTGTCTTATATGTAATAATTTCCCATGTTTTAGTTCTATTATAAATAAAAATCTCTTTAGTATAAATAATGATTTCATGAAAATGCGAAAACTTGAAAATTCGTGGTCGCTGATCAGTTAATATCAACTCAAAAAATATAAAATATTCACGATTCTTAAGATCAAACTTGCAAACGGAATCATGAATCGCAATTTAATTTTTCTTATGGAAAAAGTTTTATTATTTAAACCGGTTTTATTGATGTCATATTTGCATTTCGAATGAAACACATGATTTATGTTATCGTTCAACTGTTTATTAACATAGATTAATATTAAAATTATGAAAAAATCAAATGTTTCGATGTCTTTCCATAGACGAGGTGTACCTCGTAGTAAAAAGTATTAAACAACATTTCCGTAGAGTGTCAAACAAATATAATTAAAATGAAAAACAAATTTTAAAGAAAAATCGACAGGAGATAGGTGCAGAAATTTTTCAATGAAAATAAAAAATTTCATATTGCTCTGGAAAAATTATTTTCGGTTGCGGGGGTCAATTAGAATCATTTTTAATGAATACACATACCCCCAAAAATCCTACGCCCTTTCATAAAAAATTCTTTACCGAAAATATTATATGCGGCCAGAAATGTTTCTGTAATTTCATTTTTTGTCTCACTTCCTCTTGTGTTCATTTGTATAACCTGTTGGTAATGTCGCGAGTGACACGAAAATGGTAATGGGGCTCTAGAGCCCCAGAAAAATGGGCTAAAAAATACATATATTGGGTGAAAGGTCTGCTCGTATACCTCGTCTGTGGTCTTTCATCGCCTAGTCGATAAAATATGTTTATTTGTGATGAATTTTTCACCATATACGTATATAAATTCGAACGAAAGTCCTTCGCCGCGAGTAACATCGAGCTAATGGCAGAAAATTTGAAACAGTTTCATTAAATCTCGAATAAAATTGTTAATAATAGCAACTCTGTACATCGTGTAAGGAAAGACTGTTCTACGTTAGCTAGCTTTATCAATTTCAGTAATTCGATTAACTACAGTTTCTAAAACTACCGCCTTTTAAATGAAAAAATTGCTCTAAAAATACTAATATTTTACGAGGTTGGTATATTAAATTATAGTTCATGTGTCACGAAGTCCCATTAAACAATAGATCTATTCTGTACCTATTCTGTACTATGATGTATACATAGATCGGAAAATAGAAATATCTAAGCAATCGAGACTCGAAATCATGATGCTGATTGACGCAAGTTGAATTTCTGCTGTTTCGAGAACGAGAAGGAAAGGATCACATTCACCTTCTTTTTCGAATCCCCGAAACATCGGAACTTATATACATATAGCTGTACATTAATGTAGGTAAGTGGAGGGGTAGTTTCCTCTGAGCACCGGTCTGCCATCTGGTAACACTGAATACATATTTGTACTCATTGTACTAGCGGAATGCAGCGTAGTGTCATTGAGCATTATGGATCAGTGATATGTAATTGTAATGTGTAAGGATGTGTGAATTGGGCATATCTGGCATAGACATTTTCTTCAATTTTATTTATTACAATGAAAGCAGTTAATAAATAACGATTGAAAATTTTGGTATACATTTGTATACAGAATAGTGAATATTTTACTTTCGGCCAAATAAATGTATGTTTAATACAAATGGATTATTTTTAATACAATTTTGTATATAATTTATACAAATTATTTTAATAAGAAATGACAAAATATAACGGTATTGTAATTTAATATTTTCCTTTTATTTTAGCAAAATTTAATATGCAAAGGGAAGAAAAACAATTGGATTCTGCCTTAGAGGCTATTATTATGAGAATAAACGACTTAAAAACAGCTATAGCTGCAATGATATTCAAATTGGAACATGAATACGAAACATTAAATTGGCCTAATTTCCTTGATAACTTTGCCCTTATTTCAGGACATGTAAGTAATATTAAAACAAATATTTTACTCTGTTATTTTAATTCAAAATAAAATAGTGATAAAAAATAATCATTCAAATTGAGTAGAATATCAATATTAAATCAGGAATATCAAACGCATGGTCTCCCATATTCTCATTGGAGTATATTATGTATTCCTATGTGTTAAGTAATTAGTGTTAAATGTATAACTATGGTCCACAACACGGTGACAAAGAACAAATTGGCCAAAATGTATTTGATATACCCGCGTTAAATATTTTTTAAATTCTTACATTTATCAAATAAATATTTGTTTAAATCATAGTAACTAATTTTATTTAAAATAAAACTTTATAGTTAACTAGCTTATCAAAAATCCTTGGACACGACAAAGCACCAAACTTAAGAAATTTAACAGTTCTACCATTGCGATTATGCCCTGAAAAAGATGAAGAACTGCTTCGATTAACCGAAGGTAGAATTTCTACATTTGCTCATGATTTAGTACCAGATTATCTACGAACCAAAGTGGAGCCTCAAGCTGAACAAAAAATGATACAGCTTGAAGCAAAGGCTGCGAATTTAAATTATGAGACTTCACATGTAAGATAAAATATGTCTTATTTATTTTCTACATACGTAACAAAATTTATCTAAGAAATACTTTTCATAAATCTCATTTTTCCTTGTATAATAATGTATCTAAGTACATAAAAATTTCATCAAATTCACTTTTAAGAATATTTGAAGACACAGATACAATTATATGTCTGTATTGTGTAATTGTAGAAGCTTAAGAATAACTTAAGATGTTCTATTTCTCTGTTAATGTGCTAACTAAACAACAACTAGGACTGCAATGTAAGCTACTATCAGCTAGCTTTCAGCTTCTATTAGTTCCATTCGCTTTGGACTGAAATTGAAATAACTAGTTTCAGATTGCATATTAAGTAATTTTGATATTTTAACAACATTCCATAAAGATACATTTTATGTTCTACAGTCATGTGTTTAAAAAAATGTACATTTTATCTTGATATATATTATTGTATTTGATATTATAAATTATAAATTTGTTTATAATTATATGAGCATATTTAACGGTTTGCAATAGATATTTTACCAATTAACATTAAACTGTTAGAGGAAATTATAACCAAATATATTATTTATAAATTCTTTATAAGAATTTATACTTTCATATGATGTTTGATTGAAAAAACTAAATTTATAGCTACATAAAATACCATTTATACATGTTCTTATGTATAAGTTTATACACGTTTTATAATTATAATTTATTGAAAGTAACTTTCCTCCAATAGTTTACGATATACGAGCAAAATTTGTAATCGGTCCATTTAGCGAGTGGAACACCAAATGTCTCGTTTTTCTAAAATATCTATGAACTTTATACATTTCAGAAACAAGTTGCACAATACACAAAAGTAATCAGTCATATATGGGATATAGCAAATAAAGCACGTGAAGAATGGGAAAGCGAAGCTGGATCTAGAGCAACTCAAGCTCAAACTAGTAGTACAGCAGATACTCATGCTCTCGTAGCAGCTGTAGGTATGGGTAAAGGTTTAAAGGTAAATTTCACTATGTATATACATTTATTGAATTAAATGCACGTAGATTTTGTTATACATTTTTATTTATTGCAGTCTGATTCTGTTCAAATGGTTCAATCCGGAGTGAATTCTGTACCTAGTGGAATGATGGTAGGTAGGCCTGGAAATCAGCAACAAACTCCAGGACAAGGATCTCTTGGAAATCCATCTCGTAAGATACCTATTGCAATTTATTTAATTATATGGTAACAATAGTACTCTACAATTCAAATTTATATTTACAATTATAATAAACATATTTTTTATATTTATAGTGGGACAAATTAGTAAAGCGCCAAGTACAATCAAAACTAATATAAAAGCAGCATCGCAAATTCATCCATACAGATAATATATATGACCATATCTATTTAAAAAAAGAGTTTCCCATTCAACTAAAGTATCTTCGATTTGTAAAAATTATTGCCACTCATTTTTTTCTGCGTGTAATTTATCGGGTTATTACTTCGCATTCTTATTATTAAAATTGATAACAAATGACTAGAAATACATACACGGTATATAAATAAAAATATGAGTTATACAAACATACTCGTTGAAAAAATAGTTTTACGATGTTTATTATCGTTTCCAAGATACAATTGCATATGACCGCGGAGATAACTGTTTGTTCATAACTGGAATAATTGTAGCATCTAAACCCTGTTCGTGTATCCAACATGACCAATCTTGAAGGATAAGTGACTCTGCCGCTGATTGTAACATCAATTGTAATGCGGTATAAATTTCTACAACTTTTAGTTTATTATAATGACTTTTCCACAGTTCTATTATATTTTTCTCATGTATATCAAGATCGGATTGTATATCTAAAAAATATTAATTTGATGTTCTTAATGTCATTAAGATATTGAATATCGAATTTGCTTATATTGTATATAGTACGTATATTTAAAAAACTTCTTTAATAACTTTGTAAATTAATAGAATACATTTTAAAAATAGCGAAGAAAAATGTGTAACTATAATACATAATATTACCTTGTACTTCGATTTTTTCGTCTTTTAACGGTTGTAAAATATATCTATTTAATGAATCTTTAACGTAAGTTTCAAAATTTAAACACTGTGATATTCTTGTTCCTTTACGAGTACATTTCTTGAGAAGGAAACCATCTGAAATATTATTTTACTTTATAAATCAAAGTGAAATAATTACTTCCAAAAAGAAAGAAACAAATACTCACTTTCAGTTGCATATAATTGAAGGACTGCCCTTGCAAGAACGTAAAAAGAATGTTGATTATGAGTTTCAACAGACATGTTATTCCATCTATCTGCTGGTTCTTGGCACGCTAATCGTAAAAACGGTTGCCTTAAGAAGAGACCAATATCAAAATCAGTGTTGAGAATTACGGATTTAAGACACTCAGATAACGGGAAGTTATTAAAGTATTGTTTTTCGGTCGATGCATTTATTTGTATCCTTTTCGATATTGATAGTTTATGATAACAGCAAGAGATCATAATAAAAATCTGTGCTGCTTTCATATTTAGAAATATTTTTGATGCATGTATGCTAAGATCACCACAAGCATGCAAACCAATTAAACAAACATTTGAATTTTCTTGGAATTCAGTACGTAAAATAGTCTCTATTATTTCAACAGAGTCACATGTTAAATCACAGCAATTATATTTAACATATTCTAATGAATCAGGATACATTTTTACTTGTCTGTCTCTAGCTTTATTTACATTTGCTTGGTTTCTTTCTAATCCCAGAACTTTGTAACCATACAAATGATATAATAATTGACAAACATATCCCTATAATAAAAACGCACAATAAGTTAAAATAGAAATAATAAATTTATATAAATATATATTTCTTACCAAACCTGCACCAAAATCAATAATAACGTTAATATCGTGCGGTGCGCATTGCTTATGCACTAAATGTGCCAAATGCATTATTTCATGTTGTTTTTTATCATTAAGTCCTATTTGAAAATTCTTTGGTAATGTTGTTGACAATACAGTATTTATAAGTGGTAATCTATCCAAATTTTTACATTTTTTAACAAAACCTTTTAAAGTCTCTGGCCATTGTGGCTAAAAATAAAACAATATTCTATATATTATTAAAACAAATTTACATTACATAAGTAATTATATTTATCTACCAACCTTTGTCGTTTTCTTTACAACCATGTTGTTAAGTTCTTGGATTTCTAAAATTTGCAAAACATTCAACCAGTCTGTTGGAAAAAAATCAAGTAATCCCTTGGTTAATAAATCTGTGACTGGAGTGTTATAAAGCCACTGTGTTTCGGCAAATAAATTCAAGGCATCTGAGAAATACTTATTTTGTACACGTTCACTTACACACGCCATCTAATTGAAAGAAAATAACGATACTTTAATATCAACTTTTTACTTTTTAACTATAGAAACAATCTATTTGGGCATTATATATCTATGACTCACAAAATTGTAATTTTTATGAAATTTATTGTATGAAAATTACATTTATTAATTTATTACGTACATAACACAAATTTTAATTACAGTAAATAATTATACCAATTTTTATTTCAACAAAAAATTTATTCGACGGCCCTTGCTTGAGTTTCCTCTTCTTGATTTTGTATTATCCAGTTTTCTGAGTGCCTATTTAATAAATCGTGATTAACTGGCCCTATCAGTGCACGCCCTACTCTAACGTCTGTTTGACCAGATTGTAAATATTTTTTAGCAACGTGCATAAGTTGGTCTTTAGTTACGGCTTTTAATTGCTGTCTTTGTTCTTGAATATCATCATCTGTCACATTATGTGTAAATTTAATCATCCCGCGATTACTTGGAGAAATCGGGGCATCAAGACGTTGAAATATTCCCAATTTTGCTTCATCAATATCACTTTGTGACAAAGAATACTTTAATAAAAAGTCATATGTTTTATCAAACAAATCTAACGTACGAGTAGAATTAGGATCTCTATAAGAATAAAATATAAACATTCCATCTGATGATAATCTTGCACCACCACCATAAGCTCCACCTTTTTCACGAATCTCTGGATGTAAATAAACCGATGTGATTAACTTAGAAAGTACTTGTAAAGGTGCATAATCTGAATCTATGTATGGAACAGTAAAAATTGCTTTTGCTACATAATTTACCGTATATGGTAATACATAATGGATAGCATTCTCTCCCATTTCAATATTTTTTTCATGTGTAAATATATGCGCGACGTTAGACGTGCCTTTCAATGATTTGTAAAATTCGTTTACACTATTTAACATGCTGTCTTTGTTGTTTTCAGATAAATTTATTGCTGATCGTAAATATTGTTTACTCAAAACGTGTTCAGATATCGTTTGCATTTGATTTAATACGGAACTTAAATCTTGCATTTGTGCTATTTTCTTCATCCTTGAGACAAATTGCAGACCTGATATAGATTCCTTAAACTTCGTAATCGGCGAAACTAAGCTAGCTGCACTGCTCATTGCATATATATGCCCTGAATCCGCAATTCCATTTACCAAATCTGCTGCAATTGTTTTCACAAGTGTTTCAAATCTCTGAAGATCAGACAAGTCAACGTTATTGAACACTTCTGACCACAGCTTCCACATATCAGTTACATTATGATCTAAACAGTATGATTCTATTAGTATTCCTTCTTCATATTGTAATAAGTTACTTTTGTGTTCGACAATATGACTCATAAAATTTAAACCTCCAGTTTTTAATCGTATCATCTGATCAAAATTTCTGTAATCGTACCTTTTTGTACCCATTTTGGCAACGATACTATTAAAGAGTGGTAACAAGATTTTTAATTCTGAGCTTAGATCTTGTGTATTGAGAATTCCCCGATAGTAGCAAACATTATTTGTGGGTTCAAGAGCTATTTGTAATGGAACACCAACAACCTTTGAATCCGTAAGATTATATCGCTCTACGTTTGGTTTTATATCTTCCATTTTCAAAGTAGGAAGAACATTTACATCTTCCTCTTTCTGTTGCTCTTGAAGTAAAATTTGTCCATCTACATAAATTTGGTCTACTTCTGATTCAGAAAGTTGTTTTAATTTTGAATCTAATAATTTACGTTCAGCAATCATTTTATCATAATCATATTGTTCAGATGGTAACATTGTTAATGTTAATTTATGAGTATTATCCATTAAGTATGTTTTCACTAATTCTTGGAGGTATTTAGGATTTTCGTCCATTATTTTTCTAAATTTTCTAATTGCTTCATTAATTCTCATTGACTGTATAAGATCTCCTTCGTGATTCCATAATGGTGTCAAATTGAAAAGTAATTGTAATCCAAAGTTAGAAGTTTGATGTTTTACTTGAAGTTCGATACTATGCAGAACTGCTTCGATATGATCTTTCTCAAAGCCATTTTCAATAATTCTTTCAACCGTTTTATTAAATATTTGTTCTACCTTCTCAAAATTTTCTGGTTTAACACCAAGTAGACTAATAACAAACATTGTATCTTTACAATGAGCATCATAACCTGTTGTTGGACCAAAAGCAACTCCCAAATCTGATTCCACTAAAGATTTATAAAATGCTGAATTTGGACCTCTTAAAAGTAGCTGAGATAAAACATGCATTTCAAACGTTTTTTGTATATTGATTATGTCGTTGCACAAGTGACCAATAGCTATAGTACCTTGTCGAGTAGGATCTGCAGCCATAGGATCTGGTCTACATGTAATATGTTCCTTTCTTGGTTTGTCCCAACGCTTCTCCGGAGGAACTACTGACAAAGATGTATCAATTTTATCCATTAGAAACAAGTATCGATCATTAATGAATTTTAAATGATCTTCTAAAGGAAAATTGCCATATGAATAAAATCGACAGTTAGAAGGATGATAATAAGTTCGATGAAAATTGACCAGATCCATATGTCTCAGATTAGGGATAACAAGAGGATCACCTCCAGAAATTACTGCATATGTATGACTCGGTAAAATACTGTTCAGTACGCGTTCAGCTAATATGGCTTGGTTTTCATTGAAAACGCCTTTCATTTCATTAAACACTACTCCCTTAAAAATAATGGGTGAATTTTTATCATTAACATCTTCGTGTTCTAATCTCCAACCCTCTTGTTTAAAATCCAATTCTCGCAGATTTGGTTTAAACACAGAATCCAAATATACAGATTGCAAATTTTGAAAGTCTTTTAAGTTTTGCGTAGAAAATGGATATATAGTGTAATCAGGTCCTGTCATAGCATTCATAAAGGTAGCTAATGATCTTCTCAGCATTTTAAAAAATGGATCTCTGCATGGATACCTTTCGCTACCACAAAGAGTAATGTGTTCCAGAATGTGAGGTAAACCTGTGGAGTCTTTTGGAGTTGTGCGAAATCCAACTGAAAAGACATTGTTACTATCGTCTCTGGCTAAATGTAAATATTGTGCTCCGCTACCCAAATGAGTCAACTGCACTGCAGTTAAATGTATTTCATCTACTTTTGCGACTTTCTCCACTATAAAGCCATGGATAACTTGTCCATTTTGAAATTTATTGAATTCGTCTTGAACTAAATTTATCTCATATTTTGTGTTTCTAAGTGTTGTATTTGTTTGCGAATGAAAATTATAACGTTTAAAATATTGTTGCAATCTTAATGGGCACAAATTGGATCTCTGAGATAAATTTAATATCCTCAACATTGTTGTGTAGTACATCAATATCTGCAAAACACCAAAGACACATAACCTAATTAATATATTCCACCGATAAAATAATATACAATGAAACGTTTTCAGAAATAGTATATCTTTTTACACTAAATATTACTTACCAAAAGTCAAATGTCGAATATCTGGATAATAGTTTATGTTGTATACTTCACAGAACAAACACTCGTGAATTGTTCACTTTTTGAATTTAAAATAAAAGAAATTACAGTACATAGTGATTTATTACAATGAATACCAACATTGTATTAATCAATATCTATTATTTAGTAACATTTTTTACAGTGCACTGGATTATTAAATAAGTACATAGCGAACGTGTTAATAATTACGAGCAAAAGTTCATGAAATAAAGAGTGATATTTAAAATTCATATTTACTTTTGTTATTATAGTCTGTATATAATTCTTTGCATTTGACTATAAAATATTAATTATAATACCAACCAGATATATAAGTTAGAATTTAAAATTACAAACAGGTTAGTTTTGCGTATACATTACTTTGTTGAAAAATTTCACATTTATGAAACTAATATTGAAACAATGAGAAATAAAACTTATACTTACATCTATTTTCTTTCTCCTAATAAGAAAATTATGTTAACATTATTTTAACTTTTAGACCATATTATAATATAATACCACAACTAGAGTCGGCTGTGGTATTATGTATATCTTTTTTCTTTTTACTAACTTTATTCTTCGGCAACGGAACGTGTTCGAAAGAACAATATAAACCGACCACCGACCTTAATACGAACAGAGTCTGATATTACTTTATTCTATGCCATAATTGCCATATTGAAAATAACCAAACATCGTTCTATAAATCTAGTAATTTTCTTGAAAGAAGTTTTAGCAGAAGATTGTTACTTGAAAAATAGTTCGTTTCAAATTGTAATTAAAATGTCGAAATATTCGGAACGAGTACAGGAGATATTGAAATATGCAACTAGTAAAAAAATTACGGATAAAAGGGTTCGTGACTTATTATAAACAACAATGTTTTCATAATAGTATATTTAATTTTAATTTATTTTTTATACTAATTAACAATGAAAAATCTTTTCAATAATATATTACTTAATTTTAACTTATTTTTAAACAATATTATCAAACTTTACGTTTCGATAATTTCAAATAAAGTTTCAATGAATCATTAAAATTAATAATTATCATTTCCTTAAATTAATTATTTAATAATTTTTCTATGAAAAGATTTGTAATTAACATTAATTATTTCAGAAGTGTGTTGTGGAATTGTTGGAATTGTATGAAAACCAGGAAGCCATAGATGAGATATGCAAAAACATGGAAGAAAATGTGCAGGGTGTTGTAAACTGGTCATACATTATGCATTCAGTTCATAAATTATTGTTGAATGTAAGTATAATAATTTTAATCTTTTCACAGCTGTAACTAATTTTCTATAGTTTTCTTGCAAAGAAATTTCTTATTTCTTAACGAAGAATTATATCATTGACTTGTTTCGAATTCAACTATAAATCCGTAAAATTTTTAATACTATGCAATTTAGATGTATTGTTTTAAATTTAATAGAATGTATAATACGATGTTAGTATAGCAAAATATTCAACTATAAATCCTTTAAACTTTTATAATTTGTATAAATTGTCAATAATGTAGAATTGAAATGTATTATTTGGAACTCTTTGCTTTGCAACTGCAGCATCCTTTCGTTTCTCTAAAGAAACTTTACCAGCATCCTCGTTTAAGATTTTTAAAGATACTAATTTTAAATTCTAAGCAAAGGGTCATGACAATGAAAGGATTAAAGAATCCTTCAAAATTATTATTTTTTATGTCATTCAATAGTGGATTTCTTGTTGTTGAAGGAAACTGATAGACTGGCATATAAGGATATGAAAAATAAAGCAACAATTATTGAAAGACAAAAGATGTGTACATTGGTAAGAAAAACAATTCAGTGTGCAAACTGTTATAAAGTGCCATTATTGAAATGTAAGGATGTTATGCCATTAATCTTGCAAATTTTGGGAACAAGAGTGTATGAATACTATCATGAAACTTACATGGGTATATTGGTATCTTATATACTTCCGTTTAGAGTGTATCAGGTAAAGATGTTACCAGAACAGTGGGCAGAATTGTTGAAGATATGTATAAATTTATATAAAAACGTGTCTTCCTTTATAAACAAAAGAACCATCTTAGAAGCTTTGCAGATGATTTCATACTATGGTTGCCAGCACTCGGATCTACTTCCACAAGTAAAAGAAACATTGTTATTTTTAGGTATGAAAAAGAATATCTAGAACAAGTTTTAGATCCGTCAATTTTATTATTTGATCATATATTGACATTATAAATTATCTCCAATTATAGAAAATGTCTTTATTGATGTGAAAGTAAATGAGGAAATATTGGCAGAATCTGCTTACAAACTTGCAAACACAATTTGTCGAGTGATAGCAACAGAATGTAGAACTAAATTATGTCGGTTTAGCGAAACTGTTTTGCCAAATATAATTAGTCTGAAGAGTTCGATGGAGAAATATAAATTGTTCTTGCTTTTCATTAAGATTCATCATCCGAAAGGATTGTATAATGTTTGTGACGGAGCTTATGCTGATGATTGGGAGAAGTGGTACACGATACTTACGAGCATGTATTTGATGGTTTTGAAAGATCTTAAAGCGGAGGTACTTTCAAAGAGTTTCCTTCAACTTGCGAGCGAAGGTAATTGTATTTTATATAATTTCTAATGACAATATAATTTTCTTCAAAATTTTACAAATATTAAGCAAACGATTTTAAAATTCGTGGCAAATTGCTGGCCGTTGGTAACTACCAAACTAAACATATTGGACTGGTGTAAAAATTCGAAAAATTTCTGATAATTTAATGATATGTTATTTTGTAACATTCCTAATGAGAGCAGTCTTATTTAAAATTGTGCGAATTTTATTTACTATTAATCATAATGATATCTGATTATTTTAGTTTTCAAACAAATGCTACAAAATTCGAACATAATTGTTAGCAAAAGATCGTTGGACGATTGCGATTATATCCAACCTGCGAAACGAAGAAAATTCGCCATGAAAATAGACAGATTAGTGGACATGATTGTGGACAATAATTCAGTAGAAGCTTGGCCAATAATACAGATATTAACAGTATTGCTTAAACAATATCCAGAATGTTTAAAATCGGAAGACCTTACTGCATTTTTGAAAACTTTGGTAGATCTCTTAACGCTGTCTTGTAAAGACGAAATTATTATGGACAATATATACGAATTGACTGCAGTATTATTAGTGAATGAAAAAATGTTTTCCACTGCAGATGTAGAAAGCTGTAACATTTATTGGGACAAAATTTGGGATATATTACTAAGGTAAGAAGTTTGTTAATTATATTATTTTATTTGATTTCAATAAAACACAAACATTCAGAAATATGAAAGAATAAGTTTAAAATTCAATTAGAAAAATGAACCCGAAAGGAGGATAGTACAAAACGGACATTTTTAGTTAATCCTGGAAAATGAAAATTTTTGACAGGATCGACTGTTTAACTGCATTCAGTTTATACATCATTCGTTTTACTTTATGACATTTTTTTATATCTCTAACTGTTTTAGAGATATAGCATGTCCCTGTTGCGTAGGACATCCTACATATACAGAGTCCTATTTGAATCAACCTACTTAAAAATATGTTTTTGACTAAAGTTGAATGGGTTCAGGGAATATTATAATCTGATGCAAATAAATTTCTCCTAACTAAACACAGCAGAGGTTACATGAAGGATAACCTTGTCTTTCCCTGATTTTCAAATTGAGGTCAAAATATCTATTTCAGGTCCTTAAACGTAAACCAGAATGAGAAATCAACCCACAAATTGACTCAGCTCTTCATAATAAACAGCAAAATAACAAATCCAAACTTGCTACTGAAGCTCTATCTCACAAACGTGATCAAATGGTCGGTAATGAGTATTCGAACTCTGGTAATTCTATGCGAATATCTTCCATTACCAACCAACATCACAATGGTGAACATAAACAGCTGTTCACCAAGCATAAACTCAAATTCTGTTAGATTATGTTTATTAAAATGGGCGTTGGACGTCCCTTGGCAGAAAGTGGCTACTAAAATTCTGATCGAAGAGTTTTCTTTATTATTAATCAGCATTTCCTCCAAATCAAGATCTCAAAACCATATAAAGTTCAACATGGAAGATATTAATAATTTTTGCAATTGTTTAAAAAACCTACAAATGGAATCTTACGAAGAAATCGAAAATTGCTACTTACTATTATCTTACAATACTAATATATCAATGGAAGAAGATTCAAAAGAAGAAAATAAAAACGGAAATGAAAGTATATTATATATGCAAGACATAATTAATTATCTAACATCCAGTTTGTGTGACATAATGAACCAATCAAATACTAGTGATTTACATATTATGATAGTGAAAATCACTATAGTAGCTAAAGTAGTCTCCACAATGAAGAAATTGAACATAATCCCAAAAACCATGGAATTATTACTCTTGGAAACTCTACAAAATTATTTAAAAATCGTTTATAGTCTTTTAGCGAGTATAGATTCATCCAGGATCAATTATATCTATCTCCAGAGTGTGATAAGAGTCTTAACTGTGCTATACGAAAGCTCTTATAGTGAAAACGTGATGGAAATAATAGTTTCTTCCACTACCTTGGAAATGTTGAAAACGATATTTGGTTTTATGAATATAGAAGATGATATTTCTACTCGTGGATCGGTTATAGATCATGGATCCTTTCAAAACAGACGGAGGTACTCGGACAGAGAGTTCGAGGAGTGCAATTTTTGCCATAATGGGGCGATTAAGATTCTGGCAGCCAAAGCTCTGGCCTTTTTCTGTTGTATGAAAATTGAAAAATTAGAGATCCAAACAAAATTGATGGAAAATTTATTGAAAATAGAAATGTACGATCTTTCTAAAACGGTGGATTTCAAGATGGCCGTCGTAGTTTTAGAGTCTCTGAACAAATATGGCGGAGAATTGTGGAGAAACCATGGGAAAACTCTTTTAAAAAATTTTCTAACTTTGTGTGATGAACGTTATTTAGACGAAACTAAGATTATTTATTTATTTAATATTCTACCATACTTTGTTAGGTATTCTATAGATCATAACTATGATTCAGACCAAACAATGGCCGTTATTTCTAAATTAAACTTTGGATTAAAAAAAAAATTTTGTTTTAAAATTCATGTTGAATTTACTAAATGTCTTTCAAAAATAATTCGCTTAAATTTCTTATTATTAAACAATCCATCGCCAATAATCGATGCTATACTATCGTCTCTAGCTAATCCCTTAGTGATCGTAAGGTTGGAAACACTGAAATGCGTGCAGGAATTTTTCTCTTCTCCCAGAATCCCAATAATTTTAAAAGAATCTCTGTTTTTAGAAATAGAAAAATTAATAAATAAATCTATTATAGTAGACGAAAGGGAGTCTGCTATAGCAAGTTCACTATTAGTATTGTCCGCCATTTTATCTGCCACAGGGACATTCCAAAGTCGGGCTTTATTAAGTATGTTACGCTTCACTATAGATCAAAACGTAGAAATTGAATTAATTCCCAAATCTTTAAACACTATAGTTGATAAAATAAGTTATGAAATCCTAATCGAAGAGAATTTGAGCTTTCTAATAACGTACTGGTTTGACTCCAGCTATTCTTCGCGGCCATTTCCCTGGAAAATAACGCCTTCCAACTCTGAAATCGAATTTTATAAAATTCATGCTCGAAAATTCGCTTTTATAAAATTCCAAAAGTTCGAAATTTCAAGTATAAGTTCCTTCTGCAATTATGTGAGTTTGCCATTGGAACAGATGATAGAAAATATCTTTCCAGAGATCCTAATCTGGCTATTGCACAACATCCAAGAAAATGGTGCCCAGAAGAAGTTAGCAAACAAAATGTTTCGAAAGTTAATTTCGAATGAAGATGAATTTTTGCGAATGAAAAAGTTTTCTAACTTGTTTAACGAGAAATTCGAAGACATTTTAATATATTTGGTGCACCGTCTACACGACGAGGACAATTTTGAAGCAATTTTTAATCTAAAAACTTCATTTGTAATGTCGGATCCCCCTCATTTAAAAAAATCAGAGGTTCATGATTGTTTGGAATATATGAAACGAAACTTCTTTGAGCAAGAAACTTCTGTACAGTTTGTTCTGGTAAAAAGTTGTCCTAACATACTCCAAAACATATTAATTAACTTGATTAAGGACGTTCACAAGAAGAAATTTGCAGAACATAGGATGAAATCCTTTTATCAATACGTTTTCTTCTGTGATTTGATGATGGAAGATTTAAAAGAAGAATATTTTAACGATTTGTCCACGTTTTTGATCAAGGAAATTGGATACAGTCTGCTTCATATAATAAAATTGCAAGATTGTCTTCTAGAGATTGCCTGTGGATATTTTTATAAGTTTACTGAGCAAGTTTCGAAGTTCAGGAGTGAAGACATGAAGAGAATAGTTAGCTTTGCTGTTGTTACTCTTATTCCAATTATAAATGGAGGAAAAGTACCCATAACTTTGAAAATTTTGGGTCTTTTATCAATCCATTGCGGAGAAACCAAGATTTGCAACTTAAAAGATAAGGTGCTTGGTTTCTTAAATTCTTCAAAGAACGAAAATATAAATCACAAAGTGGAAGAGCTAAGAACTTTGTATGAAAAACTCGAAACTTCGCAGGAACCGAAGATTCGCAGCCTGGAAGTAGAGGTGCATCATTTTTTGAACATTTCTGAGAATGAAAATATAAATTGCAGCGCAGAAGACATTTCCAACTTGCGTTTGCAATTGTCTAAAAGGAAAGGAGAGCTCAGAATTTTGTACGAAAAATTGGAATCGCTTCGGGGATTTTCTGAAGATTGTGTTTCCAGTGCTTTGCATTGTTTGATATGCAAATTAATCAGATTAACAGCATCTTCAGATCCAAATATTTCTATGGAAGCTTCTAAATGCTTGGGAGAATTAGGCCCCAACAATTTGAGTTCCATGATACTTTATTTAGAAAAAAGTTATGCTAAAGAAACTTCAGATTTGTTAGGAATATTATCTTACAAAGTTGTAACAAAACTTGTTCAGTTTTTGCATCAAAGTGATGTGGATCTTAAAAAAGTCAGTGTGGATGCTTTTCATGTTATTTTAACGACATTTTGGGGACACAGATTATCCGACACAAAGTACACGAATTGCTTAAAATCCGATTTAGGCGAACCCAAAGTAACATTGCCGTCTTACTACATTAAACCTTTCACAATCGCGACAAATTTAAAACCTAAGAAGATTAATATAAATGTGAAAGTTAATGACATTTTAAATCCATGTAATAGTGTTTGGACTATTTTGTCTGATGGTCTGTACTCTGATTGGATCATAAAGATAAGTTGCAAAATTTTAGAATGTTTTATAGGATTTTATTCAGAAAGTTTAATTTCAGTTTGTAAATTAAGCACTGATATCTGTGAAATAATTTTGCCAAGAATTATTTTTTTATTGATTAATATAGACTCTAAGTATACTTCCGAAATATGTCTGTGTGTAAATAGATTCTTCGACTATCATTTTAATTTTACTACGGGACCTACAATGCGAAAAATTAAGAATTGTGATCACCAAATTGTTAGAACTATGTTAAATGTCGTTAATTATGTTAGGATACAGGTTCCTGATAATGTTAACTTAAAATTTAACTATATGTACATTGCAAAAGCGGCACAATATTGTTCTGCGTTTTTTACTGCGATCCTTTATGCAGAAATGGCTTGCGAAAATATTTTGAGCGACTCTAACGAGTTTAGTAATGTTTCAAAAGTAGATTGCGTTTACGAATTGGAACCGGAACGAGGAAGAGTGATTCAAAACATACTGAGGGATGCCTATACGAAAATAGGAGACTTCGACGCGATTCATGGAACCGGGACGTCCCATTTGCAAGATCATGCGACTAGAATACAGCATTACGTCCAGAGCCACGAGTGGAATAGAGTGATACTGGCACAGGACGTAGAGCTGTCTTTTGGGAACATGAGTGTGATTAAAGGTACACAGAAAAAGGATTAATTTGCATATTTTGTGGGGAAGGGTGTCCCATTCGACTGGAGAACAAGCTATATATTTGAAACCGATAAAAATTCAAAAAGATGTTATAAGGTGAAATGATATTAATTAATGATATCGAATGATGCACAATCGGAATGCAGTAAATGTTGGATGTACAGGGTGTTCGGCCACCCCTGGGAAAAATTTTAATAAGAGATCCTAGAGGCCAAAATAAGACGAAAATCAAGAATACCAATTTGTTGATGGAGGCTTTATTAAAAAGTTATTAACGTTTAAAGTTCCGCCCGTACTGAATTTTTTTCTCGAAAATGTGCAGGATTTCGGGGGTATGTGTAATGATTAAAAATGATTGTAATTGACCCCCGCAACCGAAAATAATTTTTCCAGAAGGATTTGAAATTTTTGAATTTAAATGCTAATAACTTTTTAGTGACGCCTCCATCAACAAATTGGTATTCTTGTTTTCGTCTTATTTTGGCCTCTGGAATCTCCCATTAAAATTTTTCCCAGGGGTGGCCAGACATTCTGTATACCTGGAAATTGGGACTTTGAATCGAGCGTTTATGGAATAAATGGATCGATTCTAATTATAGAAACAGAAATTTACTATCAAACGTAGGAAACACGGCGCGTAAAAGAGGAAAGGAGATCCTTCTTAGCTGGCGAGCATTGTGGTAGGGAATCTCCCCTTAGTGGTGAGAAGAAACATCCGGGCATTTATGGTGCAGATTAGTTCGGGCATATGTATATCTAATTTTCACTGTATAATTGTATTCATTTTTGTGCGTCGATGCGTTTAAAAAATGCAACTGTGCCCTTTTTTTAAATTTTCACAATTTTTATTCCACCATTCGATGCAATTATTTAATTAAAAAAAAAATTATTGAGATAGTACGCTTAATAGCTCTCTAAGCTCTACACTTAATAGTTCGGCAGTTGTAACACATCTAAATTTTGAAAATTTTTCATTCTTCTCATCAGTTTGTATGTATTAATTTTTTCGAATATTTCCTAACAATTAAAAATCAAAATTTTACATTCGAATATCAAGATTCTTAAAACAAATCATTATTTTGTATTTCATAAAAAAATCTACACAAGAAATTTCACAAAATTTCTAATGAATACGTATTAGATTCTGTAGAATTTATTAAGAGAAGACAATTAAGTAATCATATGTTACGTACACAAAGGAAGAAAATTCTATTTTTACTTATAATAATAATTTTGGAATATAATTGTTTATTTGTCTGCAGAAATGGCGAATGGATTGTATAAATCAGGTTTACAATACTTGCTCGGCAATTTCGTCTCATTTTTATCGAAGGAGACCGAAGAAATGGACGAAAATATTCAGTATGAGTGTGCCTGGCGGCTCAGCAATTGGAATTTATGCGAAACAAATCAATCACTATTCTTAAAAAGCGAATCCAAGTCAATCATAACAGAATTCGATTATCAGTTTTACCATTATCAAGCATTAAAATATTTCCACGAAGTAAATGAGATTGGAATAAAAATTGCACTCGAAAATGCTCGTATAAGTGTCATAAAAGCTCTAAAAAACATTAGTTTAGGTAAAATTTATTAAATTTTTTATTAAATATTTTATTAAAATTTATTAAGTAACAATAATTATTTATTTATTTTTTAGAAAGCAGCAAAACTATTTACGAAAAATTAATGCAGCTGCAATTAATTCGAGAAATCGAAGAATTAAGTTTTTGTAAACCAGAAGACTATGAAAAGCTGTTAAAAAAATGGCAGGAGCAAGATTCGACTAATTTGAAAGAATTTCAGTATTTGGAACCCATTTTGACTCAAAGAATAATTATGTATCGTATAACCAATAACGAAAAATTGAAAAATGCAATGTTTGATGCTTATTTGGAAATTTCTAAAATGGCCGTCGATAAGGAGAATTTGGACATTGCTACTCGTTCTTTAGGTATACATACAATTAGATATAAATATTAAAATTTCATTGCAATCTTCTTACTATTTTAAATAAAAATTTCCGTACAATTATCTTAATATTTATATTATGTAAGTTACATAATAAATTGTTGTTTTTTTTCAATTAAAGCTGTGTTAGCGAAACAAAAAGATTTACCATCTGAAATTGAAGACCAATTACTATATCAGGAATCACTATTGGCTAGAGTGAGAGAAGATTTGGAAATTGGCCGTTTTCTTCTGAAAAATTTGATGAACAAAGAGAATTTAAACAAAAATTTAAGAGCCCAAGTTTTAAGAGTTTATGGAGACTGGATGGCTGAAATGAAATCGGAGAATCCTGAGGTTTATATTAAATTTAACAAACTATACATAATTATATTAGAATTGTTAGATTATTAAATAGTTTTTGAAGAATGTGTTAATCATAATAAATCTAATTACGTTCAATTTTATAAAATTCTGAAATGTATAAGATGATCCAAATTTTAACGACTAAACTTTTTTATTTAACAAATAATTTTCGAAAAATAGAACCAATTTGTACGTTTCAAAGTTTGGAAAATTTGTAATTTAATTAAATTTATCAAGATTATTACATTCAATTGCTATAATTACAGTCCAATTGCTTTGTAGCGCAATTCCAGTGTGATTGGACGTAATTTTATTGTTGCATATACAATCAGATTACAATCGGAAGATCACTTCCAAATTTTCCAATTGTTCAAATTTCTCTCTATTAGAAAGATCGCGTGACACAAATTGAATTGCACAAGTTTCTTATTTTAAAAATTGTTGAATCTATTTGTATTCCCCTCAGGCTGTAATAAAGAAATATTATTTGAAGTCTATAGACACTAGCACTTCCATAGAAGAAGAAACTAGTGATAGTGTTAAGAATTTACATGGTACACAAGTGGCATTAGCTCGGTTTGCGGACGCTCAGTTTGAACAAATATGTTCTTACATGAAATCTCCGCAATTCGAAACTTTGAAAGAGTGTATTCTGTACTCGAGCGAAGGAATCAGCGTAGATTCAGTCAGTAAAGACAAGGATGTGAGGAAGGCATTGATTTTGAACCAGAGACAGAATATAAACGATGCTGCTGAGCTGGAAAGAATAGAAAAGGAAAAGGATAATTATCTAATCTTGGCACTCAAGTAAGATTTTATTAAGTATACGCAGAATTGTGGAAACAAAAGGGATCTAAACAGTAGATTTAGGCACATGCAATGCAAATATTTTTATTACCATTTTTAGTACCACCCTGTATTTAGGAAAATCTTTCTTACATCAAGTTATATATTCCCTGAAACTATTCAACTTTTGTAGAAACCATTTTTTAGTATCCTTAACAGTTTCAAAGATATTTCAATTTTAATAATACTCTTCTAATTCCACCACCCTCAATGCAATAAAATTCATTTAAAATGTTTTTTAATACAAATAGAAGTACAATACAATCAAAAATAATTCTAATTAATTCACTCTATATATAACAGTATAAAGTTTATTTCTTATTAAAATATATTCTTTCCTCATTGTTATAATAAGAATTGTTTCTTTCCAGATATTATTTGATAGTACTTCAACAGAGCGAGAACTATAATCTATTAATATTCAGGATAGTAACTCTATGGTTGGACAATGTTAATAAAAAGGAAGTGAATAATTTGTTGCAACTAAACTTCAACAAAATTTCGTCGTTCAAATTCATTCCTTTAGCTCCACAATTGGCTGCTCACATGAATGATATTTTCGACGATTTTTCTCAAAAAATTTACGAGATTATGAAACGTTGTGCCTTGGAACACCCACATCATACTTTACCAGTTTTATTAGCCTTGAAAAATCTTTATGGTGACTACGAATACAATGTTGTTAAGAAAAATAGGACTTTGGAACCAAGAGTGTTGGGAGCTAGAAAATTATTGCAGGAATTAATGAAGTCTGATATAAATTCTATTGTCTGTAAAATGGATAAATTATCACATTCTTTAGTCATGTTGGCCAATCTTGCAACTTCTTCTAGTAAACGTAAGTTTAGTATAATTTTTTAAGTGGAAATCTGATTGAATATATTCATCGAGTTCTTAATAAAACAATTTTTAAAAGTTGAAACGAAAATTTCATAGTAAATTTTAATCTGTTTTCTGAAATTCAAATACTAAAAATTAATTTTAAATATTTTAAATTAGTCACGATTATAAAATAAAACGTTTAAAATTATATTAATAATTCAAAATAATTTTCTAAGAAATTTGTCTGTGCACAGCTGGATCTATAGTGAAGATACCTAAAAACCAAGAGATTTTAAGTGTGAAAAATTTTGAAAATGTACTTGTCCCAACGTTAACTACCGATTTGAAACCTTCCGGAGATTACAGTGATATTATTAGTATTTTCAAATACAAAGAAACTTATGAAACTGTTGGAGGTATGAATTCACCTAAAAAATTAATTTGCATCGGTATGGATGGAATAGAAAGATATCAGTTAATAAAGGTTAGTTTGAATTTCACATAATAATTGATCGTTAAATATCAACTATTTATAATAATATTCATAGATATGAGAAATTCATTTTTATTCAAATATTGAATTTATAATTAATTAAATATATGTATATATATTTGTACAGGGAAAAGACGATTTAAGACAGGATGCTGTTATGCAACAAGTTTTTAACGTAATGAATATATTATTAAAAACTTGCAAAGAAACTAAACGTAGGAAACTGATGATAAGGACCTACAAGGTAATTAAATAAAATCAATTTTCGGTTTCAAATTTCTTTTTTTTTCCATTCAATTCACAAGTTTTTCCAAGCATCTTGAGATGAAAATAAACGCGAATTAAAATATTTCAGATTTTAGTGTATGGGATACAAAAATTTGCTGATAATTATTTATTTAATAGCAATTATTAATTTTAATTGCAAATAAAGTTTAACTTGCGATGAGCCATACGATAGCTAATAAACAGCTACCAATTTGTTCCAAATTTCATATGTTTGTGTAAATAATTTGTTTCTTAAAAAACCTTTAGAAATATTTTCAAATACGACCAACAAGATTACAAACTTCAAAACAAAACAATTTCAAGCACAAAGCTTGTATTAGCTGACCTAAGACGTTTAAAAAAAATATTTATCTTATAATTTAGATATAGTCAGTTATTTGAATATTGTATATTATGTGCTTAAGGTCGCCTAACTGTTTATTAATTTTTTTCAGGTTGTACCACTAACACAGAGATCTGGAATTTTAGAGTGGTGCGATAACACAATTCCCATTATGACTATATTAACGGGTTCGAATAGTGTTTGCGGGCTGCAAAAGAAATATTATCCGAGGGATTACACAGCAAGCTATTGCAGGGAGAAATTGGCAGTAAGTTTCTATTTAAATAGAATTATTGGGTTGAGTCATAAGTAATTGCCGTTTTTAGTCTAAAACGTATTCTCCATTATTAAATACAACCTTTTGCCACAATGCGTACTTATTCCACCTTTTTATTTTACACACACATATACACCATCACCGATGATACATAATATTGACATACATAAACTCGAGACGCTCAACCGACGACTGCTGACTTCCCAATCTGTCGCTAGCCTCAGGTATTCCTGCAAAAATACTGGGACGCCATATTCCCATATTCTTATAGTATCCTGTTGAGTATAAATAAAACATTCGAACAAATTCGAATAGTTTAGTCTCAGTCGGTACACATCATGCAATCTCACAAAATCCGAACGAGAACGACTCAACTATGGAATATCCAGTGGTGTATGTGTACTCACTTGAGGTCTTCGAGTTCCTACCTCCCTACTTGGTGACACCTACGCAGAGCGTTACCTTTTGTCGACCAGGCTTCTCGGCCACAATTTACGTCTCAGAAACCCTCTGAACAAATAGATCAAAACGGATTCGGGCATCCTCATTCGACAACTTCTACCCCTACAATACTAATATAATAAATTATGATAAAAATAATACAGATTCTAATATAAATATTGCAATGTCATACCTTATAGTGCAGTGTATTTTACATTTCTCTTAATACAAGCATTGCAATTTCAATTTTCCGTAGCTAATTATTTTATTTTCGCTAGGCTGTAGAAAAATCATCAACGGAAGTGAAATTAAAAGTCTTCACCAATTGCTGTACTCATTTGCACCCAGTTATGCATCATTTCTTCACCGAAAAGTATCCGTCGCCCGAAACATGGTTTGAAAGAAGATTAGCCTACACGCGCAGGTAATTATTTTACCAAACAATTATAGTTATACAGGGCGGTTCTAGTAAGTGGGGCAAGTTATAACTCTGTCTTTGTTGAAGTTAGAAAAAAATTGTGGAGGAAAATATTGCACTGTTTGACCTGCTCTATTACACGACTACAACCTCATTTTCGCAGATGCACAAGTGCAGTTGTAAAATACAGTTTCACTATTCTTTTTAAATGAAACCCTATAAATTTTTGTTCATAAATTAAATCCTGGTGTCATTTTACGTATAAAAGATAAGATATTTTACTTTAAGTAAAATATATAAATTATATCTGTTTACAGTATAGCAACCACGTCTATGGCTGGATATATCCTAGGATTAGGCGACAGACACCTAAACAATATTTTAATCGACCAATCAACAGCTGAAGTTATTCATATAGACTTTGGTAATGATACTCATTATTATTATTATTTTTAATGAAATAGAAATAATTATATGATTTTATTTAAATAGATTTCGGGTGAGAATGTTGAAATTATTTTTGTAATACAATAAAAATAATGAAAAAATTTAATTTGAATAGGTATAGCATTCGAGCAGGGAAAAGTATTGCCTATACCGGAAACAATTCCCTTTCGACTGACACAAAATATAGAAGCGGCGATGGGTGTGTCCGGTATCGAAGGTACAATGAGACATTGCAGTGAAAAGACTTTAAACGTGTTAAGAGACCAAAAACAAGTAATTATAACGCTTCTACAAGTACTATTGTACGATCCATTGTTCACGTGGACCGTCACACCGGCCAGAGCACATAATATTCAATGTGGGAATTCCGTGGGATCACTAGAAATCAACCAATGTAAATATATTATTTCTACTAGTACAATTTAAAATTATTTAGTCACTTGGAAAATTTACTAAAATCCTACGTTTGCCATAAATATTAGTAAAATATTAATTTTGAAATATTTGTGATAAAAAGATAATAAATAGTGTGTGTGTGTGTCCCTATACAACTCCTTGCCTGGTATGACTTGGTTGTTTTTGAGAATATCGAAAAATGTTTCGGACAGTTTCGAGGGTTGCATGAGATAGCGTAAAGTTTTTACAGGATCACCTTTGTTTTTTAAATGGAAACAATTTTTAATACACTAATTAATCCAGATAATTATTCTCTACAAAAAAAAAGTAGTTATCTACATATGTCGAGAAACCATTAGATTAGAACATATTCATATACACAAGTTATATTTCCAGCCTCCACTTACTATTTTAGTTAAATAAAAATTCTAGGAATCTTAAAGGAAACTTTAATTTAGATTTGGCTGAAAATAGATAGTTGATGGCATTCTCGTCACAAAATTATATAACGAAACAAATTTTAAAAAACGAAAAGCAGAGTTTCATATCTTGGAAAATAAACAATTTCTAATATTCTATAGTGTTAATTAAAATACTTTGTTTAGGTTCTACAGTGACAAATAAAACAGCAGAAAAGGCTCTATTAAGGATAGAACAGAAGCTTCAAGGCACAGAAGAAGGTTTGGCTTCCAGCGTTTCTGGCCAAGTTGAAAGGCTCATTCAACAAGCTCGGGATCCTCTAAATCTCTGCCGACTATACTGTGGATGGCAGCCTTATCTGTAATAAATCGATTTCGATGAAAGGCCATTCGCCATTTAAAAGTTAATTACGATGAATGGAAACTAAAAGTAAGAATTTTTTAGAATTTTAATTTTCTTTTTATACGAATTTACAGTTTAGACGATATTAACAGATTTAGATTACTTAAAAATGTAAATATAGCTAGTTCATACGTTCGTCTGTTAGGGTTACGATTATTAGAATAATCCAACATTCAAACTTTTGGGAAATAATTGGTTTGAAAAGTAAGATAATTATAAAAATATTAACTATTAGGCTTATGTTTTATTAGTCTCTTTTTTTAAAGTCGTAACTCTGGGTATATTGTTAATTTTTTTCATTATTATCCAATCTTGATATTTGGAATTGTTTGAATTATTCTATTACTGGTTCGAATATTTGTAGCTTTTCTTAAAAAAGAGGGGGAAGAACCAATATTTGTGGCATATTTTTTACAATTTTTAAATAATTTTATTTAAGTGTTTAGATTTTCAATCTTTTTTAGATTCGAAAACAGAAATATTAGTAATTTCTGTTCAGGTATTAAAACTGTTTTATTCTTATGCTAGCATAATCCTAGTTAACATAAAATAATAAACGAAGAAGTACAAAAATATAGAAAACTGAGGTACTAGAATTTGATTTATTTTTGTTGTTAAAATACATAAAACCATTGTAAAATGTTATTAACTGAAGAAGTGTAATATCACTTTATTGCTTCCCCTTAGGGTTACAAGCACTCCTTATCTTACACTCTTCTCTACAAACCTTCCTTAACCTAACTTATCTCCTACTCTTGCACTACCGCTCCGCACGCTTTTCCCCCTTTCTCTCATTCCGCTCGCTCTTAGCCTACTTAGCCTACTAGCCTACTCTTACGCTACTCTTACGCTACTCTTACGCTACTCTTAACCTACTCAACTGAAGAAGTAAATAGACTGTAAGACATTGTTTATATCAAAAGAACCCTGTTTAGGTAGATAGATAGATAGATTTATTTTACTGTTTCCCCTTAGGGTTACACATCCTCCTCGCCTCACACTTACAGCTCTTCCTTAACCTAACTTATCCTACTCTTACATTACTCTTACATCATCGCTCCGCCGCTTTTCCCCCTCTCTCTCCTTCCGCACGCCGCACGCTCTTAGCCTACTCTTACGCTACTCGCTCTCTCTCTCATTTCGCACGCCGCACGCTCCTAGCCTACCCTTACGCTACTCGCCCCTGTTTAGGTATATTTGTTAAATTATTTTCTATTTTAATCATGGCTTCTTCTTCCGTCTTCAGATTCCTGAAATAATTAACTTTAGATTAATATTTTTACTGTGCCAATTTTATTTAAATATTTAGAAATAACATTATTAATTAAAAATTCGATTTTTTTAATTCTGAAATAACATTTTTAATAAAAGATTCGACGATTCCAAATTATATTATACATATGTATGTACATACATTCAAAAACAAGAAATAGGAATGTTCCGAAATATCTCTTGTTTATAACATAAATTCTGTTATTAATATTAATAGAAGTTTCTATGTTAAACAAAATTATATTATATTGTTATTTATCTCTGTTAACTGGCGAGATCTGCACAGCACGTGGTCGTTGGTAGCAGAGCGTGGTTGTGTCACACCAAATACTACACATAATTAATTTGAATACAAAACTTATATTTCTAATTTTACATTTAAACACGTGCAACTCCAGTTCAACGTAACCGTATACCACAGTCCGAGGAAGAAAAACACTCGAGAAAAATGGGGCGCAATACGCGGTGATCCACCATATTTATACATGTCTGATACCCACCAGGGATACCAACTGCTAAACTTGCAACTGGTTTTGTGGTGGTTTGCATTGTCTTCCAGGAGGAATAAATATGCAAACTGCTGCACTGAATAAAACTCTTTATTTTTCCGTGCTACCCGTCTTTCGCTAACCGACGATACCGCGAGGAATAATTGAACAACGCTTCCTTTTGTTTTTCGCGAAGCGCGCGTCTTATTATCTAGGCTTACCAACTACTTATTCTAAAATCTCTAACCTATGACTAGAAACCAACTAACCTAACTTAACCTAGTTGACGTAAGATGGCGCGTCGACCGCCGGCAACAATGGCCGCTGGTCGGTACAAGCACAGACGAGATATATGAATAGACCTTTCACCTTATGGACTTTCGCGGCCTAATCTGACTGCCATACCGACCTGAAAATTCGGAGGTGATTTTAGCGGCCTCTTCTCTTGGATGGCGGTCAGTTGAGAAACTCACTGAATTAGTGTGATAGGCAGCAGCTAGTTGCATGTAAATGCATACGAGTTGAAAAGTACGAATTATTCGGCATTCCTTGACTAGTTAAAGTTGTAAATAATTTGCTAAAATCAGTCTAACCGCGGTTTTTACCTGAGGCATCCCTCGGGTTCGTAATATCACAGACGAGGTATACGAGTAGACCTTTCACCTAATGTATTTTTTCGGCCCGTTTCTCTGGGGTCCCGGGACCCCATTACCATTTTCGTGTCACTCGCAACGTTATCAACAGATTTAGAAATGAATTTTAATCCCTTTCATAGCCAACTCACATGGATTTACGCAAAACTACAGCTGTTTGCCTATCAATACTAATTCAGTGAATAATTTCTCAACTGACCGCCATCCATGAGAAGAGGACGCTGAAATCACCTCCGAATTTTTCGCTCAGTATGACAATTGTTCGAACTGACGTACAAAAAGACAAAAATTAACGAGATACACTCTTCCAAAATGGAACAAAATGTTAAAAAGATCATGCATCAAATTGTAAGGGAATCCTCGTAAGAAGGCTTTAATCTTCGTAATGGTTTTAATGGGTCGATGATCAACAATGACTAGTTTATGGTCACTGGTGGTCAACAGTGAGGTGGACATCAAGGTCAGCGGTCCAGTGAAGAGCCAGAAATGGTCAAGAGGTGGGACCAATCGAAATAGTTTCTTTGTAGACGAGACAGTCTTACCTGTTATCTTCAACTTTGGCTCTGACTGGTCTCCCCACCCTTTCATCACCTTAGTCATATAAGCAGGGTCACTGCGAAGATTTCTTCAGTCGCGTCGCGAATTCGGGAGTGGGCAAATAGCCAAAAGCGAACCGGGGACCGTTGCTGACCACTACTGGCCAGCGCTGACCACAGCTGACCATGGCTGACCAATACTGACCACTACTGACCAGTGCTGATTCGCGTTCCTGCCACTACTGACCACTACTGACCAGTGCCGGACGGTGATGACCAACGGTAAGAACTGTTTAAAAATTCTCTCCCCTCTTCTATTCTATCATTTGATGCCAATTTTGCTTCAATGAACTGATTTTGCCTTGTTTATCTAACTGATGTTGCTATAATATGAATATTTTCTTACTTTACAGCTGGCCCTTATGGTAACTACCCTATGTACTGACAACAAGTAGTAAGTCCACTCCACTTATTTATATTTTATTATTTTTATTTGTTTGTTTGATGTGTATTCAACTGTATTTATCTATCTGATTTTATTTGGTTATTACGAATGTTCCTTTTCTATGTTTCTACTTTTACATTGTTTGTCGAATTTATGCGAATGCTTTGATACGTATAGTATTGCAGGATATAATAATGTAGTATTGTTTTCAATCATATACTATATTCGTTTCTACACGATTCCATGAATTTTTATTTTTACCTTCTTGCTCGAATTCTCGTAATATTCTGCGGAGGTACTTCCTTTGATTCTTCCATTCCGTTTGATTGTTTGGTGTTGATTCAATTTGGTGTCTCGATCCAAGTTCCTATCGTTGTTACGAATGGTCGTTTTGAGTTGTATTACATTGTGTCGATGTATATACTGTATTCGTTTCGATGATAGTGATCATTAGAAGAATGTTCGGTTTGATACGTAAAACATGGTGTCGATGGATATGCCATATTTGTTTCGATGGCACTGATTAATATAAGATTTCTATTTTTACGTTTAGCCCCTTTAGCTAGGTGATAGATTATTTTTAAGTGTTTATTAAATTTCCTACCATGTCTCACTAATGTAAATATTAGTTTTGATTTCAGTTTAAATTTGGATTAATCGCAAGGACACCGAGGGAGAACGCCGCGCCCGCCGAGGGACTTTTAATTCCGAGTTGATTAGTCTTAAGCTTCGTCGCGAGTATTAAAATTAAAGTCGAAGCCTTCTTTATTATACGTGTCTCCGTGTCCTACCAAGCAATTATTCAATAAGTAGATTGTGTCTCTCGCTCGTTCCCTCGTTCCTAGCTTCGGTCACCGCTGTTTCATCGATTGAGACATGTGATCGGCCGTGTAGCTGGCCCGACAGATCTAACCGCCTTCCCTTGGTAGCTCGATCCAGGGAAAATGGTACTCTGCTGGAAGGTGTGGAGTTTCCGTATCCTGCGGAAACGCATACCTTCCAGCGGAAGTCGACACTGAAACAGAGGTACTCTCTCTATGTCAGACAACTTGAGTCGGGTCCTTCGGGCTCCCGGCGGGTTGCGTTGGAGCAATGGAGACCTTAGATTCGGAGTCGCAGCCGTCCGTTATCCTGTAGAGATCTAGTTAGCAAGGGCAGTAGGTTCGATCCTCGGATCCGCTGCACGGTTCAGCGTCGCGTCGCGTCGCTTCGCGTGCCCCTCAAATTAACTTCGTCCCTCTTTTTAACCAAATAATTGCTTGGTACATCCAAGGAACTTTGTTTCCTTCTATCGTCCGAATTTTAGTTTCAACTTGACTATACTTGAGCTTCGACGTTAATTTTAAGTCCCTATCGTACGCGTCTCCCAATATTTCCAAGTAATTATTTAACAAGTAGCTTCTCTCGACTCGTTCTCTGGTTCCTAGCTTCGATCACCGCTGTTTCATCGATCGAAACATGTGATCGGCCGTCCAGTTTGTCCGAAAGATCTAGTCGCCTACCCATGATAGATCGATTGCTAGAAATAGGAATCAATCTACCAAGGGCAGTGTTGATTCGATCCGAAGATCTGCTGCACGGTTCAGCATCGCGTCGCGTATCCCATAATTTAGCTTCATCCCTTTTTAAACGAAATAATTACTTGGTAGCTAAGCTTAGCTAAAAGGGAGATCGATGGAACTTTGATTCCATCTATCTCCCTTCGGGTCTCCACTCGCAGCAACCTCCACGTGGTGAGACCTGGGTCATATTATTTAGTATGTAATTAATACAATTATTAATTACATAGGAAATAATATGAGCTAATGGCTGCGTTCTTCTTATAGTTCCACATACCTTGTTCGTCCTGGTGTGCGGTCTAATAACACTGATTTCGAGTCGCAAATACGTTTTTGCCGAGTTAGTTTTTAAATAAATAATATATTACAATTTACAATAAAAAATAGAGGATTTGCGGTGTATTTATCAATGAGATCCTTACGTATTTTAATAATTTTGAAATCTTTAAATAATCTCGATCGATTGGTTATTCCAATGAAATTAATCGATCGATGCTCAATTCTGGACCATACAGCTTTCATTCCGTTAAAAAATAATAAAATTTATGTAATTTTATTTTCCGTCTCACTTCCTCTTGTGTTAATTTCTAAATCTGTTGATAACGTTGCGAGTGATACGAAAATGGTAATGGGGTCCCGGGACCCCAGAAACTCCGGCCGAAAAATTACATTAGGTGAAAGGTCTATTCATATACCTCGTCTGTGGTACAAGTTTCTCAACTGACGGTCACTGACCGCCATCCATGAGAAAAGGCCGCTAAAATCAGCTCCGAATTTTCAGGTCGGTATGGCAGTCAGATTCGACCGCGAAAGTCCATAAGGTGAAAGGTCTACTCGTGTACTTACCTCGTCTATGGTGATAGTATATGTATAGAACATATTTATTATATATTGTACACATTTATAAAAGTATGGAAAAGTTGATGAATGTCAACAATCTGTGAAAGATGTAGCGACCGGTCGTGCGCACATGGGAAAGTTTTTCTCTCGTGCAAACGGCCCACGTAATTTACGACTCTCGTTCGTCGAAGCTGTTTTTGAGGAAGATATTTTCCAGACTCGCGTATCGAATGCGTTTAGTAAATTCTTTTCCTAAGTCCCTCAACAGCAAATAGAGACCGTCGTAAATTAGGGATTTCCAGAGGACACTCGACGCGTACCCATCGGAGTTGCGCCAAGTGGGCCCAGCGCGGGTGGGACCGAAGGAAATCTTGCAGTGAGGGCGCAACGTCGTCCCCCTCAATCACCACGCCGTTTCGAAAACAAGCACGACGTGGGCGTAAGAAATAGGCGGTGATTTGGGAAAAATAAACGGCCCTGATTGGAAAGGCCCAACGCGTGGGGTTAACCAATCAGGGTTGTTTAACAATTTTGCCAGTGCGACCGAGGGGTCGACATGGAGACGAGCGAAGAATAACTTCACTTGGTTTTGCGCGCTCTAACCGAAAACAACGGAAAAATATAGAAAGTTTTGTCACCCCACTAAAAGTGTTTTCCTACAACAACCTATCCCAACAAAGATAACTTCGAAATAATTTAAAACGATACCTAAAATGCTAATGATGTCGAAAAATTGTTTTAGAATTATCGTTAAATAAATAGATACGTATAAGTAAAGATACTAATACTATTTTAATCGGAGATTATAATTATTTAATAATATAAATATATTGTCCGATATAAAAATTTTAATTTTGCCTCGTTCGTAAATACGACGTGTTTTTAATAATGAAAATATTTCAAATATTACCTGGCAAATTTTACTATTTTTTTTCTATTTTCTTTACTAATGTGAGATTTATCACTAGCTAAATATCCATGATAATCCATGAAATGTCATACTAGCTCTATATAGCGAACAATCTCAGATATTATTTATGTGTCGACCTACCACGGTACAAATATTTCAATTAACACAAGATGAAATGCTCACTAATTATAATAAAAATGATGTTTTCCAAATGTTTCATTTTGAAAATTACTAGTTTATCTTTACTTTATTAACTTACTCATTCACCCCTAATAGAATATAAAATTATATTGATAAGAATTTGAAAAAGAATTTGAAAAAGAATTTGTTATTAGTTGGGAGGTTACGAATACTTTTGCGACTTACTGTCTACTCAATTATTAAAATGTATGCAAGCGACATTATACGATTAAATATTTTCAGGAAAAATATTGTTCCAAGTATTTGGTATGTAATTTTAAAAGTTCAAATGACAGTTGGCCAAAGACAAAAGTTAATGATTGTGGGGACTTGTCAAGGCGAGCACGATAAGTTAAGAATTTTAATGTTTGATAGTTTCCATCGTATATTGTTCTACATATGTAAGAAGGCCGGAAGCAAGTATATACATGTGAAATAGCAATTAAGGAAAAACCGACAAGTGTATTTGCATATGAATACATGCGAACTTGCATAATAATTTATGAAAGTTGAAACAGTAGAAAACATAGTATGGTTATTACGACGACTGATAAAATAATGTAACAAACGTGTATATAATACTCGCGCCTGCGGCATCCTCTGGAAACGGTTTAGAAACTTTGTTTAGTTTTCAGAGGTAATTTTTATTGCTATATATTCATACCCGTACGAGTGTAAAATTGTCTTTTATTGAAATATATTATCTTCCTTTTAAATTTACAAAACACGTGTTAGTAGTATTTAAAATTTTTCGTTTCCATAATGCACTCCTAAACATATACAGTGATCTGTGATTGCATTTAGAGCAAGATTGTCTTGTTATTAATAAACATATGTACATATATATTTAAAGAAATTTTTCTATTTTTTTAGTGATCCATAGTCTGCAGAGATCGCAACGTGCCTAGTTTGAATTATTCATTATGTCTGGTTTAAATTCAATCGATGTAAAACTGTTCGAGGATACAGCGAACGACATTGATATAATTAAGACCATCATCGATACTGATAACAATGAGGAACCCTTTTATATTCTGGATGTCGCCGACATAGTACAGAAACATCAGAACTGGATCGCAAAGATGCCGAGAGTTTCGCCGCATTATGGTAAATATGTATTGTAAAATTGATTCTCCTTGATTATTTTTCTTCAATTATTGTTGAGGAATGCAGTGTCGCCACCGATTTGAATGGGATTCAACCACACGATGACTAGAACGTTCGCTATACTCGATGACGTTAAATGCCTTTTTCATTTTCTAGAAATTAACGTATTATTAAAGTAATAATAAGTCTATGAATACATTCGGGTTTAATAGTGGTCTTATTCAAACCATAACAATTATTATTCTTCGATTTGAAATCGACCCTGTTTGTCGTTCACGGGTGTAAATTGTGTTCTCTTCGAACAGTGTTTCGACATATTTTGAACACAACTAGTGTAGGGGAAAAAGAAAGATCGAGTCTAGAAAGAATTGCGAAGGCTCGAGATGGATCCATCGATAGAGCATCAGAACCAAACGTTTTATGTCAAGTTTCAACCCTCTATCTTGTTCGGAAGGGTAGTCACAGGGAAAATTCGGATTATCGAAATTGCGTCTATTTTTTTGTATTTAATCGAGTTCGAAAATTACGTAAAAAATCTAGCGCATCGTGGCTATCGAGATACGTGTTCAAGAATTTTTTACGATTTTTTGATTGCAAATCCTAGGTAGGACAAAATTACAAAAGGCAAAAAAATACGGATTTCGTATTGAAGCTTTCGAGACGCCAGATTTCTAACAGAGTTCGGCCACCCGTGGGAAAAATTTTAATGGAAGATTCTAGAGGCCAAAATAAGACGAAAATCAAGAATACCAATTTGTTCATGGAGCATTTGTTAAAAAGTTATTAACATTTAAAGTTCCGCCCTTACTGAATTTTTTTCTTGAAAGTGGGTAGGATTTCGGGAATATGTCTATTGACCGAAAATGGTTATAATTGATCCCTGCAACCAACAATAATTTTTTTAGAACGATTTGAAATTTTTTAATTTTGTCGACAAATTTTACACCTTCTCGAATTTTTTTCTAGAAAGTGAGTAGGATTTCGGGAATATGTCTATTTACCGAAAATGGTTATAATTGATCCCTGCAACCAACAATAATTTTTTTAGAACGATTTGAAATTTTTTAATTTTGTCGACAAATTTTACACCTTCTCGAATTTTTTTCTAGAAAGTGAGTAGGATTTCGGGAATATGTCTATTTACCGAAAATGGTTATAATTGATCCCTGCAACCAACAATAATTTTTTTAGAACGATTTGAAATTTTTTAATTTTGTCGACTTTTACACCTTCTCGAATTTTTTTCTTGAAAGTGGGTAGGATTTCGGGAATATGTCTATTTACCGAAAATGGTTATAATTGATCCCTGCAACCAACAATAATTTTTTTAGAACGATTTGAAATTTTTTAATTTTGTCGACAAATACACCTTCTCGAATTTTTTTCTTGAAAGTGGGTAGGATTTCGGGAATATGTCTATTGACCGAAAATGGTTATAATTGATCCCTGCAACCGACAATAATTTTTTTAGAACGAATTGAAATTTTTTAATTTTGTCGACAAATTTTACACCTTCTCGAATTTTTTTCTAGAAAGTGAGTAGGATTTCGGGAATATGTCTATTGACCGAAAATAGTTATAATTGATCCCTGCAACCAACAATAATTTTTTTAGAACGATTTGAAATTTTTTAATTTTGTCGACAAATTTTACACCTTCTCGAATTTTTTTCTTGAAAGTGAGTAGGATTTCGGAGGTATGTCTATTGACCAAAAATGGTTCTAATCGAACCCCGCAACCGAAAATATTTTTTTTCAGAACAATTTGAAACTCATGAAATATCAGGGGAATCATTCATTCATGATCAGACGTTATACTTTTGGTAAGGAATTTTTTTCTCGAAAGTGCCCAGGATTTCGAGGGTATGAGTACTCACCAAAAATGATTGTAATTGACCCCCGCAACCAAAAATAATTTTTCCAGAACGATTTGAAATTTTTTTTTTCGTTTGAAAAATTTTAGCACCTACACCCTGTCGATTTTTCTTTACAATTCGTTTTCCATTTTTAATGATTTTGTTTGGCGCCCTACAGAAAAGTTGTTTAATATTTCTTTGTGGGTACCCATGAGCTCTACTTAAGAAAAAAGTTTCATTGAAATATATTCACTTTTGTAACAGTTATGGCAGTTTGAAAATTGGGTCATTTTTATGGGGGTTTTCTCATTTTGCGGGGTCAAGGATCAACTTTTCGCATAATTTTGAAATTTCTATATATTCTTCAGTAAAATACGCGTCGTTTGCATTTTGAAATATTAAAATCTAGTGACTTTAAACTTGATTTTATAACTGCTTACGATAATTTGGATCATTCATTTGTACACCTAATATTTAATAAATTCATTAAGTTCCTCCACTGCATGTATTCATTTTAAGTGTGATCGGATCTTTGGAAGATCCCTTTATTCTAAGTTCTTCAGTTGTACATTTCAAATTTGATTTTATAACTGCTTAAAATAATTTGGATTATTCGTTTGTACACCTAATACAATTTACGGAACACGACTATTCTCAACAAATATTTTTTTTGTTTATTTGATATTGTTGTACAACAGACTTTGGAGAATACATCTAACATGTTTGTTTAAAAAATATTGTTTAGTAAACATTATTATTCATATTTTTAGTCGTTATTAGTCACTGTACGAATACTTTTTACACCCATTGTAAGTAGTTATTTAAAATTGCAGCTGTCAAATGCAACTCGGACCCAACAGTCATCAAGATCCTGGCTGCTCTGAACGCTAACTTTGACTGCGCTTCCGAGGTGCCGTTTTTTACTTGTATCTACAGGGTGTAAACGATAACTTTGGCAAAAATCATAGTGTAAGTAGAGGTCCCATAGGCAAGTATTTTGAGCATGGGAATCCGTGTCCGGAAATACACCAGTAAAGAATTACGGCGATCTTTAATTTTGGTCTTTCGCGCCTGATGGGTAGGCAAACTTTTTTTAGTTTATTGTTTCTTGACCATGATTTCATTAAATGTTTACGTTGTTCATCGTAAAACTTTCAATGTTTGTCATCTTTGTCACCTACACGACTGACCCACCTCAAAAGAAACAGTTTCCAGTACGATGGGTTTTCTATCCATCAGGAGCTAAAGACCGAAGTTAAAGATCGCCGTAATTTTTTACTGGTGCGTTTCCGGACACGGGTTCCCATGCTTAAAATACTTGCCTATGGGGCCTCTACTTACCCTATGATTTTTGCCAAAGTTATCGTTTACACCCTGTACTCTATTTCCTCATATCATCATTTATGACTGTTTTTCCGTCGACTGTTCGAAACAGCAAGAAATAAGGCTGGTAATGAAGCACGGAGTGTCCGCGGAACGGATTATCTTCGCGAATCCAACGAAATTACCCTCTCACATAAGGTTTGCTAAGATGGCGAACGTGTTCAGGACGACCGTCGACAGCGAAAGCGAAATTTTGAAGATGAAAGACCTTTTCCCGGAAGCGAAGTAAATAGAGCAACTAATCAATGATTCTATTTATTTACCAGCCATTTTCAGTAATTATTATTCACCAATAACAAATAACAATCTTCTATTCGTCTCTTAGTACCGGTTTCTTAGTATTTAAAGTCTCTATCAGAATTCATTTTCCTCGCATATCCATGTTCAAATGTAAGAATAGAAAATTTTATCTACGTCAGGATCGGGCATAAGAAATCCTTTATCAATTTCAATTTAAGGCAAAACTTTTTACACGGGGAGCAATGGACACCCGAACAGTTAAGAAGAATCTTGCTTTCATTCATGATTACGATTACGTCGTGCAACATTTTCAATGACCAAGTAATTGTTGTAATTTTTACTCTAATAAACTATCAAGCGATACGTTGAACATTATAGTGTTTTATTTGAACTTAAGGGCAACGAACAGATAGTCACTTATAGGATTGTGAATTGACGTTGTCAACAATATAAAATTATAAAATATGAGTAAAAAGAGGACTTAGATAAACTAACGTGTATCTAAAAGTTATTTTATCTAATGCATATATTTTATTTTAATTTAATAAATTGTTTTTGATTTATGACTTTTCAAAGGATTTTCTAATATACGCTAAAAGTATAGTGTTCAGTATATGCAGACGTCATCTTCAAAGGATTAATGAATCAAACGATCATAATTTCGACGTCCTATTCTAATCAAAAAATTAAATAATTCTCCTTTTTAGATAATTCTGTGACTTTATGACCCTGTGGTATACAGATTCGTAAGATGCAAAAATGTGGTCCGTTAGTAATATAGAATGTAATTTATTCAAGTCCATAAATCATACAGCGAAATTGATAAAACTGTTTCGATATTAATATACACGCACGAGGTTCCCCGTGACCACGTGGCGAGCTTCACTTGGGGGTTCCCCTACGGTCGATCAGTACTCTCCCGTAAAGCGCCATCTTGCGGTCACATGCGCGCCACAAAAAGATTAGCGAATGGACAAGAAGAAACGAACGGTGATCCGGAACATGGATCGATCACATGATCACGTGAAAATATAGTATTTCGAAGAGAGGAATGTATCAGGTGGTCGAAATGTTAACGCATTAACGACGGGGCATTTTAATAATATAGAACTCCTTCGACGTGTGTATACTAAAAATATGAGAAGTATTTTTGCAATTAATACGTTTTATTGAAATTTTCAGGTGTTATATGTGAATAATATTAGAGTTTTTCTCGTTTCCCGTCGTTAATGTGTCAATTGACATTCCTGTAAGGGATCACTTCTTCGTTGCTCTTAGCTACGAGTTAGCTACGAGGGCCGTTCAATAAATCCTTCGAAAACGATAGAAAAACAAATTATTTTAGGTAGATTTTTTTGCTATTTTTCAACATAATCTCCTTTTACCTCTATACAGATTTCCAAGCGTTTTTCCAACTTTTTTAAGCCATCTGAAAAGTAAGATTTCGGAAGGTCCTCAAAATAGGCATCTGCTTGAGCGGTGACCTCCTCGTTCGACGTTAACTGTTGTCCGTCGAGCCATTTTTTTATAGTTTGAAATAAAAAAAAGGTCACTGGGGGCCAAATTCGGTGAACACGGAGGATGTTGTAATAACTCGAACTTAAATTCTTTTGGTCAGGTGTGCATTCGTGCATTGTCTTGATGCAAGGGGAAGAGTACCTTGCTTCGATCGACAATAAAAACGAAACCATGTGGTGGATATAATTGAAACTTTGAGAGTTGTCTAGCGAGTCATGATATTAACTACAAACAAACAATTTTTGATCCGAAGAGAGCCCGGTCTTGGATTTTCTAAGGACTTGTTGAACAATCCTCATACTGTACCACGCTGACTTTCCGTTAATCTTCTGTCTTTTCTTGCGGCCAACAGAATAGTGATTCGCATTCGATGCGACGCCAAGGTAACGCAGGTGTGTTTTGGAACAAAATTTGGCTGCGACCCGAACGAGGAGGCTGTTCGTTTGATACGGCTGACGAGAAGCCTCGGGTTGACGTTACACGGGTTCAGCTTTCACGTGGGCAGCCCGTGCGGCGAAATGGACGCCTACAACAGAGGTATCACGATGTGCAAAAGGTTGGTCGCCATTGCCAAAACAATCGGTTGCAACGACGTCCAGATGATCGACATCGGTGGTGGATTTCCTGGCGAGACTGACGCCCGAATCGACGAAGTGAGTCTGTCCGTTTTTTTTTTATTTACCAACGGTTCCCTTTGTTTTTTAAAAGATAAAATCTATCTGCGATCTTTAATCGATAACATGAAAGTTAAAGTTACAGATGCGCGATTATTATCGCCGCACAACTTAATAATGTAACGAAAAATGTAAGGAAGAGATCATTAAAATGTGCAAACGTTTGAACATTCGTTGGGATAAAATGATACACTCCAGGACAAAAAGATAGCACATCTTATAATTTCTCATGTTTGGTATTATAAACTGAAAAAAAGTGAATATTTTAATATGTTCACATCTATGTGCATGCTCATATGTACTTGTACTATATTACTATACATATATGTACTATAAAATGAAAGGCCTGACACATTGCCTCATCAACGCCCAGACTAAGTCCTTGGACATAAAAAGCTGAAGTTTTGCACAGAGGTTTTCTTTATGATGTATACAAGAAATAAGAAAAATATTCCGAAACTCAACCCCTAAGGGGGTGAAAAGGGGTTGTAACGTTTGTATGAGGAATACTTTATTTGTGGTTGGATTTGCTTCAAACTTGGTCTCAATGCTCTTTGATATAATTAATCAAACACTTATTCTGGTTTTTTTTTTTAAATTCAACCTCTGAAGGGATGAAAAGGGGTTGCAACGTTTGTATGAGGAATATTTTATTTGTGGTTGGGTTTGCTTCAAACTTGCCCTTAATGCTCTCTGATATAATTAACCAAACACCTATTTCGGCATTTTAAAAAATTCAACCTTTGAAGGGGTGAAAAGGGGTTGCAATGTTTGTATGGGATATATTTTGTTCATGGTCGGATTTACCTGATACTTTGGATTTACATGATACTTGGATTGACATTTTTATTCGTTGATTGTTTTATGTTTAAAGTTTTTTGTTAAGTAAGCTATCATTTCGCTCCTCTATATCATGTCAATACATTGTATTCCTTTAATTAAAAATAGATAGATTAAGGAAGGTTCGTTTCATTTCACTCGTATGTATCAACAAGGGTAATTTGAAAATACGGGCATACAAAAAGCTGAATTTTTAATGTTTAATAAACGGAAGTTACAATAATTTGGAAGCTATCTTTTTGTGTAGGAGTGTATCTTAACAGAAACTACGAAGTATCTCGTAAAGTGTTTGGATTTTCGAGCCATTTTTATCCTCCTTTGCAATTGCATCGCGTTTAGTTTGCCACTGTTATTAACGACGCCATCGAAGATATCGATCCCAGCATCAAGATTATCAGCGAACCAGGACAATACTACGTGTCGTCGGCATTTACATTAGCATCTTGCGTGCATACGAAGAGGACAGTGAACAAGGAAAAAAATACTGTCAGAATGTATTATGTGTATTGCGGGGTGTATACTTCTTTTATAGACGAGCTGTTAAACTTGAAGGCAAGGATTCCGATTACGTTGGACACGGTACGAGCATTAATCTACGTGTTATCCAGTTATGTCTACGGTTATTAATTATTACGATGCTCTTCTACTTCGAATGTTCGTCACTGTTTTAGCCAGCAGAGGACAGGAAATTTAATTCGTCCGTTTTTGGTCCAACATGCGACTCCCTGGATTGCATTTTGAAGAATGTGTGGCTGCCAGAGCTCGAGATCGGCGATTGGCTGATTTGGAGAGATATGGGAGCGTACAGTATAGCCGCCAGTTGCTCGTTCAATGGTTTTCTTCCGCCTGTAGTGTATCCGTTCGCAAGGAAAAGTAAATGGTCGGTAAAAGCTCGTGAATTGTTTGCAAATTATCTTTGAACGTATTTTTTATTTTCAGGGCAGCCATTAACGCAATTAGGTCATTACACGAATTGAAGGAGTCCGTCGAGTAGTTAATGTTATATTCCTAATCTATTTATGAAGATATTATTTGTGTAAATAATTATTATGTTCCATTAAAATAGTATTGAAGCGACGCGTTGATAAACATAACCATGCGTTTTTTTTTACTAATTTACATTATTTTCTTTACACAATGTACTTCTAAAGCAATATTTTAACATTACCGTTTTAAGCATCACTTCAAATAATTTCTATGTTATCTTTCACAATTTGTCGCCATTCGTCAAGATATATATAGTATATTAAATTACGAGGCTCGGTTAATTTTATTACTTTGCTTATTGGAAATTAACATAGATAGGATTTACATATTTCCAATAATTTATAAGCTTGTAAATTATTCTCATAATTTTTGATGCAAAACAAAACATTTTTAAAACGCCTCGTAGATACGACTTTCCAATAGCTCGTTGTGGAAAAAGAAAATTTGTCTTTATATTTTCACGGGGAAGATAATTATTGAGGATTACAAAGGGTACATAGATTTACTAAAAATGAGTAAATATTCTGTATTTCTCTGGATTATAGGAATCAATTTACACGAAACACCAAAAACGTGGAAGCTAAGGCCTCTTCGCGATTCCGTCCCACCTGTGTAAAAGAAAAGTAGAAACGTAAAATTAAAAATTCACGTGCCAGAAGTTCGTGTGTACGTAACGTTTAGCGCTTACTCCTTTGCAGTGTTGCACGAGCCTGGTTTCATGCCGTTCTCTAATTCTGCATTGTACAAATCCATTCCGTCTATGATATCTTCTCGCGGGGACATAGTTGCCAATGAATCTCGGACCTTAAAAGTTAGTTGATAATAGCACAGTTTGGTACGATCAAGACCTATTATACGGGGGTCGTTCAACAAGTCCTTAGAAAATCCAAGACCTGGCGCTCGTAGCATCGAAAATTGTTTGTTTTTAGTAAGCATCATAACTCACTAGACAACTCTCAAAGTTTCAGTTATATCCACCACATGGTTTCGTTTTTATTGTCGATCGAAGCAAGGTACTTTTTTTGTTTATTTCCAATATGGCGTCGCCTCTCGTGCTCGCCACCAGAGGGGTCGCGCTCTCACAAGCGCTCGACCGACCCCTCGGTTGCTATATCGTATACATTTCTCGACCGACTTCCCAATATCTGTAAACGAGGTTTTTGAAACTTTTCCCTCGAGCTCTATAACCCAAGGAAAACCACAATAACACATCATCTACATAAGCATTACAGGACACTAACAAACACTTTAAGTGCAGGTTATATAGGGCTCCAGCACAGGGTACTGCAGAAGAATCAGGAGAACGAGTTAAAAGAAAAAAAACTTCCCAATATCCCAGTCGTTTAAGGCAGGGCCTGCTAGGAAGCCTTTACTGATGGGTCCACTAGCAGGCCCCGGACGAAACGCGCTCCTTTCCTTTTCTATCCTCCTACGAGATTCTCACGAGTTCCTAACCGTAGCAAAAGTAACAGCGCCACACCAAACTTAAAAAAATGGCTCGAACGAAGAGGTCATCACCAAAACAGATGCCTATTTTGAGGACCTTCCGAAATCTTACCCTAGTAGCACAAAAATATTGGAAAAATATTTTTTAAGCCACATTTTTTCACATGAGAAAAATATTGGATCTGAATATTGTATACATGTAAAGAAAGTATAAATTGAATGTTTAAAAAAATATAAGCTAAATATTCAGGCGATATAAACTAGATATTTAAAAACTATAAAGTAAATATTTCAAAAATTGGAGTCCAATATTTGAAAAATATAAATTCAATATTTAAATACCATTTAATAAAATCTTCAAATTTAAGAAAAAGTTATACAAAAAATTAACCTCTATATATCAACTACTTTCTATGCACTCAATCATATTACACAACTTTGTCGCATTAATGTTCTTATAATATAAATACATGTCGATTAAGTGACATACACGAATTCAAAGTAAAATAAAAGTAAACAATTTACTTCTCATCATATTCTGGAACAAATATTCATTCATGATAAACATAAAATATTTCCTGCATATTTAAAAGAAAATATTCTACTTCTAATATTACATAAAGATTCATTTTATAAAAAGAAAAAAATATTTTTTTCATAATATGAAATATATATTATCTGCATATTTTAAAAAAATATTCTATTTCTAATATTACATAAAGATTCATTTAATATTGAAAAAAACATATTTTTCTCGTAACATGAAATAGATATTTCCTGCATAAGTAAAAAAAATATTTGTTACTTAATATAAAATAAATATTGTATGTATATTTGAATATTAAAAAAAGATTGAATCTCTTTTTAATATTATATGAATGTGTATACAATATTTTGTGCTACTAGGGTACTTTTTAGATGGCTTAAAAAAGTTGGAGAGACGCTTGGAAAAGTGTATAGAGCTAAAAGGAGATTATATTGAAAAATAATAAAAAAATCTGCCTAAAATAATTTGTCTTTCTATCTTTTTCTAAGGACTTATTGAAAGACCATCGTATTATTATTATTGATTTTGTTCAATTACCGCTTCTACAGCTTTGAACACGCGGATCAAATTCTTGCCAGCCAGTTTCTCGAGTTCCTCCTTAGTCCATCGTGGCTCCACTTCGCTTTCGTAAAGGCGATCGAATAAATCTGGGTACGTGGAAACGTCGTCCAAACCACTGGGCATCCTGACACATTTTAGTTAATTTTTCGTTAAATTTTTCTTGATTTTAAACAAATGTTTCGCTCGCGCGACGGTCGATGCATTACTCACGTCTCCACGCCATCGTAATCAGCGCCAATGCCAACGTGGTCAGCTCCGATAAGATTGCGAATGTGATTTATGTGATCTACAAAACGAAAACGAGAGAGAGTCGTTCATCGGGATATCGCGACTAGCAATAAACATTCGTAAACGAATGCGTGGCATCGAGTAAAATTATCAAGGCGCGCCGTGTAAGACGACTCGATAAGTTAAATGTTATAAGTGCTAATTATCCTGATCGTACCGATCACGTCTTGCATCGTTGCGTTTCTGGTGGCGTTGCAATTTACAAAGCCCGAGTAAAAGTTCACCATCACGACGCCGTTGTTCTTTTTCTGGAAATGTGCCCGAAATTATGTTTCGCGCATCGTAACGACGTAAACGTTAAAAACCGAAAAAGAATCTTACAACCGAATGTAATACATCGTCGGGAACGTTACGGTAGTGATTGCAAACGCTGAACGACGACGAGTGAGAGAACATAACCGGAGCCTTCGTTACTGCAAGTACTTCTCTCATAACGTTGTGCGACACGTGGGATAAATCGACCAACATTCCCAGCCGATTCATTTCATCGACAACCACCTGCATTTAAACATAAAAATATTTATGCAACGAACGCGATATAACAGAGGATTTAAAAATCTCAACCTACGGCTCCGAAATCCGTGAGATTGCGGACAGAATTCTGACCTACTGGCGACGCGTCAGCCCTGTAACAATTTATTAATATTTATAAGCTGCTAGTTTCGTTTTTTCTCTACTGTAATTAGGTTACTGAAAATCGAACGGAAAAATTGGATCGATAACAGGATTATTAATTTCGCGGGACGCTTGTTTTATAAATCGAAAGAATTTCGTTTATTTATTGTTTTTCTTTTTCATTTTTAAGGGACAAAACAGACCGATTAAAATTGAAACGTTTGACGTACCATGGCGTGTTGCACGAATGTGTCAATGTAAGATAGCGTACACCGAGTTGATAATAGAGCCTGAGCACCGCCAAGCTGGAATCAATGGAGTGGCCTCCTTCGACGCCTATCATCGAGGCGATTTTTCTATTTTTGAACGCAGCCTCGATGTTTTCGGCCTCGGTGACAAATTGCAAATCATTCGGGTATTTAGCGACCAGCCTTTGGATGACGTCGATTTGTCGCAACGTCAATTGCACCGCGTCTTTGAATTGGGAGTTGCACGAAACGTACGCGACCCAGAACTAAAATTCGTGCATTTAACGAACGTTATTCTATCGATGTTGTGAAAAGTATTTGAATAGAATGAGGAGTTTAAACGTTGATTAACATTTAACGTACAACTTATGAAACGCAACTCGAATTTTAATACGCGTTTGTATACACGATAAGTAAATGGTAGAGCAAAGTTAGAATAATGAGTTAATTTTTCGTTAGAAAGACAGTTTTATCAATTATATAGAGATTCTAGAGGCCAAAATAATACAAGAATTAAGAATACCAATTTGTTGATGGAGGCTTCGTTAAAAAGTTATTAACGTTTAAAGTTCCTCCCTTTCTGAATTTTTTTCTTGAAAGTGGGTAGGATTTCGGGAATATGTCTATTGACCAAAAATGGTTACAATTGACCCCTGCAACCAACAATAATTTTTTTTTAGAACGATTTGAAATTTTTTAATTTTGTCGAAAGTTTCACACCTTCTCGAATTTTTTTCTAGAAAGTGAGTAGGATTTCGGAGGTTTGTCTATCGACCAAAAATGGTTCTAATTGAACCCCGCAACCGAAAATATTTTTTTCAGAACAATTTGAAAGACATGAAATATCAGGGGAATCGTTCATTCATGATCAGACGTTTTATTTTCGGTAAGGAATTTTTTTCTCGAAAGTACGCAGGATTTCGAGGGTATGTGTATTCACCAAAAATGATTGTAATTGACCCCCGCAAACAAAAATAATTTTTGCCAAAATGATTTGAAATTTTTTAATTCTGTCGAAAAATCTGTCCATATTTCTGAATTTTTTTCTCGAAAGTACGAAGGATTTCGGAGGTAGGCGTATTCACCAAAAATGATTGTAATTGACCTCCACAATCGAAAATAATTTTTCCAGCACGATTTGAAATTTTTGTTTTTCGTCGAAAAATTTAGGCATATGTATAATTAGATTTTCGGTAAGGAATTTTTTTCTCGAAAGTGCGTAGGATTTCGGTGATATATGTAATGAACAAGAATGATTGTAATTGACCTCCGCAACTGAAAATAATTTTTCCAGAACGATTAGAAATTTTTGAATTTAATTGTTAATAACTTCTTAACGAAGTCTCCATGAACAAATTAGTATTCTTAATTTTCGTCTTATTTTGACCTGTAGAATCTCTCGTTAAAATTTTTCCCAGGGGTGGTCGAACACCCTGTATAGCAAGTCACAAAAGTATTTTCTAATATAATTTCCCTTGTGTTAAACGATTGTTATTTGTTTAACGTGAATACTATGAGATACTTATTCGTAAAAATAATGTATTTTTCACACGTATCCGTGGTGTGCAATAAGGGCATATTGCTATTATTAGACTGCGGATTTTTATGCAAATTCACATTTTTATTAATAGAATTAATGAAACGGAAGCTTCGCAGAGGGCTGTCTCAACCCCTAAATATAATAATTCGTATCTTACTTTAAGTATTTCTTATATTTTTGCATATTAAATGCGTTCTGCAGTTTTCTGAGGATTAAAATTTCCTATGAATGCATAAACATCCGCAGTCTAGTTATTATTATATTTATTAGTACGATTTTTTACATCTTTCGTAAACAAAATAATGACGATTCTTCTTTGTGAATTTATATATTTTTAAAAACTATATAAAACATTTCTGTTAGTAAATAGCTCGATTAATTAATTGAAATGAGTTCGATTAATTGGTTTTCAGCGCGAAAAATGTAAAGTAATTCATAGATGTTGTCGCTTTATCGTATTTGCTGATTTCTGACTCACTTGCCCGCCCACTTTTCCCTTCCTCAAACGAGGAAGATCCGTAAAACAGGAGTCGCAGATGCTTTTTCCCCACGTGGTATCGTTGCTGAGGTTCCTCTCGAAATTGAATTCTTGCAACTTATTATTCAACTTTGAATACAAATTGTATGGTAGATCGTTGTGTCTGAAACAAGGAGAGAAAAATTATCGAAATGCGTTATAAGTTCAATGTTTTATCATTCGTTCAACGATACCAAATACTCATTACTCGATAGTAACAGATTTTTATCGTTCGACGTTATTTAATCCGTGTCTTAAAGCTTAAACTATCTAGTATGGCCAGTAATAAACGCTATAATTGATCGTTCGCGAACTGAGTTAGCCATTAAACGCGCGTAGGAAGACAATACTGCGATCGCCGCGTTGAGTGATCAACAATTAGCGAAGGGGCAGTATTCTCGATAACGTTACGTAATAAAATTTAAATTTAACAAAAATTTCCTCCGATATTTAGTATTTTTGTGCCTCTGGTCCGACTCTACCATTATTTATTGATTCGTCGCGTTGGTTTAGATACTTACCCATCGATGAGCGGTACCGAGTCAAGGACGTCGCTTCCTTTGAAGGTGTTAACGCTAAGTCCTACGGACAGGCCAATTACAAGCAGCAATACCGACACGAATGCCGCGATGTTCACGTACACCATCTTTCCGGTACAACACTTTGCTACGCAGGCTGAAAAAGATTCAGTGACAGCTATATCATTAGCACTGACGTGAACTCTCACTGGACAGTGGTTTTATAGGGCAAGAGGAAAGGCGCAATTTGCGAATCAATTTCTTATCTTTCGACGTCTCATCGATTTCAATCAATCACGTGCGGCATCAGTTCGTTGGAAAATTTGCCTTCGGGCGTTTGCATACACGCGAACGAGAAAACGATAATTTTATTACTTTCCTGGCCGTTACAAGGGAAAGAAAGTGTTGCTGTTGCTCGATCAACATCTCCAACTTATTGCGTTTCTTAATTGTTCTGACTGCTCTAAATAAACTGAAGTAAACAACAGTACAAAGTAATGGTTAAAAAGTTCTGCACGTACGGATGTGTATACGTACGTACATGCATCGATCTCTGTTTTCAAAATCGTTATATTTGGTACGGTGACTTTTATTGTATATTGAAGCATTGATGTTATTTTTGGAAACAAAAAAAGAAATTACGTTATACCGAGAAAAGGTTGTATTTAATCTTTCCACGATGAATTTTATAATATTCATGGTTGTGTGCATACGATAATTTAAAAATATCTTTTATTAATTAAAAACTTCATTAATCCTATCGATAAGGATGGATTAATCTTCATTGATAATAGAAAGAGTGCTGTAATCAATTTCAAGATCTAATGGGATCGTACGAAATATTACAATTTCGAAATGCTATTATACGTGCGAAACAAATGTCGTTACAGCTTTAGCAAAAATAACGATATCTGAATACGTATATTTATTTTACGTATAATATTAAACACGTACAAAGAATTGATAAATATTAAGAATGAATGTTATTATCTGTTACATAACCGCAGTGCAGCACTGACCACGGTAATTATTAAATTTAATTATTAATTGTACGCGAACATATGCTTATATTTCGCGTTTAATTGGCTACAGCAGAACGAGAAAGTCGATGATATACTTTCTAACTTGTAAATGACACAGATAACGTGACACAGTCACTGTATGTATACTAATGTATTATATGTTCTACAACTGACAGGTTTTCGATGAATTTTGCAAGATACTATTGCAAAGTTCACGAACTCGTACAAATTATATTATTCTATCACATTACGCACAGCTCGTTTCTCTCACTTAACTCGTAAAACTCGTTTCGTTATACTCTCAATGAACTCTCGCAACGAACTGACCGCCCAGCAACTCTTTTGAAGAATAACACCACTATTATACATATATGTACTTCCCACGCACAAAGGCCCATACGAACTCATGTAACCGTTAATATCAAAACATTTACCCCGAATTTAATTAGACAAATTCAAAAGTTTCATGTGTTTACGCAATAATACAATATTTACGTACGACTGAAAATCTCAAATCTAGAGAATAACCCATTCAGGCATTTGCCAATTGTAAATATTATGTTAAAGCTTGAAATCGATCGCGAAGTTAATATTCTCATTACGAAAACTTTCAATTTGCACGATACGTGTCGTATACTTTTTCATAATACGTTTCGGAAAATTATTGTTTAATTTATTTTCTTAATTCGATAATTTATTTGCTCGATTCGTAGTGTTATTCTCAGAAAAGATACAGTGAACTTAGAATCGTCCACCCAGCGGTTCAGCTGATATTTTTGTCAATAAAACATGGAAATTGTACTAAATTATTGAAACGCTACTGTAGTTTGTCGCATTTTAAGTATTTTTCATTGATTTTTTGGCAGAATAACGCATATAACAATCAGAATGTTGCTAAATCAGCTAGGTTCAATCGTTGCCAAGCCTTTGTTACACAAAAAACAATTGGGGATTCACCGGATTTCCAATGTCACCAACAGTGTACGATTTTTACTGACAACTAAGTCTCTAATGCAACCTCAAATTTTATTTAATTTACTGAGTACTACTAAAGGTTTTTTTGTATTGTTGTCATGTATCAAATAAAGAAACATTACACTATACAGAGTGTTCAAGAATCAAAAATCAAGAATATCAATTTGTTGACTGAGGCTTCATTAAAAACTTAAATTAAAAAGTTTTCAATCATTCTGAAAAAATTATATTTAGTTATAGGGATCAATTACAAGCATTTTTGGTGAATAGGCATACCCTCGAAATCCTACCCGCTTTCGAGAAAAAAATTCGAGAAGGCGTGCAATTTTTCGACAAAATTAAAAAATTTCAAATCGTTCTGGAAAAATTACTTTCGATTGCGGGGGCCAATTACAATAATTTTTGGCGAATACGCCTACCTCCGAAATCCTTCGTACTTTCGAGAAAAAAATTCAGAAATATGGACAGATTTTTCGACAAAATTAAAAAATTTCAAATCATTTTGGCAAAAATTATTTTTGTTTGCGGGGGTCAATTACAATCATTTTTTGTGAATACACATACCCTCGAAATCCTGCGTACTTTCGAGAAAAAAATTCCTTACCGAAAGTATAACGTCTGATCATGAATGAATGATTCCCCTGATATTTCATGTCTTTCAAATTGTTCTAAAAAAATTATTGTTGGTTGCAGGGGTCAATTGTAACCATTTTTGGTCAATAGACATATTCCCGAAATCCTACCCACTTTCGAGAAAAAAATTCGAGTAGGTGCTGAAATTTTTCGGCGAAAAAAAAAATTTCAATTCGTTCTGGAAAAAATTATTTTTGTTTGCGGAGGTCAATTACAATCATTTTTGGTGAATACACATACCCTCGAAATCCTGCGTACTTTCGAGAAAAAAATTCGTTACCGAAAGTATAACGTCTGATCATGAATGAATGATTCCCCTGATATTTCATGTCTTTCAAATTGTTCTAAAAAAATTATTGTTGGTTGCAGGGGTCAATTGTAACCATTTTTGGTAAATAGACATATTCCCGAAATCCTACCCACTTTCAAGAAAAAAATTCAGTAAGGGCGGAACTTTAAACGTTAATAACTTTTTAACGAAGCCACCATCAACAAATTTGTATTCTTGATTTTCATCTTATTTTAGCCTCCAGAATCTCCCGTTAAAATTTTTCCCAGGGGTGGCCGAACACCCTGTATACCTCTATACGAGTTTCAATAATTTTGTACAATTTCCATGTTTTATTGAAAAAGTACGAACCGCTAGGTATACGATGTTAAGTGACACTCACTGTATAACTACACATTAAACGCAAACAAGACCTTGAACCATGGTGAAATTTAGAGAGAGGTAACATTTGAATCCACCGCGATTACGATAATTAGTTTAAGGGATATTATAACAGACGTCGAACCGTTCCATTTCGATCGTGTGATAATCGATTCGCCCATTCCTAATGCAGAACAGAACCTTCCACCGTTGCCACTATTCACTCTCGTTCCCCGATGATAACTCGCGTAATTATGTCTTTATCGTGAATTTTTCATGCATCTTGGTGCTCCCTATATAGGTGTGCACTATAGATTACCAGAGTTTACTTTTCATTCTCGACTTTAAATCAAGACATTTGTTAGCAATAGCTGCTTCTCTTCTTCTCGACGTTGTTCAACGTGTCGGATCTCTTGTTTACTTTATGGGATAAGGAGCATATCATATATCATGCTTGCTTCGTTCATTAACGTATCGCAGATTGGGACGCGGGATTGCCTCAATTTTATAGGCCAATAAAGGTATTAAGGACCGTAGATGTCGTATTACATAAGAAAATGAATATTCACGTTCCAACCGTATCCGATCGAATGTTATCTTACAGTAGATCCGAGTATAATTGAAATGGACAGACTTAAAATATTACTTTAAAACATGATTGCCGACACGAATAAAAAGTATTGTTAGAAATTAGATTAATTTATAAATTTTTTGATTCAGGACTGCTGTCTTTTTTTTTTGCTAATAAAAAGATATTCGTGGGTTTCGTACGATCCTTGTTTATTTTTGTTACTTATTAGATGATTTATTGATGATTAAACATTCGAGAGTATTTTTCTCGAAAATGTAAAGATAATATGGCATTAGGTTGTCTACTAATAATTGTTGCAATGAATTAAAATTTGTAATGTTGTTAATGAAAATGTAGTATTATCTTTGCTATAAAAATAATAAACCGTGTCACAGTGGTATTGTAGTTAAAATATAATGAAATATATTTTTTTATACCAGTTTGCGACGCTTGATTAAATTTCGCGCGCTTTTATTTTTCGTGATTAGGTAAGGGACAACTGAATTGATTACATGTGAATTTTGGGCAAACGATTGTTACCTGTTTATGGTATAATATAGTTTATATTCATTTTAAATAAATTAGTAGCAACGAAGGTACACACAAATGCAACAAATTGTACGTTTTGTTGTAATAATTAATATCGTCTTTTTTTGTACGTGATAGAAAGTTGTGAGTTTCTAACCTAAGTAGTGAAATTCTCTTGAACGAAGTAAATTACATTTCTATTAATGTTTTCAATGGAAGTGGACGAGTAGTGGGGAACTGTACATTGAGGTGGTAAGATATTAAGTAATAATCTCACGCGTAATAACGTAAATGATAAGAATACTGATTATAAAAATACATTATGCATAATGTATTGATACTTTGTACTGTTTAATAATCTATTATTAGCTAATTATTGATACATTTATGTTTCTCAGAATGTTTGATACAAATAAAAAAGCGAAACGAATTATAAGTAACAATGACAGAAACCGTGTATAAATATATGAAGGTACAGAATAGACCCTATAGCGTTAACGATATAGTATCTAGTCTGCATAACGAGTATGGTAAAGTAGCTGTACAAAAATCTATAGATAAGCTGGTGTCAGAGGGGAAAATATTTGAAAAAGTAAGATAAATAATATTAAGCGTAAAAATTATGCAACGTAACTGAGAGATTTTTATATCAGGTTTATGGAAAGCAAAAGGTATATTGCGTAGCTCAGGATCTAAGTCAGGATGTAGAGGACTTGATGAGAATAGATAAAGAAATGCAGGCACATGCTAATGAAGTTGAGAGCAAATATCAGGAATTGGAGAGAGAGATTAAAATAATGGAAGCTTTATTGACATCCATGAAGTCTAGTATCACAATCGAAGAAGCAAAGCAGCAAAAAGCTGTGCTTGACGAGAATATTAATGTATTAACGGTGAAATTAGATTCATTGATGGAGGCAAGTGGGACAGAAGATTTAGGGAAACGCAAAAGGGAGACAGAGGCAGCATTGAAAGATTACTCGCGTGAATATGTGAAACGAAAACGTTTGTGTACTGACATTCTAGATTGTATCCTGGAAAATTATCCTGGTACTAAAACTGAACTATACGAGGAAATAGGCATGGAATCAAAAGTTGTTAAGTGACACCAGTCGCTGTATGTGTTTCATTTCATGATATACATATAAGTACTAATTTATATTTTTATATTTAAGTTAAGCAACCTTTTAAATTAATCAATTATTTATTACTCGATACTTCAAAATATGCTTTTTATCGGTTAACAATTTTTTTAGAATGTATGTTTATAGATTTGTTACAATGTTTAATAAATCATAGGAAAATATATTAAATATGAAGGAGCTAATAACAATGATTACATGCTTATGAGTTATATCTTTGTTTTGTATGGAAGCAAAATAAAATGTTGAGCAGTAAATTTAATAGTAATATAAATGAAGTATGTTTCAGTTAGTATGAACGAAGTATGTTTAAGTACAAGTTTAATTAAAAGTCGAATGATCCAATGTAAAGTATCTTTGTATTATTGTCCTATTTAAAAAACTTGCCAGAGATTGAAGTTTGGCTTAAATTTATTTCAACGCTGGTACTATTTTCTTGTTTAGTTTCTGTTCCTTCTAATACACATTGTCCACCAAGACATATCTATCAAGGAAACGATAAAATAATGATGTTAGTATAATCGTAAAACTGTTCTGAAATATATACATGTAATAAACTTGCAAGTATTATAATCAGAAAAATAAGCTGTATTCGATTTTTGTGGCTATGCTACGTACAAGATTAGTTCCGCAAGAAGAACCCTCTGCCGCTGGTGCAATCGCTGCACATACTCCATTGCTTTCGGGAACCTCGCAATCCAGTCGATAGCAAATCGAAGACGAGTTTTTCTGAGTAAACATCGGAAAATTATTATAAAATTAATTGCATATTTTCTAAATACTTACGTTACATGCACCGCCACCATAGACATTTTTACATTGTTCGTCCACGGACATGAATTTTCCAGGTAAAATTGTTTTTATCGCCGTGGCTTTCGGTGGCTCATTGTAAAGGCATTTTGCTCTCTCTTCACTGAAATACATTTATTTCGTGTACACAGAGAACATTGATCATCATAAACATTTGGAACAGTAATATCTGATTGCTTTTTATTTTCTTTAAGACAAATCAACTTAACGTCGAAATATCAAACCTTCGTTGTACAAAGACGAGCCTAATTTGTCATAAGTTCTTTAAGTCAAGTTTCACAATAACGTGACTTCTGTATTGTTTTGGACACGCAACGGGAATGTTATGAGATGGATTTACGTATAAACATGGCCCAGAAACAGTAGAATGGGTTGTTAAGAGATCATTGGCCTAATCCGAGATTGTTAAGAGATAGGTAATAGCTCAATCAGGAATTGTTAGGAGATAGTAGAATGGGTTGTTAAGAGGCAATAGAAAGAGTAGGTCATACGAAGAGTCTCAGGAAGCTCTATTTTTACAATGGACGATGCGTAACGATTATAGCTTGTATACAGGGTGTTCGGCCACCCCTGGGAAAAAATTTTAATGGGAGATTCTAGAGCCCAAAATAAGACGAAAATCAAGAATATCAATTTGTTGATTGAGGCTTCGTTAAAAAGTTATTAAAAGATTAAATTAAAATATTTCAAATCATTTACGGAAAATTTATTTTCGGTTGCGGGGGTCAATTACAATTATTTTTGGTGCATACACATACCCCCGAAATTCCACCCAGTTTCGAGAAAAAAATTCGTTACCGAAAGTATAACGTCTGATCATGAATGAATGATTACCCTGAAATTTCATGTGTTTCAAATTGTTCTGAAAAAAATATTTTCGGTTGCGGGGGTCAATTAGAACCATTTTTGGTGAATAGACATATCCCCGAAATCCTACTCACTTTCGAGAAAAAAATTCGAATAGGTACTGAAGTTTTTAGACGAAATTAAAAGATTTCAAATCATTCTGAAAAAAATATTTTCAGTTGCGGGGGTCAATTAGAACCATTTTTGGTGAATAGATATACCGCCGAAATCCTACTCACTTTCGAGAAAAAAATTCGAGTAGGTGCTGAAATTTTTCGGCGAAAAAAAAAATTTCAATTCGTTCTGGAAAAATTATTTTTGGTTGTGTGGGTCAATTACAATCATTTTCGGTGAATACATATACCCGCGAAATCCTACGTACTTTCGAGAAAAAAATTCTTTACCGAAAATATAGTGTGTGGCCGGAAATGTTTCTATAACTTTTTAACGAAGCTTCAATAAACAAATTATTATCCTTGATTTTCGTCTTATTTTGGCCTCTGGAATCACCCATTAAAATTTTTCTCAAGAGTGGCCGAACACCCTGTATGAGTGCAATAATGTACAATGAAAACGTTAAAGAGCTTTCCCAATTAAAAGATAAAATTGTTTAGGTTTTCAAAAACATCAAGTTTGCCTGTTCAATTCGACAAGTCGAATTTTAGATACAATAACGAGATATTTGAAAATAAAAAAATGTGTTATTTTCCCTAATTGTCTTCGAGATAAATGCGTTTCCTTCTCTCTGAATTTTAATTATTTGTTGTCTCATCATAATTAGTATATCGAAAAAGAAATCACCTGATAAATCTGCGTAGCGCATTTAAACTACAATTGGACCATTTAAATTCGTTTTCGCTCAATTTTAGAACGCCTGACATGATATAACCGTCGGACGAAGAGCAATTTCCGGGATTTCTTGAACCGCCATCGTGGTGGGATCCCAATCTGATATAAGGAAAATATTTTTCACCCAGTGTGTGTTGTAAAAAAAAGAAACAGTTAAAATTTTGTAGATAGTGTCATATGAACGTACTTGTCCTTTGATAGGTTCATATAAACTAAAGTAAATTAAGATAAACATATAACGAATAAAAGATAAGGAACTTTTTATTTCTTAATGGTTGAAGAAAAAATAGAATTTCGATTCCAGTATGATTATTGGAGCTTACGTTGAACGAACAAAAATCCATTGTGTAACTCTACTCTTTTTAGAAATAAAAAAAACTTACAAGTGCCCTAGTTCGTGAGTTACTGGTATTATGCCACTGAAGCCACCATTGTCTTCAACTACCCCAACTGCTTCTGAAGATTTTGTTTCATTATTTCTGTTGCATGCACCAGCCACGTACGAATAACCTGACAATGTTCATATATGTTATTGTTTTTTTTTCATTTACAATTTGAATTGTGTTTAACAGCGAAAGTTACAGTCACACACGTTTAATCATTTTATCGTTTTCTTTTAAATGCTTACCTAACGTTGAGGGGTCGCATAAATGTTCGTCTAGTTTATTACATAAATTTAAACTAAAAGAAACGAGTGGCAGTAATTATTATATTCGTTTATAAATCCTACTGGATGATCATTGTAATTATTAGGTGTACAATTGAATAATCCAGTTTTTTCAGCCACATTCAAATCACCGCTTTTAAACCGCTTAAACCAAAATGTGCACACATCATACGATACAACACCTTCATCGAGAAAGTAACAAATCGATTCGCATGCTCTTGCAGCATTTTCCCCTTGTTGGAATTCGTAAAGAATGTAGTGTCGGATTATGCACCTTATCTGTTGCCATTTTCGAGTCTACTGAATTGAATACTTTTGAAAGTTATGTTGGGCCTTTCGGTAAACTATCTTTTGTTTTAACTAGCTATATGTCTATTGACTTTAAACTTGATTTTATAACTGCTTAAGATAATTTGGATTATTCATTTGTACACCTAATATAATAAACCGTTGATTCATTATATCCTTCAATTTAGTAACATTATAAGAACATACTTCGTATGTTTTAATACAATCAAATAAATAATTTTAATTACTTACTGTGTCGTGGTTATTGCAATATCGTAAATTTTCCATGGGACTCTTCTCTCTCTGTAAAAATAATCTGCCATGCCGGTTAAAGCTTCATCGGCATCTACTAATTTCGAATCCACACGACTGTTTTCTATGAATGGAACTGCTCCTGCGTCCTGCAATAAAATTGTATAACGCGACTCAATACATTGCAAGAAAAAAAACAAAAATACAGGGCGTTCGGCTACCCCTGCGAAAAATTTTAATGGGAGATTCTAGAGGCAAAAATAGAACGAAAATCAAGAATATCACTTTGTTGATGGAGGCTTCGTTAAAAAGTTATTAACGTTTAAAGTTCCGCCATTACTGAATTTTTTTCTTGAAAGTGGGTAGGATTTTGGGAATATGTCCATTGACCGAAAATGGTTATAATCGACTCCTGCATCCAACAATAATTTTTTTAGAACGATTTGAAATTTTTTAATTTTGTCGAAAAATTTCACACCTCGAATTTTTTTTTAGAAAGTGAGTAGGATTTCGGGGGTATGCCCATTGACCAAAAATGGTTCTAATAGAACTCCGCAACCGAAAATAATTTTTTCAGAACAATTTGAAACACATGAAATTTCAGGGTGATCATTCATTCATGATCAGACATATATATTTTCAGTAAAGAATTTTTTTCTCGGAAGTACGTAGGATTTTGAGGGTACGTGTATTCACCGAAAATGATTGTAATTGGCCCCCGCAACCAAAAATAATTTTTTCAGAGTGATTCGAAATTTTTCAATTTAATTTTTGAATAACTTTTTAACAAAGCCTTAGCCAAGAAATTGATATTCTTGATTTTCGTCTTATGTTGGCCTCTAAAATCTCCCATTAGAATTTTTCCCAGGTATGGCCGAACACCTTGTATATGAAAAGTTCGTACGAATACTTACCATACCTACAATTATACCAGCGATGTTTAATCGTATTTTTGGACTGGTCATTACACGGTACCTTAAATCTACTCCGTTCCAAAACGCAACAATATATCGTTTTACTTGATCCAAGTTTTTACCTAGCATTCTAAGGTAAAAGAAAATATCATTTTTAAAAACCATTTTGTAAAGGTATTTTCAATAAGCACTATGTAAACATATAAGAAGAAGGTTAGTCCTCTATAGTACTCTAAAACTAACGAGAATTGAAAATTTTTCACAATTATTACTTACGAATACAGACTGTAATCAACGACTACTAAGACTTCTGGATATACCACGCTCGGAATTGGATAATCGTTGGGTAGTGGATTTGTCACGTCTTGAAAATAACAAGAAAGTAGAAATAATTTGTATGAAAGTGTAATTTCATTCGGTCGGTTTAATTAAAAATTAAAATTTGAATAGAACTATTTAATTTTGCTTGGTCGTTTTATAAAAATGAAATAAGCTTGCTTACTAAAATCTTCGTAGCTCTCTGGTGGAATCTTTTCATAAATAATGTGATGATACGTGTAACTCAAATTTCCTATTGTTTCACTTTTATTGAAATATGGTTCGAACAATCCGTCCTTTCCATATAAAATGTTTCTAATAACACGTTCTGGTATGGATCGTATAACCAAGTTTGAAGGAAGGAATCCGTCCTAAAATTTTGAAAATAAAATTTAAATAACACTGTAATAAAAGATCCATCTTCATTTTTAACTAAAACTATCAAACTAGAACTCACAAAAACAGGCCATGTATCGTTTGTTAATGTAACCAAGATCGCTGCTCCCGCTGTTTCGTCTTGCATTGGAGTTCCAATATCCTCCAAAGCCTAAAAAGAAAATTATTTTCTGGTTACACTCGTTCCCTGTACAAAATATTTCAAAACATTGACACGAACTAAAATATACAGTGTTCGGCCAACCGTGGGGAAAATTCTAATGGGAGATTCTAGAGGCCAAAATAAGGCGAAAATCAAGAATACCAATTTGTTGATCGAGGCTTCGTTAAAAAGTTAGTAACGTTTAAAGTTTCGCCTGTGGAACGGCAATCTGCGAACAGCTGCGCACGCGTGATAGTGATCCTCACTCAGAAAACTGTAAGGCTGTCGATACGTCGCGAGGTAGAGTTTCTCATGCTGGCTGAGAACCACTATCGCGCGCACGCAGCTGTACGCAACTTTAAACGTTAATAACTTCTTAACGAAGCCTCAATCAACAAATTGCTATTCTTGATTTTCGTCTTATTTTGGCCTCTAGAATCTCCCATTAAAATTTTTCCCAGGGGTGGTCGAACACCCTGTATAGTGCACTGGTTCTTATAGAACAAACTTTTTTTTATGGTTTCTTTATGGCTAAAAATCTCCCTCTGTAAATAGTCGTGCCAATAGTATTTCACCATTGTAATCGCTGGGTTTCTTTATTATCGAGAATAAAAGAAAAATCATACTTTAATGTAAATCTAATGTTAAACAACACCGTTCGAAAGGCAGACCACTAAACATCAACTATGTATGTATATGTACATCGACAATAGATTCTAAAAATTGCAAAACAATGAAATACTTTTCTATTGATGTTGGCGCGACGTTAGGTAGAAAGATTAGAGGAAAGGACTCACATTTCTTGATTTAAAAATAGATAAACGTTTATGCAGAAGCTTACTTTCGGTATCAAAGTATATTGGAGTCCTTCTGGCGCTTGTTGATCGGACTTTACTGTCCACAAAGGTGTATCCACGCTAGCAAGATATCCTTCGATAGGATTCAAGGAAAGTTTAATATTTTTATTGAACGTTTTAATGTGCATTGTTCTGGTAGCGTTCTCGTTTATGGCATTAAATGAATACAAGACAGGTACAACTTCGTAGTTAGGCGCTGTAACGAAGAACTTAAGAATTGAAAAATGGAAGACACGGAGTAGACGATAGGATAACTGAGCCGTTTATTTTGAAAGTGGCCTAACTCTATTTTTCAATTTTTTTCGGTTACCATGGTTACATGTACAACTTCATGATATTTATCAGTAAAGCATTTCAGGTTGCTTATATTCCGAGCAAATACGATAATTCTTGACACATAAGTTTTCAGAGTTAGTTCAATAATTGAACCGTGTAGTTTGAAAGTGGCCTAACTCCATTTATACTTAAATCAAGATATTTAAAGTTTACATGTACGTTTGGGATGAAACTATTGCATCCAGAGGTGCTCAAGAAATTGTTTCATGCATCCTAAAACATGTTAAAAATTTAAGAAGTGAAAGATACATTATAGCTTACAGTGACATGTGCGCCGGGCAAAATAGAAACATTAAAGTAGCTTTAATGTGGTTAAAAATTGTCCAAAGTTTGGAAAATAATGTGGAAATCATAGATCACAAATTTTTAATATCGGGACATTCGTTTTTACCAAATGATAGAGATTTTGGCGTGGTAGAAATGTCATTAAAAAAAAATAATTTACTGTTCGTTCCCCGAGATTATTACAAGATTATTAAAAAGTGTCGGAAAGGTAATAATTTTATTGTAAATGAAACGAGACAAGAAGATTTTGTATCAACAAAATTATTCGAAGACGCAATTTTTAAAAGGGTAAAGAATTCTGATGGAGAATCAATAAACTGGTTAAAAATATGTTGGATGCGTTTTGTCAGAAATGAACCGCATAAAATTTTCTATGACATCAACGAATGAGAATGAAAATTTTAAAGTCTTGAATTTATTACCACGTCGGGGTAGACCAAGAAAGTTCGAAAATATTGTATCGACACCACTGTATAAAAATATCAGACAAATTACAACAGCAAAATTCAAGGACATAACTGACCTATTACGATATATACCACCGGAACATCATGATATCTTCAAATCCCTTTCACACGCACAAAATGTAGATGAGTAGTAAATTGTTTTGTAATAAATTTATGTTTGTAATTTCGTAAGTTATGTAGTTAAAAAATGTTTTGAATGGCATAAATTATGGTTCCAAAGTGTTTTAAAGATATGTAAAATAAATTCAGTATTGTTTTTTTTCAATTTGAAGCATCTTAAATTATGTTGAATGGACTTGGGCACCTTCAAATTATACAGGGTGAGGCATTTTAAACAGGTCACCTGAATAACTCGCTTGTTTTTGAAGATAGGAGAAAATGCATTAGACCAAACTTATTTGGTATCGGGGGGCTCATAATCTGGTATTACCAATTTTTTTGTAGGTGGAGGCGTCAAGGAGATATGAAGGTCAACTTTGTTTTTTTAAATGGAACAGTATATTTTATTACTTACATTCTGATAGAGTGTTTCAAGGCGAATACAATGACCTATTATTAAGGTCATTCAAGGTCACCCAAAGTCAACTGCAATAGAAAATAAATTGTGTCAAAGCACTCTTCGAACACTTGGATACTTTGATACTGCTATTACAAGTGTTCAAAATGGCGACCTTGAACATGGATACATAGTCTAAATCGTTGCAATACTGATGACACTGCCTGGCAAATTTCATTTGTATCTATTACAGAGCAAGCTCTTCTTATACGTTCTTGCATGTCAAGTTTGGTAGTTGGTTTTTCGCGGTACACTTCTGCCTTTAATTTTCCCCACAAATAAAAATCGAGAGGTGTCAGGTCTGGGGATCGTGCCGGCCATTTGTTACTTCCTGATCGACCTACCCAAGAATCTCCAAATTTTCTATTTAGAAATTCTGTAACATTGCGTGCTGAATGAGCAGGGCATCCGTCTTGCTGGAACCACATGGATTGTCGTATGTCCAGTGAAGTGTCTTCTAACAATTCTGGCAAAACGTCTTCTAAGATTCTCAGGTACTTACTACTATTTAGCGTGCCATCAATAAAATATGGACCAATTATTTTATTATGAAGAAGACCGCACCAGACGTTTACAGACCAAGGTCTCTGTTTGTCGACTTCTCTCAACCATCGTGGATTATCTACCGACCAGTAGTGCATGTTGTGACGGTTAATTGCTCCATGGTTTGTAAATGTGGCCTCATCGGTAAATAACAATTTACTCAAGAACATTTCATCGTTTTGCCAGAATTGTTAGAAGACACTTCACTGGACATACGACAATCCATGTGGTTCCAGCAAGACGGATGCCCTGCTCATTCAGCACGCAATGTTACAGAATTTCTAAATAGAAAATTTGGAGATTCTTGGGTAGGTCGATCAGGAAGTAACAAATGGCCGGCACGATCCCCAGACCTGACACCTCTCGATTTTTATTTGTGGGGAAAATTAAAGGCAGAAGTGTACCGCGAAAAACCAACTACCAAACTTGACATGCAAGAACGTATAAGAAGAGCTTGCTCTGTAATAGATACAAATGAAATTTGCCAGGCAGTGTCATCAGTATTGCAACGATTTAGACTATGTATCCATGTTCAAGGTCGCCATTTTGAACACTTGTAATAGCAGTATCAAAGTATCCAAGTGTTCGAAGAGTGCTTTGACACAATTTATTTTCTATTGCAGTTGACTTTGGGTGACCTTGAATGACCTTAATAATAGGTCATTGTATTCGCCTTGAAACACTCTATCAGAATGTAAGTAATAAAATATACTGTTCCATTTAAAAAAACAAAGTTGACCTTCATATCTCCTTGACGCCTCCACCTACAAAAAAATTGGTAATACCAGATTATGAGCCCCCCGATACCAAATAAGTTTGGTCTAATGCATTTTCTCCTATCTTCAAAAACAAGCGAGTTATTCAGGTGACCTGTTTAAAATGCCTCACCCTGTATAATGAATCTGGTTGTTAATTTTGAAAGTGGCCTAACTCCATTCTTGATAAGAAAACGCATATTATTCACTTAATAATTGCCACTATTTTAATAGGAACTATAAATTTAACACCCTTAGATACACTTAAGCAGTATAACTCATTAGTATCCTATACGTATATTTTTAAATTCATTGAAACGCAAACCTTTAAATATCTCGATTTGAAGATAAATGGACTTAGGCCACTTTCAAAATAAACGGCTCAACTGTTCCCGTCAGATTTCATGTTTACACATAATTTCAAGGGCATGGTAAAATAAAGATACCTGTAATGATTAAAGATACCGTAATCATTAAATGTATTCTCTTTTTTTATAATTTCAATGAAATCAGTGTAAAACTTTAAACGTACCAGCGTCACGCGTCGTATGAAATATCTCCATCACTTCGTCTACAGTCATCAATTCGTGAAGCTGCAAAGCACAACTTATACTAACAATTAAACGAACATTTACAGAGCCATTATTCGTAACTTTAGAACCAATGAGAAATATAAATATATGAATAAATGAGAATATATATATTTAGTAAAAGTTTTGAAATATACGTTACCCGAACGGAGTGTACAATTGGAAATACAGTCAAATATAGGTAAATTAGGGTATACATTATGATAGAAGATACAAGAAAACACAGCAGGAACTTTATCTTGATTGTACCACTAGGAGATAAAATTAAAATTAATTAAAAATTAGTAATCTCTGTCATGCTTGAATATATTTATATTTTAATTCAAATTACGGTTACCTTAGTTTTAATCTTCAAAGTGAAATGTATTTTTTATTAAAAAATTATTTACTTCTTCATGAATAGAAAATCATTTCGTAATATAAAAATTAGAGATACGTAAGCTGAAAATTATACCTTGGATTGTAGAGGAGCAATAAACTGACGCAATTAATAAGTTTCAAGAATAAAAAAAAAAAAAGTCTACAGTGATCGTCAAAAGAGTAAGGCCAGAGTTTTCGTGTTGCGGATTTAAATAGTGCCTCTTATCAGTCTACATGGTATTCTAATCAGTGATGGATTTAGTATTTAAAAATAATAAAGTAAGTCTATATTAGCATTGACTCTATTTGGCCTTGTTTCCAAATTAAAGCACGTTTTGTGTTTCAGTAACTATTTTCGAAAAATCAACGATGAACGCATGGTAATTGATACGTTTCAAAACATCTGACGTTTTACTTTTCTTACTTAGTAATAATTGATAGGAATTGCTGAAACTTCTTTAGATGCATAACGTCAGAGTGGACTTCAAGATAAACATAAATTATAAGCATATAATATGTAATATTACGCGGCGGGTCTCCATTCACAGCAACCTCCATGTGGTGAAACCTGGGTAATATTATTTACCGTTTAATTAATAATCGTATCACTTCTTAGCTGGGTAATGCAATTATTAATTAAAAACTGAATAATATTAGCAAATTGGCTGCGAAATCTTTAGATAATCTCAATCGATTGGTTATTCCAATGAAATTAATCGATTAATGTCCAATGATGGACCCTACAGCTTTAATTCCGTTCAAAAATAATAAAATTTATGTAATTTTATTTTCTGTCCCACGTCCTCTTGTGTTAATTTCTGAATCTGTTGATAACGTTGTGAGTGACACGAAAATGGTAATGGGGTCCCGGGACCCCAGAAACTCGGGCCGAAAGATTACATTAGGTGAAAGGTCTATTCATATACCTCGTCTGTGCTTGGGCGTTGTCCCGATCATCTAACGCACAACCCCACCCCGGACGGGGTTAACTCAGGCCATAAATGAGCACCCGGGGAGCTCAGTTTTTCTAAAACTCTTGGCACAACGTTACGCTGACACTCGAAGCAAGATCGGGTTATAATCCCCATCAAGCAATTATGTACCTACCTTAGCGGGTTTATTTGTGAGTGTTCACTAGACTAATCGAGAAGTAGCTCCCGCGAACGCGCTGCGTAAAAGTCGACATAGAACTTTCGCCGTCGAGGCATCATAGCAATTAGTACTAGTTCAAATAATCGACAATTGTACTTGAGCATCGATCAGAATATACTCAAGTAGTTATCCTCACTTGCATTATTCACTTAATGCAACCCTGAACCCTTGTTAGAGACCTTACTTATCTGCCTCTGAGAACTATTAATTAAAGACCGAAAGAGGTCGGTACTTCGTTTCCCCCTTTAGCGGAGAGCTCTCCTTCCCCTCTGCGCGGGGACCGCGAGTTCAGTTCTGACCAAACTAGCGTGTAACACAGAGAGAGAGAGAGTGAGTGATCGTCGACACAGGGTTATTATAACTATGAAATACGCTGGATAACTAGTACCTATAAATTAACTGAATCTAGTTGTGTATGGATTATTAATTATATATAGTGTTTGTTATTCGTACTGTGATTTTAATTTTAACCAAAAACCTACAAACTTCAACAACCCTATTAACAATAAGACTAGAGGTATCTCACGAACCCGATACACCTTTACCGCTCGAGGTGTACCATTACGGCAGAGCAAGATCCTAAAAACATCCTAAAAACCTACGTGACTTCCAGGATATAAAGTCCCTGGTTCGTCCACTCCTAGCGGCTCCGAGGGTATAGAGCCCCTGGTTCATCCATGAAACCATACATTTTCCTTATAACTCCAATCCCTTGGCTCCCAGGATATAGAGCCTCTGGTTCGACCGGAACTCATTTCTCTCTCCCAACCATATCTAAACCACCGATCGAGCTTGTAACATTTTAATAGTCACAATATGAGGGGATCTTAAAACATGTATTTCAGCTAAAAAAAATTTTCGAAATTCTTCTTTCATTATGGTACTTTCCTTACACCGTACCCAGACCTAACCCAGACCAATAGTTTCTCAACTGACCGCCATTTGTGAGAACAGGAGGCTAATATCACCTCTGTATTCTCAGGTTGGTATAGCAATCAGATTGGGCGACGAATTTCCATAAGGTGTAAAATCTACTCGTATACCTCGTCTGTGGTACTATAAACCAGCTACACTCTATGCACTGGCAGATTGTTATATTATTTTTCCAATTAATGTGCATTGGTGAAATTTGACAAAGTGATTTCAAAACTTTGCTCGTAAACAAGGTAACTGCGTTATTACAACATATAACAATCAGGTAAATTATCTTTACAGACCAGATGTAATAATTTTTGGAGTAAATTTTCTCGATAGAAAAATTTGAAATAAGAACAATTTATTCCACAATTTTGACCTTTCCTTGAACGAGGAATCACATTTTATTCGATCGTATACGTCACGCTGTATCGTATATAAAATGGAAGAACCGATTTGGCTCACGGAGCTGATCTTGAACATATCTGTTATACATACTGAATGAAAATTAGACGTAAACTATTACATTGTGAACAAAACGAAAACATGTTTCATGTGCCCTTAAACCTACAAAAAAAAAATCGCTAATGTCAGGGTTAAGATTAGCGCCGAATGCTTTGACTGGTCAAGGTCACTTTCCTGACCGTGAGTGATATCGAAAATCATCTCCACTTGTGATGGTATCTCTGGGCTTCTTCGCATATTGTGAAACGAGAAATGAAGCGACAGAGAAGATATAGGCACTGTACAGGGTGATTCTAAAACCTGGAACAAGTTATAGCTCATTTCTGAACGGAGGTACAGAAAAGAATCATTTTTCATATTATAAATCATTTGCAATATGTACTTGCATTTGTTTCTTAAATTAAACTTTTCCTTTTACATTCAAACGTCCCATCATGAATGTTTAAACACTTTATTCCTTCCTTTACATTAGCCATTACATTTATATGTTGTGTACCGGTTAACTCTCGTATTATCCATAGAAACAAACACACTGTACGTATCTGCTTTGTTTAGAAAAGAGCTACTCCAAGTTTCTAAAGTCATCTTGTATAATGATGTTTATTGTTCAATGGCCATGAGCGACCTAGACATTTGGCGTTTACCGCAATCGTTTCTGGACCGGGCAACTTTCGACAATTTTTGCTTAATACTTACGGTTTCTGAGACAATTATGTGACATGCGTCACTACTCGGACCAGCATATTTATTCTCTATTAAAAATGAAAGTAGGCGAGAGTTGATAGATACATTACAATGAAATGCAAAACTTGAGGTAGGAGCGATGTTATCGCGGCGTGGGTCTAAACAATGGTTTTAATTAACAAGGTCAACTAGAATTACGATAAAAGTAAATTTATCAAAGTATTTAGGCTACACCTGTTCGTATAAAAAAAATTTTAAACAGCATACCATCAATTATAGTTTACTGAAAAGCCTTTTAATCATCTTGTACGTGACATTAAAAAAATATGTTTTATTTTACGAGGACAGTTAAGTTCATCAACGAATCATCTCCGTTGAAACGTTTACGATGCGACGATTGCTTGAAGATTATAGCCACGAACTCTGGACCGGTTTCCATGTCTTATTCTCATACAAAACGAAGTGAAATGTTCGCTTAAAATTAATTTAAATAAACTGTTCGTGTACGCTTCCTGTTTGTGGATCACAGAAATGATATGTCTATAAAGTAAAACGCTTGACAAATTTCGCATACTCTAAATAGCACCGTCTCAGCACCAAACACGTTTTTAAATTATTTAGAAAAAAAAAAAAAAAAAGAGGAAAAAAGAAACTCATGAAAATGTTCCGATGCCAGTTTCCAGAAAGCGGAAACACGAGTAATACATCGATCTCGTACTCAAACACAACGGAAGAAAATATCAACTTGGTCCTCACTTGATACTATGTACACAGTTCTAGCTGCTAGGATGGTCAACGTGAGTTACACTCCAGGCACTGAAGTTCACTGTTCACATCGAGATTAAAATGTACTATGGAAGTGGCCATGGTAAACCGGAAAAGTCCACTGGGCCACCTAGGCCTGCGTCGGCCTCTAGGAGGCTCATTATCACGGCCATTGCTGCTTCGTCGTTGCCATCAGATGGCACCGGGTTTGGTGATTCGTTTATCGTCGTACCACCGATCATGTCCATCATGTCTTCGTCTGGTGACGTTCCTACAAGGAGGGGCATTGTTATGTTATGGGCAACTGTCATCAACGTCTTCGCGTGGCACGGTTATCAACGTTATTTTAAACGATAGTGCTCAATCAAATGAAAATCGTATTACGGGCTTGATTGCTGGATGTTCGAACCTTTCATAGATCATTCAAACTACCGCTGTTCATCATTGAAAATATCTTGTATCAGTTTCTTTCTTCTGCGAGGAGATCAAAGTTCGATAATAAATAGCAAACTGCGGAGGAATAAATATACCGTTAAACGCAATCCACGTCTTTTCTATTCTTCGATATTTAATAAAAACGTCAATTAAATTTTGTATTTGCTGAACGTTTTTTTTTTTTGTTTATTTATTTATTTTTTCTATATTCAAAACGAACGTCCTTCGCCCTGTCTCGCTCAGAGAAGAACAGCGTGCGCGGAGACGATCGTGCTTTCTTTGGTTCTGTTTTCTCTGAGCGACCTAATTCTGTTTTTTTTTTTTTTTTGGTAAATCCGGCAATCACACTACACACCAAGAAAACGACTCCTTAGAGACAGTAATAGCTATGACCTTGGTCGTTCGCGATGCTGTTCAGCTGCAAGTTGTTTGCAATGTGGTTGTACGTTGGTGTGGGGTTACTGCTACCGTTGCTGCTGCCTCTCGTCGGTTGCGACACGTCCTGCACTCTTTCCGGCGATGCGGTCGTGGTAATCTGAGACTTACAAAAACGAAGTTTTTTGCAAAACTTTGCAACACGAGCGATATTATAGTAAAATCTCGAGGAAATATCAAGTTTCTAATTTCCTAATTTAACCCTTTGCGGTCGGTCTGCCACTTAGTATCCCTTACTTCTCACCGAGATCATCGAGCTTTCAGGATTTAGGTTTTTTAACAGTAGACGCTGTTCTACATTTCTAATTTAGACTTCCACTTCCCTTCCATCGATACAAAACACGAATATGAAAAGAAGTAATTACACAACGTGTTTACAATTCTCAAATAAAACGAACAAAATTCATTTTTTTATCGTTGATTAACGTGTTTTTCTATGTCAGTAACTTAAATCCTGCCAATTGTTTACAATATTACATGCAGGGTGTTCGGCCACCCCTCGGAAAAATTTTAATGGGAGATCCTGAAGGCCAAAATAAGACGAAAATCAAGAATATCAATTTCTTGACAGAGGCTTCATTAAAAAGTTATTAAAAAATTTCAAATTATTCTGAAAAATTATTTTTGATTGCGGGTCTCAATTACAATCATTTTTTGTAAATGTACATACCCCTGAAATCCTACCCACTTTCAAGAAAAAAATTCGCATAGGTACTAAAATTTTTAGACGAAATTAAAAAATTTCAAATCATACTAAAAAAATTATATTTACTTACAGGGGTCAATTACAAGCATTTTTCGTGAATATACATACCCCCGAAATCCTAACCATTTTCGAGAAAAAAATTCCTGACCGAACATATAATTTCAGGCCAGAAATGTCACTCCAAACTTTCTTGCGTATCTTTAAAACGTCATAACTTCTGAACGGATTGGAGGATTTTAATGTTTCAAACGGTAAACAACGTGTATTTTGGTGTAAAATATGTACAAATTCTAACAATATTGATAAAGTTGTTCCTTGACTCCGTAAAGTGAGAAAACCCCCATGAAAATGGTACAATTTTCAAGCAGCTATAACTCCTACAATAGTGAATATATTTCAATGAAACTTTTTTCTGGGGTAGAGTTCACGGGTACCTACAAAAAAAGTATTAGGAAACTTTTCTATACGGCGCCAAACAAAATTACTAAAAATCAAAAACGAATTTTTAAGGAAAATCGACAGGTTAGTGCCTTTTTTCGATGAAAAAAAAATTTCAAATCATTCTGAAAAAATTATTTTCCGTTGCGAGGGTTAATTACAATAATTTATTGTCATTAGACGTACCCCTGAAATCCTACCCATTTTCAAGAAAAAAATTCGAATAGGTACTAAAATTTTTAGACGAAATTAAAAAATTTCAAATCATACTAAAAAAATTATATTTACTTACAGGGGTCAATTACAAGCATTTTTGGTGAATATACATACCCTCGAAATCCTACCCACTTTCAAGAAAAAAATTCGAATAGGTACTAAAATTTTTAGACGAAATTAAAAAATTTCAAATCATACTAAAAAAATTATATTTACTTACAGGGGTCAATTACAAGCATTTTTGGTGAATATACATACCCCTGAAATCCTATCCACTTTCTAGAAAAAAATTCAGTGCGGGTGGAACTTTAAATGATAATAACTTTTTAACGAAACCTCCATCAAAAAATTAGTATTCTTGATTTTCGTCTTATTTTGGCCTCTAGAATCTCCCATTAAAATTTTGTCCAAGGCTGGCCGAGCACCCTGTATATTATGATGATGTCTAACTTTAATCACCGATGGTTTCTAAACTTTTTAAAGAAATTTTCCACATTTCGATCTTATGTGGGAGCCCTGTTCAGAAATATACTCTTTGTTGAGAAAAGTATAAAGAGAAAACTTATACAAATGTTAGAAATTCGAACCTATTGGACCTGTGATCTTTTTTCCACTATGATTCTGTAAATTTTCTTTCTTCGCCAACGTTACATCGCTATGTCACAAATCTGTTTTCATAAAAATATTTAATTAAATATGTTTGTCTAACGGTCAATATATAATCAATAATCAGAATATCAGGATATCAATGATCAGAATATGATCAATCAAAAATGTAGATAGATAATTATGAAACTTAAAACTCAAGTTTGGAACGATGAATTGATCTTTTAATGCTGATGTGTAATCAATTATTGAAAATAATAACGTTATTCTACAAATTCTAGGTAAAGTGTAAATGCAGCTAACATAATTTTGTTTACTTTTAAGGATGTTTGTCAGAGCGCCCTCAGAAACTGACTCGACAATTGATCCGGAAGTGGGTACAACCTGATACACTAATGCTTATTTTCTGATCGATTCTCTGTAAGTGGAAGAAACTTTATTCGCCTATCTCTTGGAGACGTCGTCATATGAGAGAAAATAGATTTTAGTATAGAAACCATGTTGACTGCTAAAAGGATCAAATTGTTTGTACATAAATTCTGAATAGTAGGTGATCGAGGTGTGAAGAACTTTTACTGCAGAATAATGATGTCACGTCATGCCCGTTGTTAGATCGCAAAAGATTAACGTAAAAGGTGGATCAAGAGATACCAACGAAAACGAAACAGCCGTTTTGCGTTTCTTTGTTTAATTGAATGTTTCAAAATACAGGTAAGTTGGAACTGCTTCGCGTGGTATCTACCTCAGTATTTAACAAAGCAGCAGGTTCCGGGCCTGGCGCGGGACTGCTACCGGAAGAAGAATCCTCGCCGCGTCTTTGAAGGTCGAGAACCTCTTCCGCTATTTGTCGTCCTATTTTACTTACCTCTACGTGGCTTGAGATCAATCTTTCTAATCCGCCGTTACCTACGGGCAAGATTACAAACAATTACGAGATAATTATCTTTTAATGCAAACAGTTATTGACTATAAAAATATGAGAAGTTACACCAGTACATTAAAAATTGAAAATTGTTTGAGAAATTTTTAATCGAAGATTCGCGTTGGACCAGTTCAAAAAACTTGTATAAAAGTGTCAAAATACATATTTCTTACACAAGCACTTTGGTCAATAAATATTTTTGTAAGTTTTGAGAAAGCTATTATCAATTCGTGAAAGTAACTCACAAGAGGCTCCATTTTCTAGTGTAAATTTGCATTTATCATCGGTATAATCAAAAAATTATCATTGTCTTGTATACTAGCAGGCATTTTTTTATGCCATTAAAATCTATATAAAGCGCTGAGGAGAAGGATCCAAAGAGGATGAGCAATATTAATTTAGCGTATTTCGTAAATCTCAGAGCAGTCCTATAATTTTAGAATTTTTAAAGATATCCCCACCGATTATGTTGTTAACTATCGTTCGATTCTTCTCGATAAGAGCTTTCCATACACGAATAGAAATCACTGTATTTAGGATCGAAATATCTGAACACTAGATTTACGGAAGCCGTCAATTTGACGGATGTTTGATTCCACATTTAAAATTGCAGAACGCGTAAATATTATTTTTTAACAACTTATGTTGAATTTGATTTATGCAATGGCATGAATACATATTCTAATTAAAAAAAAAAAATCGTATTGTAAGGTATTCGTCAACATGGAAGGTATCAATAAATATACGTGCGATACAATGCCCGTAAATCTAGTGTTAATGTTTAGTAACTTTTATTGGAAAATATGTTGAACATAGTGTACTCTTACTTTGCGTGAAATAGTCGTAGTTGCCCTGAACACTGGAATCCTCAGATCTATTTCCGCTACTTGTAGTCGTTCGGAAGTCGCAGCTGCACACGATCAGTTTCTTTCATTATTCACATTCCACGTTATTGGATCATCGTACAAAATACTGTTGATACTTACGAAGTAACAGAATTCTTAGCTATTAGGTACTCGATATCTTTGGTCCACGGATTTCTGAAAGATTTCCATTCGGATTGGAGATTCACAAAGCTCGCATCCTTTGTTCTAAACCTGTATATCTAAACAAATTCATCGATCTCGTTAAAACAGCTGCATAACAATTGTTCTAATTTTCTATAATTTTGATCGTTAAGTAAAAATTGAGATTATTACAGGGACTGAATTTTTTAACTAGCGCATTCTTTTTTCTATTTTTTTGACATATAGAAAATCCTGTAAATGTTTACTGAAAAACTTTCACGTATGTAATTTAGCTTAACTTATATTACGTTATTGCATTTACCCAAGTAACATACATATATGTATATTTTATTTTACAAGGTTACCATTACTCTGCGAATAAACTTGGTACAACTATACACTTTATTTTTTTATGAAGACATTTTTGCTAGGACCATGATCACAAAGTGTCATTTTGGAATTAAACAAAGTTTTTACTGTCCAATTCTGTAGGTTGTCTAGTGCGTTTTGGAGTAGTTGTTCTGTGGTATTTTCATATTTTCCTTTATACATATATTATCGTTATGTCATCTACGAAAAGATATGTTTGGACTGGTAAATTTGTTACGGAAAAAACAGCATTTATGGATACTAGGAATAGTGTTATACTTATTATCGAACCTTGAGGGACTCCATTTTGCAATATCATAATGTCGGATAGACAGTTGTTGGTATGTACTATTTAAATTAGAAACCCATAAAATGTTTGGTTGTGTAACACAGTCCCCTCGAAAAGTAAGTTGACACATTAAAAAAATCAGTTCTTATTATGTCAAACTAAAATAAAGTATCATATTAATTGACATCTTTGGTATAATTAATGTGGAAACGTATTGTGAAATATATGTAGAAGGGAAAAAATATTGGCAGTATAAATCATATACAGTAAGGAGCATAGCTTAACCAATAATCACAAGTTTTGTATAGATCATTACGTACTGCTAAGAATATAGGGGAATATTAAAAAACAAACATTATAGTTATCTTTATTACAGTTAATGGTAACATAAGAAACTTTTTCTGTAATTAATGTCTTCTCGTTTGGCAACGAAAAAAAGAATAAATTGACTCGATTTTGCACCAGTTCGTGAAAACAATGTTTACATGGAATGTCTTAGTAATGTGTTTGCATCTAGCAGATTCAAATGATTACAATATGCTATTTTACACTCAATTGCTCACAATCAATCGAACAGAAAAATACGCAAGTAAAGTAAGAATAAACATGTATCCAATTTCTCCAAATTGTTTAAAAAAAATCATATCTCTTTTGAATGACGATTTATCAACGTGTCAAGTCGCAGAAAACCATAGCATTAGTCGATCGACAGTGCAAAAAATAAGAAACAAACATTGAAAAGTATATTATTAAAAGTTGGAGGAAGACCAAAAAATTACCACCGGTATTTCAGCGGAAGAAATTCTTTACACGAAAAGTACTCCAATCAAGAAATTTGTATTTAAATAAAACTTTGTGTAGAGCATAATGAAGCATGCAAGAAACAAATCTTTTTTGGAAGATTTAACGGTACGAAATATTTGTTAAAAAAGGAGTTGTTTTCCGTTACGATAATTTACAACTCCATATATATTTAATGATAAGACAAAAATTACTACATTGATATTTGTATTGAAAAATTCTTTTAGTGAAAAGTCGTTCGAAAACACCGAAAAATTAAATACAGACGTATTTGGATTTTTAAATAAATAAAGCGATGAATTTTATTATAAAGACATATATAAATTATCTAAAAGATGGCAGAAGATCGTAACATAAAATGGCGCGTAAACCATTGATCAAAATAGTTTTATAAAAAATTTACAGTATTTGATATTGTTACAAAGAAACGCGAACGGACTTATTACACAACCTAAATACATATTTATTAATGGGAAAAATAGAATTCTATAATGAAATTATTTTGTTTTAGTTCGAGTGACAAATACGTATCGACTCGACGGGTTAAATACATACATACGTATTGGTCTAATCACAGCAATGGCGATTTACAGAAATTAGCACCCTTAGCTCGGTTCTTTTCTTTTTATGGTTATTGTTTTGGCCACGAACAAATATTCGTTTACAAATGTTGCTCGTGGTCGTCGCGTATTGCACAGCCACTCTGTGCTCTTAACATGTACCTTGACCCCCACAAGTTGTTGCTTCTGATACGCAGAAATGACTTCTTGCGGAGACTAACTATCGAAGATGTTACTCTGTCGAAATTAATCTGCCTCTCCGTCCGGATTTTTCTCATAGGGAAACCTCGGTTTCCCCTGCCAAGGTGACAACGACGAACATTGCCTACCTGAGGGAGGATTGGTCAAGCCAATCCTCATCGTCGTCACCTTGGCAGGGCGGTTCCTAACAATATGCAACATTCCCACCCACCCTGCCGTCCAGTGTCCAGGTAGACCATGCAGGAGTGAGCGAGAAAGCTGCATTGTTATTAACTTTTTGAGAAATGCCCAAAGACCGCGAGACCCCGGTGGTCTGCAGCTGTGCGCCAACACGGGTTTACGATACGTCAATCGCTATTGAGGCAAGGAAGAGCTCCAAGGATTCCAAGTCCCGTGTGGAGTTTGGAGGTTCCTTAATGACCGTATCCTAATTTATCAAGTAAAAATGTCTTGAAGGCCTCCGCCATGTGTTTAGTTTAATTCTAAGGTATGTTTGATAGCGTCGAGAGGATGTTTGGACAATTGGGTCGAGTGTCGCGTAGGGTGAGTGTGTGGTTTGGTTAGTTTGTAAGTTAGTCCTGTTAGAGGATTCGTTGAAATAAAGACAAGTTTAGCTAGAAACTGTTGTTTTCACGGTCTCCTTAAATTCCCGTCACAACCATCTCAGGCCTAATCCTCAAAAATAGCGGAGAAGTCACATCCGTATCATAAACCCGCTCACTGTGCAGAAGAACTGCACATCTATAGTCAAAGTATTCGATATAAAAGATAGTTTCGTGTCGTGAATTACCTGCGTGGTGACGCATTCGGAGGCTTGAAGAGCAGCTTTGTGAGATTCCGCGAGATAAGGAATGTCATCGTGATGATAATACTCATACATGCTCGTACCGAGGAGCTCTTGCGGTAGAAAACCTAACACTAAGGTAGCCCTGAAAATATTTGTTAACGTTAAATCCATTATTACTATCGCCTACGCTAAGAGAGTACATTCATGAGAAAGTTTTTATTCCTTGATATTTAGAATATATTATGATTATCAATAACTAGAGACAGAACACATTATAGAGCATTAGTTTCAAACAAATACGATATTTTATTGGATTATTCTCAAAGTGTTACTAACAGTTTATTAAAATTAGACTTCTAAATTTTATTCAAGCGTAATGTTACTGAACAAATCAAGAGACCGAAATTGCCACGAGACGCGAAAGAACTATTATAGTACTATTTGGAATAATTTATACAATTTCAGCTGTTAAAATATTAGATGTTTTGAACGAGAAAGTCAATTGATCAGTTTATCCTCCAATTATTTGGAACCGCGTTGAAGTTGATGTCACAATATTAACCTTTGGTCAACGAAAAGGAATTTTCCATCCATCGCGTGTCGCGAAACAAATTTTATAGGCCTCAATCGTGGCTTCTTAGGCAAGGATGTAGGTATCGTGGACTGCAACCGACCTACTGCTACCAAACAGGATAAATTGCAAGCATCCCCATCCCCATCACCTTCTTGTTCCTCGAGGTCGATTTTCGCTGGTGCCCAAGATTTCAGGTAACCAGTGCACTGGATTACACAATACTTCCAATCTGCGAAAATACGCGTTGAAATTCATGTATTATTATACAGCAAGGTACGAATCTATTTCATTCGCTTCAATTTTTACAAACGAAAGGAACCAGTGCATAGGTTTCGCAATCTTTTTCGATCGGTTCGAGTTTTCTTTAAACTCCTTCTTCATGAACTTATGCAAACGAAATATACATAAGACCATAGCATTATAAGCTATTTTCTTAAAACTTACTGAGGTGGCAAAAAGATTCTTTTTGTTTTGTTATTCCAGGAGCTGATAGATCGGTTTCTGAATTCGACGTCAGGGATTTTGACGAAATTAGACATGTAGTATATGTAAAATTACGAGGAGTCTACGCCATCATTTTTTTGGTTTAAATTCGTTTAAAAAATACAAGATAAGGCTACGCAAATGAATTTCTGTCTCTGAAACTATCAATCTAGTTGAGTTTCTCTTTTTATTAAACCTTCTTTTAGGCTGAACAGTCGTGTTCGCAGTGTAACAATTATAAATAAATTTTTATTTTACAAATTTAGAGTAAAAGACTTGTAATTAAAAATCAATTATACTTTGTGGCTCGTTTGACTCTTTTCTTATAAGTACTATTATTCACCAAAAGTACTCATATTTCAACAATAGTGTTATAAAAACAATGTTAATATATGGCATATACAGTATTTCATTTAGGATATTTAGTTTCCTTTCCTGATTATCCAGTAACATAAATTTCAAAATTTTGTCTGACCAGTATATTTTTTACAATAATATTCCAATACAACTTCTACAAATTTTATTCCATAAATAATAATCATAAAAGTGCAAGAAAAATGAAACCAACATACATAGTCTAAACGCACATAAATAATTATAACCTTAACAAGAAAGAGATAATATTTCTTCAAAGATTGTTTGTGCCTCATCGATAAAATAGAAAAATAGATACATGTTGTTGTACAGCAATCATTTACTACAAGCTAAAATAGGACGAAAATCAAGAATACTAATTTGTTGATGGAGGCTTCGTTAAAAAGTTATTAACATTTAAAGTTCCACCCGCACTGAATTTTTTTCTAGAAAGTGGGTAGGATTTCGGAGGTATGTATATTCACGAAAAATGCTTGTAATTGACCCCTGTAAGTAAATATAATTTTTTTAGTATGATTTGAAATTTTTTAATTTCGTCTAAAAATTTTAGTACCTATTCGAATTTTTTTCTTGAAAATGGTTATGATTTCGGGGGTATGTATATTCACCAAAAATACTTGTAATTGACGCCTGTAAGTAAATATAATTTTTTTAGTATGATTTGAAATTTTTTAATTTCGTCTAAAAATTTCAGTACCTATTCGAATTTTTTTCTTGAAAGTGGGTAGGATTTCAGGGGTATGTATATTCACCAAAAATGATTGTAATTGAGACCCGCAATCAAAAATAATTTTTCAGAATAATTTGAAATTTTTTTTTCGTCGAAAAAAGGCACTATCCTGTCGATTTTCCTTAAAAATTCGTTTTTGATTTTTAGTAATTTTGTTTGGCGCCGTATAGAAAAGCTTCCTAATACTTTTTTGTAGGTACCCGTGAACTCTACTCCAGAAAAAAGTTTCATTGAAATATATTCACTATTGTAGGAGTTATAGCTGCTTGAAAACTGTACCATTTTCATGGGGGTTTTCTCACTTTACGGAGTCAAGGAACAACTTTTTCAATATTGTTAGAATTTGTACATATTTTACACCAAAATACACGTTGTTAGCCGTTTGAAACATTAAAATCCTCCAATCCGTTCAGAAGTTATGACGTTTTAAAGATACGCAAGAAAGTTTGGAGTGACATTTCTGGCCTGAAATAAAATTTTCGATAAGGAATTTTTTTCTCGAAAATGGTTAGGATTTCGAAGGTATGTCTATTGACCAAAAATGATCGTAACTGACCCCCGCGAGCGAAAATAATTTTTCCAGAACGATATGAAATCTTTCAACTTAATTTTTAATAACTTTTTAACAAAGCCTTAGCCAAGAAATTAATATTCTTGATTTTTTGTCTTATTTTGGTCTCTAGAATTTCCCATTAAAATTTTTCCCAGGGTTGGCCGAACTCCCTGTATAATATGACTATAGAGGTATGTATTTTTAAATAATTAGGCAATATTTTTTCAAGATATTTGACCATGAACCTTTGTCCTGTGAATTGCATAATAAGAATTTGTTTGTAATTTTCACTTTGCGAAAACGGCTGTTCGGTCAAAAATAAAATTAATTCCGTAATGTCGATTCTTCTCATAGAAAACAATAAAACAGGAACTCAATACTCAATCCAGATTCGTTTGTGCTCGTTTTCGCGAGAAAAAGAGGAGATAAATCCGTAAAATGTTCCTTTTTGTTTTACTTGGATATAAAAAATATACAATTTTCGGTAGTTATCATTGTGATTTCGAGAAGAGGAAAGAAATGCACGATTGGAAATAGAAATGCGAAGATAGGAATGTAAAAGAGAAGACATGTAAGACGATCCTTTCACCGATCAACGAAATGATGTCCACTTTTCACCTTTGACGAGTCATGCGGCAAATATTCCTATCGAGATATCTCAGGAATGACGAAAAGGAGCTAGCGATACTATATAAATCCTTTATCGAAGCATATTCGATACTCCCTTGTAGCGTTATAAATTTGTTATAAAAATTTTACCAAAGTGGTTTACACGACTGCAATTGAAAATTATATTCTAATCCATAAGAAATGGCGTCAGAAGTTTAATTCCTATGAAATGAATATCCTACGAACTGCTTCTTGTCCTTTATGGTGTTTAATGTTGTTTTGTACAGGTACATTCTTTTTTAAAATTCCCTTTATAATATAAATTCAAATACACTTTCTAAAATGCATAAATACAGATGTACCTTTCATCTAACGATATATAAAATAGAATAGCTTTAGAGTTGTTTGACAAGTGAAACAACTAATAAAGATGAATTCAGTGTTGAAATTTTTATGTTTTTTTCTTACAGAAGAAGTTAATTATTGTATATTTTTTATAAAAATGAATATTAACAGTTCTGTTATAATATATTATTTTTTATTAATTCATCAGCAATATCAATTTTCTTTTTAATTGTAAATTTACACAAATTGAGAATTGAATCTGTATTCTGTTCAATACGCTCCATCAACATCGTACAATTACCAACTTGATAAAATTACTAACGAAATAACTTACCGACGTTTTGCTGCTTTTTTCGTCGATGGCAGCCGCTGGTCGTGTCAGCTTCCTCTTTTACTTGCAATTTGCTACAACGAACACTCTCCACTTTTCGTTTCATTCTACAAAAAAAAGACCTCCGTACCCCTGGGCAGAGTCTCGACACACCCTGTGGCACGTCCGTCTTCACCGGTAGCATTGCTGCAGGAATATGAAACAAAAAATCAATATATTCCTTTCCGTTTGACAAAAACACTGAAATTCTACAGACATAAATTATTTAGTGGACTTGTAACAGCCATCTTCAATATTGCCATGTTATATCACTGAAAACTTTAATTACGAATATTGTTTTACACGCAGCATTCTCAGGCGAAAGTAAATATAATTTCTTTAATTCGGATGAAAACCAAATACGCACCGAGCTTAATTTAAAGAATCTAAAGAGCCCGTTAATGGGACCGTTTACACTCGACACTCGAGTTTGTTTGAAGTATTAATTGTTCTGTTAACACTTTGACGGCCGCTGTCACGTGTGCGTGACTTTGCGAGCTAGCAGACTTTGGCCACTGTCACGTGTGCGTGACCTACTGTATCAGCCACCGTTTCACCATACATTCAACTTATCACGTTTGTTGAGGTTACATTTATAATTCCTTATAATAATATTCATAAAGTGTTAAGTTGACGTTTATTTGTTAAAATCAATTTTCTCGCAAGCTGATGCATTTTCGACGCGTTGTTTACATAGAGTAATTCCCTTTCAAATTGCATCACGGTCTGACTTTTAATTGTGTATAATTTATAAAATGCCATATTCGCGATCGCGAGAGCTTTGTAAGCGTTTGAACGTCTGCAATCTAAACGCAGCAAAAGGAAAGTAATCGCGTCTTGCTGACGCGACGTATCAATAACTGTGGGCGTAGTGGTAGCATATACAATCTCTTCTATAGCCGAGCCATATTCATAATTTTCCGTAATATTCAGCGAGCATCGCCGTTATGTAATTAATCTTGATGCATTATGATGCGACGATCGGTTCTCTATATTCTATGACTTTCCCCCTAATCGCGTGACGCAACAATGATTACGGTTTCGTTCGGTCCTTAGACATATACCTAATTAACACTCTTACGTTTCCGTTTATCGATGTAAATTATTATCGATATAGAGATTTTAAAAAAAGTTATCAACTTTGAAAATAGTTTGGGGAATTTAATTAACGTTAAAATACATCAGTTGTGCGCTGCGATAAAATTAAATGATCCCAATGATTACGTTTGGTTACAGATAAATGGTCAGCAACGAATTCTGAACCTTAAAATTTTCTATACCTTTATGACATTATTTGCATGATTTTGCCGATAAAATCGAGTCTAAACACGTCCTTATTAGAACACGCAGAATTCTGCAAGTATAGTACTGTCTCTCTTTTCGCAATTAAATCGAGACCGCCAGATTTAAAATGGAGAGGCTTGGGCGACACATTGTTAAGGGAACAGATTTTACTCGACTGGGCTTTTTAAATAGGTTTTTTTTATTCCACAATTGTCGAGCAATTAACCATCACTCGAACTGAAGGAATATAAACAGTGGGGTTGATTCCGTTGCAATTACATCTCGTTTTGCACAGAATTAACGGAATCTGGATAGGGTCATATTTGGAATCATTTTCATTGGATAAACTTCCACGATCTATTACCGTGAAGATGTATTGAAAAATATGAAATTTCTTACATACTTATTAGACATATCTTTAATTTCCGATGAAAATGAGTTCGAACAAGACTTCGTTCGTCCAAATACCGCCGTGTTTAGATTTATTGTTGTTGAAATATAAATTTAAAATAGGAAAAGCTTGTGGAAGCATTTGGCGAATGATGCGATCCACATGTACGGTTTTGTGCGACACCTGGCGGCAAGCCTGGAGTGCTTAACGTGTGAGACATATTGTGGTGCAGTTTTTAGTAAGACACGTTTTGTTCAGTGTTGTATTCTATATTAAACAGTTACATATTATAAGCTATAAATGCATCGTCCCATAAACCTCACTTATTCCAACAATTTTAATAATAAATTTTTATTTTAATACTCAAAAAAATAAATGGATGCCCAAAACTATCCCTCAAAGATGGAAAATTATGTTCTAAAGTAGCAAACATTTTGAAGCTTATTAATTTACTAGATTGTATTTAATAAATTTATAATTTGTATAAACGTAAATAGTAACTCTGGTTGCTAATAAACTTTCAAGTTGGAGTAATAATAAAAATCAAACGAATAAAAAGAATACACAAAAAGAGATATAAAAAATTGTACCAAAACGTTTGATCAATTTGATATTACGCTACTTATAAATAATAATGTAAATGCCAGAGAACTATCTTCTAACGAATAAATAAAAAATTAAAAGCAGAGAATAATATGAGCATAATTCATCGAAAGCAAGAGTTAACGAAGGTTTTGATTATTTATTACACCCTGGTTTTTGAACGAGCTGAATTTCCCATTTGCTATTAGCTTCCCGAATCATAGTTGAACCTGAATCAAGTTTGTCCGAAAGAACCTAGACGAAACACATTTTAATTTTCGTAACAATTTGTTTCGGAGTTTCAAACCTGAAACTCATATGTAAAATTTCGTTCCTACCAACCGTTGCTTTTAATTATTGATAACAATTTTTAGTTTATATCGGTAGCTGCTTGATTCCGCGCCTCTTGGACGAGGTACAAATTCAGTCAACTAGCGAGGGAATACTGTAAAACGTCAGGAAGATTGAATTATTTATGACTACTCGAAAATCCGATAAAAAGAGATAGTTGCTTAATTGCGTTTGCACGATCTTTAAGTCTAACGAATACCGATATCATGGCGATTGTTGGTACTATAATAACGTCGTGACGTTTGATCAACAAGCTATCAAAGGTGCCGATGGACGCACGATCCTCGCGGTTTTGAAAGTTAGGATCGACGGCCATTAATTGTGTAGCAACGAGTGTCAGATGATTAGCAATCGCAAGACATCCAGAACCCTCGCGGTCAATCGAACGTAAAACGTATCGGGATGTAATTATTCCAGGAATCCTGGCATTCGTACCGGTCATATTAACTTCTTTTCTCGTCCAGACAGGTCTTTCGTAATACTCTTATCTGGTTGTGCTAATTCAAAGATGCTTATCGACAGGCAGATGCCGCCGAACGACTGACATTTATCAGACATAAACTGCATCGACAAATAATGCGCATCTGAATGGCCGGCCGCAAGAACTAACCGGAGAGAATGTCGAAAGGTGTCATAATTAATGGATTCGTGCGTAGAAAGTCGAGAATGCTAACCGACAGAAATGATCTCCCCCATCAGCTGGGAGTTACAGTGATTGCGATACAGTATTATGTAGTATTTCGTGGCCCTTCGCTCGCATCAATTATACACTGCTGGACAACATTATAAGTTCGCTTCGTTTTTGTCTCGTTTATTGTGATACTTGGAACTATAGTTTTTTCTTTTGCAGTATTACGTAAAGACCTTTTCAAGGAAAATGCGAGTTCAATAACGAGTGATCTGTCGTACATTTAGTTTCTTTTTTTAAATAAAATAAGCAATCAGTTCAAATCCCAATAAACTTTTTCGAAGACTGAAGAAATTTCAGTTGCGTTTACGAGGAAATTCCGTAGGATTTGATGAAAAACTCGTTAAATAGCATGGAAACAAGAGTTTTACAACTAATTAATCGTAATGGAGTATTAAGTAATTATTGGAAACAATTTTCATTATAATTCATTTATAAATGAATGCGTTTTGCAAACAGTCAAAAATGAGTCAAAAATGAAGCTTGTAATATTGGCCAGCAATGTAGTATTGCTACGGACGAGGTATACGAGTAGACCTTTCACCCAATGTATTTATTCGGCCTTTTTTTCTGTGGCTCTAGAGCCCCATTACCATTTTTGTGCCACTCGCAACATTACCAACAAGTTACACAAATGAACGCAAGAAGATGGGAGAAAATGTAATTAAAAATGATTGCAATTGACCCCTGCGATCGAAAATAATTTTTCCAGAGTGATTTGATATTTTTCAATCTCGCCGAAAAATTTAGGCACCTTGTCGATTCTTCTTAAGCATTCATTTTTTATTTTTAATTACTTTGGTTAACGCTGTACAGAAAAGTCGTTTAATACTTTTTTGTAGGTACCCATGAGCTCTGCTTCAGGAAAAAGTTTCATTGAAATATATTCACTATTGCAGGAGTTATGGCTGTCTAGAATTTGGACCATTTTGATGGGGTTATTCTAACTTAACAGGGTCAAGGAACAACTTTTTCAATATTGTTAGAATTCCTACATATTTTACACCAAAATACACGTTGTTTGCCGTTCGAAACATTAAAATCCTCTAATCCGTTCAAAAGTTATGACGTTTTAAAGATACGCAAGAAATTTTCGAGTGACATTTCTGGCCTGAAATTAAACTTTCGGTAAGGAATTTTTTTCTCGAAAGTGGTTAGAATTTCGAAGTTATGTCTATTGACCAAAAATGATTGTAATTGACCCCTGCGATCGAAAATAATTTTTCCAGAGTGATTTGAAATCTTTCAATCTCACCGAAAAATTTAGGCACTACCCCCCCCTGTCGTATTTCCTTAAAATTTGTTTTTGATTTTTAGTAATTTTGTTTGGCGCCGTATAGAAAAGTTGTCTAATACTTTTTTGTAAGTATCCATGAGCTCTGCTTCAGGAAAAAGTTTCATTAAAATATATTCATTATTGTAGGTGTTATGGTCGTTTGAAAATTGCGTTTTTTAATCCTTTCCATAGTCAACTCACATGTATTTACACACACACGACAGCTGTCTACCCATAAATACTAATTCAGTGAATAGTTTCTCAACTGACCGCCATCCATGAGAAGAGAACACTAAAATCACCTCCGAATTTTCAGGTAGTCAGATTGGGCCACGAAAGTCCATAAGGTGAAAGGTCATACCTCGTCTGTGGTTTAGCCACGGAGAGAATGCTATGGTTGATGTTACTGGAAACAGCGACTATATTGCGAGTTTAATGTCAAATTCTGTGAATGTGTGTTAAATTAGATTTTTCTGACAAATCTTTTCGATAAAATCAGGTTCAGTGACATACGTAAACGACCGTTAGGGATAGTTAAACAGGTATTATTAAGAATTTTGTCTAGTAAGGTATTAGTACATACTTTTGGCGTCTATTAATCGTTCACGTGGACTGAGATCCGAAGAAGATAACTGCTCCTTTACCTTGGCAACATCTTTCGGGTGGAGAATATCGAACCAACTTTGACCCAACAGGTCGCCCTGCGCAAAAATAAAGATTTTGTTTTCATTGAGAGAGTCATTGAGTGAGTCTCCTAACATGACAACCTCAAATAACTCGTAAGGTATTCGTTGTACGCAAAAATGTTTCAAACAAAAGTTGCATGGTATCTAAAGGGACATACAGTGCTCTAATCTGTTTTTTATCACCTTATTTTTGTATTGAGATATTAGGGTCACCTTCAGTTTTTTAAACGGAATGTCTAATATTTTTTTTCGCATTCGGACAAATCATCAAATTTTGCCAAAAAAATATTACACAAAGTGGGACTTCAAATGAATAATTACCAAGATACTTTTTAAACAAATTTTATTTCAAGCGGTGTTCGAAGTGCTGTCTATTTGTTTAAATTTGAGTGAGAGATTCTAGAGGCCAAAATAAGACGGAAATCAAGAATGTCAATTTGTTGATCGAAGCTTCGTTAAAAAGTTATTAATAAAATTTGTTGACCTACACGGATTTTTTTCTCAAAAGTGTGTAAGATTTCGTGGATGTGTCTATTCACCAAAAATGATTGAAATTTATCTCTGCAACCAAAAATAATTTTTTTAGAACGATTTCAAATTTTTTCTCGTCGAAAAATTTAGACACCTCCCCGTGTCGATGTTTTTTTAAAAATTCGTTTTTTATTTTTCGTAATTTTGCTTGTAGGAGTTATGGACGTTTGAAAATTGGAACATTTTCATGGGATTTTTCTCATTTTGCGGGATTAAGGAATAACTTTTCGAAATATAACTTTTTCCATGAATATTTTTGGAATTTCTACATATTCTACGCCAAAATACGCGTTGTATGCCTTCTAAAACATTAAAACCCACCAATCCATTCAGGAGTTATGATGTTTTAAATATTTGCATGAACCATTTCAGGCCTCCGATTATATTTTCGACAATGAATTTTTTTCTCGAAAATGCATAAGAATTCGGAGGTATGTCTAATCACTAAAAATGATTGTGCTTGACCCCTGTAACTAAATATAATTTTTTTAGTATGATTTGAAATTTTTTAATTTCGTCTAAAAATTTCAGTACCTATCCGAATTTTTTTCTCAAAACTGCATAGGATTTCGGTGGTATGACTATTCACCAAAAATGATTGTAATTGACTCTCGCAGCCAAAAATATATTTTTCAAAACGATCAGAAATTTTTGTTTTCGCTGAAAATTTTCCATTTAAAAAACTGAAGGTGACCCTAATATCTCAATAAAAAAGTAAGGCAATAAAAAACAGATTAGAGCACTGTATGCCCCCTTGGATACCATGCAACTTTTGTTTGAAACATTTTTGCGTACAACGAATACTTTACGAGTTATTTGAGGTCGTCATGTTAGGAGACACACCCTGTATAAATGTTTTTAGTTTGCATTTTTAATTCCACAGTTTTCAATTGCTCGAGTCGATTTGCTTGAAAACGGTGGCCATATATGAAATGAAAACCACTATGTTATATTATATTATAGTACAAAGTACAAGGATGTCACTAATTAAATCCCATTTTCCTAATATTAAGAACCTTGATCAAAGGTTTGGAATAATTATTCTGAACAGTGTTGGGATTGATTCAATTTCTTTAATCGTGCTAAAAATCTACTTTTAGGTACCGAATTACTGTACTATCGGTAACTAGCAGACGACAGACTGGTTACCTGAGAATAATTGAGTGTCTGTAAAACTGACTCGGACACGTAGAGAATTCTTCCACGATCACAGCCCACTACGAAGACAAAACCCTCCGCTGCCTGAAACAGAAGAAGTTGCCTTTGATTACGTTACCTAGTTCAAATATTTATTATGATTATGTAACAAACTCGTCGGAGTAAACGACGAGCGTTGTCACTGGCAAAAGTTCATTCGTGTTTTACATTGTCAAAGCTTAAGAGATTATAGAGTAAAATAATTTGATGACCGTTCAGGTCTCGATAAACTCCAGTAAATGGAAAAATATTTTCTAATTAATATTAAAAATTTGAATATCGTACAATGCTTGAAACACGAAGCTTTGACTAGAATAAAATGCACTGTAACATTCTTGTAACACCTTTCATAATATATCACGACTAAAAAAATTATTTGCAAGATTGTTCTGGCCTCGAATGTTCCTGAATTTGTATTAGTAAATGTAATTTTATTTTATGTTATTATAACTCTTCGTCGAAAAGAATGTTTATAGAAGCTTGGATGATTGATGCCTCGTGGAAGTGTAAATCGAAAATGTAGGATAAAATTTGTTTGTACAATGCTTCTTTTTTAAGATAATTGTATTTGAAAGTTTGTACACGATTTGGCTGACACGTCGGTCCATTACTCGCTATTTCTACTTCCACCGCTGTACAAGTCGAACTCCATTGCACAGGAACTCGACAAATTTTGAAACTCAACTTTCTCGATAAACGAAATTTCTCATAAACAAAATTGTTATACTTTCTGTTCAATTTATTTTTCCACGATACACACAGTTTATTTTTAACGTGAAATACCTTTGGGAAACAGTTGCGTAGCTTTGTTATTTTACACGTTTCTAGGATCGTTGCAAATTACACGAGGTCTGTTAAAAAAATAACCGAACTTTTTTAGTTGTGTGTTTGTGTATCGTCATAGCAACGAACAGTTGACAGCACTGCAATTGTCATAATCTTCCGCGTAACTGACTTTTTTTACAAATTGTTTACATCTTGTTTAGTTTTCGAGTTTATTGCTATTTGAGTGCAACGTGCTTCACTGTTCGTGGTGAAATTTTGCGTAAAACTGGGGAAAAAGTTTAAACTTTTGATGCAAGCTTACGGAAGTGTACGAACGGTTCACCAGATTTAAAAATGGTCGTCGATCAATTCAAGATGATCCTCGATCTCGAAGGCCTTCGACTTCAACTGATGACACTCACATTCAGAAAATCAAAGATCTTATGTGTATTGACCGTCGTCTGACTATCAGAGAACTTGCAGACGAAGTTGGAGTATCAATTGGGCCATGTCATGAGATTTTGACCGAAAAAGGACGCCGTTTTGTCTCAATCGAGGACATTAAAAATAATTCGTCACAGGCATTGAAGGATGTTACAAAAGATGCTTTCCAGGAATGCCAGTATTCCAACATCGCTGGAACAAGTGTGTAAATAGAGGAGGGGAGTACTTTGAAGAAGACAAAGAGCAATAAGTTGTACATGAAATAAAAAAAAATTTTTTAAAAATAGTTCGGTTATTTTTTGAACAGACCTCGTATTGTTTTGTTATCCTTTTAAGTTGCATTACTATTCTATGCGATTTGTGGCATATTTATCATTCTATTGTGTCTGTATTCTTTAACCCTAAGGTGGTTCTCTTCGAGGCAAAAGTATGTTGCCAAGGAAAGAAAAACAAACGTACTGATGTAAATTTCATTATAGTTTTGTCCATAATTACGTTTATTCCTACATAAATGAGGGTAAATAAGGGAAGAGCGCATCGATGTGCATTAAGGGCCCTTTTTACCTTGTGGGATTTAAAAAACCGAATTTTTTTTTTGCGTTTTCTCTTAGTATATAGTCTCGAAAATATATCTACCAAATATTAAATTGAAATTCGGAAAACTAACGAAGTTATTACAACTGGACGTGAAACTTTAAGGGGGGAGCTCATTTGAGACCTCAAAAATATCAATTTTTTTTTTGCTTCATTTTTTGAAAGTATGTAAAAAAAAACTATACAAGATATCAACATGAAGTTCATACAGTATCTTTAGAACTGGTCTCCCTATAGCATGAACTAGGACAATTGCGATATATGCAATACTTTTTCTTTTATTAACAAAAAAGCAACCGAATATATGAAAATATTCATTATTTTTTCGTAAAACAGCTGCCATTTTGCCATTTTTTGTTTTTTTTTTAAAAGATCCTAGTTCATGCTATAACCACACTCATCTATATTAAGAATATCGTTGGTTTTTGGATTTCGGATAACTTGTTCGCAAGATATCACATACGCAGTCGAGCGCCGTTCGTAAAAACAGTTGTTCGTTGATCAACAAAAACAGCGTAATCAATAGATATTATGCGCCGCAAAAATTCGTAAATATAGCTAAATATATAATAAATGTATCTACGAAACACGGAATTAATAGCTGTTTAATAGACGGCAAAAAAAATGAAGAAACATGTATTTTTCGTGCCTGCAAGGTAGAATGGCCCCTTAAACGAGTTTCTGAACTTAAGCGACGAATATCTGAAATAAGCGTGTTCCCTTATATGTACCTGATAGAGATCGCGTTGATCCAAACGTGAAATTCGATCGCATGTAAATCGTGTACTTGCAACTTACGACGGCGATTTTACGACTTTAAGTACGTAGAAGCGTACTGACGTTAATGAATGTTGTATGGCGACCGAAGATATATCGTTGCGGACTTCGCAAACGTCGATTACGCAACCGCGACGTACTTAGGCTAGCTGCTTTACCTAACAAGAGATTGACGATACACATGCATACGATATTGACGCGCTGGGTACACCTATTACCGTGATCGTTAGATGAAGATCCATGGACGCGAGAAATTGAACCGACCGATGAACGTTGACACGTTACTATTTTACATATTGTAAAAAAAAAACAAACTCGAACCGATAACATTGAATTTTCAGTAGAGAGTTGGAGTAAGTTGTTGTTACAGAGGCAGGTTGTTACAAAGCTTTTAACCATTTTCCTATTCGATATGTCAGCTTAAAGTGAAAGAGATTAATGTATATCAAGGGAAGGCTACCATACATGCATTATGTTTATCATTGATCGAAGAATTCCCCAATTACTCAACATTTTGTGACAGTAATTTCTCTAGTTATTTGAATTTATTCTGTCGAAAAATCCAATAAAGGTGCGTAAACTAAAATTATCATAATTGATTCACACTTCGTTAGCTATAAATACATAGCAATTAATTGAGAATATCCTAAGCTTGCATGAGCTTTCAACAACTTATAAGTTATGATTAGTTATTATATATAAGAAGGGGCAGACAAAAAAATTCTTACTTGGATAAATGTAATTATGGTTATTAATAGGAAAAAATATATATTTTGAATCAGTGTGGAATTGGGGAAGATGATTGTATTTGGAACAAATAACAAATAATATAATTACAAAAATGAACAATTTAAATCATACTGGACATAAATTGTTAATATATAGCAATCACATCTGTTTTCCCGACTACTTATTTTCTAATGAAGTTGTTTCGCTGTCTTCAGTTACTCATTATGCAACGAACAAAACACACATTCAATCTTTTTGCACATAAATTAGCATTGAATAAAATTACAGCACGAGACTTTACAGTGCAAATCTTCTACATAAGTATCATTACCTATTCTAGTATGAGTATATTTAAAATAGACTACAACATGAATGAAAAATAAAAAAAAAACCACCAATTGTAACAGCCCACCTCACTTTCCCCTAATTTCGTTTACAAAAATTAGTTAGACTTAATGTTCGACAATTCCTTCACTTTCATCTAACGATGGAAGCATCAGACATGGCTCGCATCGATTTCAGCGCTTAGCAGAATGGTACAACTATATTTATAACAAACTCTATTTTTAATAGAACTCATTACAAGAAAATTACATGTAAAGTTTGTAAAAACCGTGTAGTCAAATATGTTAAAATTACAGCTGTCCAAGTGAAATATTCAAGTACTTGAAATTCAAACCAAGACAGAACTCATTTTTTCCAACCAAGTCAAGTATTTCATTATCGAAATAACTTGAATATTTGATCAAACTCGAGAAAATTCTATCTGCTCAAATCTTTAAAGAACCTGATTAAATTTAAGTTTCATCATTTTATTTTAAATTCCAAGAGATTTAAAATTTAAAATCATTATTTTAACTTTTACTAATTTCCCCCACCCCCAACTATTTGAACATTGCAAGTTATTTGAATGAATAGATATTTTCTTTTTATTTCTAAAATCATCATGATTTCCCTTGATTTAATTTAAGTCTATCCACATTCTCTCCACTTTATTATTAAAACAGAATAATATAATTAAATAAGAATACATTATCAAGCTTGCTTGGATAAGATATTCAATATAATAAGAAAACATAACAACTAATAGTATATTTATCAATCTCAACGAGCAAACAATAAATATTTTCGACCTCTAAGAATCCTCTTCAAATTTCACAAAGATCATCTAAAATAATAATAAATCATTAATAAAGTGAAAATAGAAAAAAATATTTGTAACCTATTTTTACAATAGAGGGAAATTGATGGAAGTTTGTCACACATCCCGTAGCGTGCGCCTGTGAGTATGCGCAGAGGAGTGTGCGCGAGTGAGAACGCGCGCATGAGTGTTGCGTCGCTTTCAACCGAGATTGTTGTGTGGTCGTCGTGCGTTGTTGCGTGCACCGACATGTATCACTTCTGTATTGTTCATTATTATTAAACCGTTATATATATATGTATCCAGCAATCTAACAGAAATGGAAGATCGTAAAATAATCTTAATAATAGTTTTTGTTAGATAATCTTTGTGGACCTTGCAAAAAGTCCAAATCTTAAAAATCAAAAACATTTATTGATCCTTGAAATTGGTAAAGAAATTAATTTTTTTAATCGGAACAAACAAGAAATTACACGGTGAATCTCGTAACATGACGACTTCAAATAACTCGTAAATTATTTGTTGTACGAAAAAATGTTACAGATAAAAGTTGTACGGTTTGTAGGAGGACATATAGCACTGCAATTGGTTTTAT